GTGCTCCTGTGCTCTGAGATGAAATTCAGCTCTGGTTATTTTATTCTTGAAGTTGAGTTCTTAGGAACAAGGTGTCATTGGTGTAAAATCACAAGACTAATCAGTTTTGAAAGAGCAGAGGAAACCGAGTCAGCAGCAAAGCTACATCTGTCACGAGTGGAGTAAAATCTCTGCATCTGCCCCTGTAGACATTTTATTGAACTATATTTGTATTTGATATTTGTTCTGAGAAGCAAAATAAACCTTGTGTCACTATCTTACCACATCAGGAAGGAAAGTCATATTCTGAGGTTGTCCTCGGGCTCCTTCTCTATGCCTCATTTATTTCTCTTTAAACAAGGGATTATGTTTTCTGTTCATCGCTTTGTCTCTTGTCAGCTTAGCTTAGGAGTTCTTTGGACTAGAGAGACTTGGTTTTTGAAGACTTGTATTCTACTGCATTGTAGTAATAGAGATTTAAACGTTTACTGATTTCCATAAGCATTTCAAATGCTATTTTTGTCATATTTCTCCATATATGCTGCTGACTTGCATTTTGAGTAATGTATGGTTTGAGGTAATTAGTTATCTAAAATGCTGGTTCATTTCTGAGTAGTACGTAGGCAATTGCATCTGCTGTTGAAGCCAAGAACTGCATACGTTCAGGGAAAAAGTAGCCTAAAAACACTCTCATCACCATGTTTCTTACACTACTAGGCAGAACCGATAGTAAAAAGAGGAAACCATTCTCTACATATCACACTGCACAAAGCATTCTCACAGCTGTATGTAAGAATCTTGGTTGAGGCAAGCCTGGGGTGTGGTGCTGGCTTAGCTTTAAAGGAATTGCTTATTGGGCAAAGAACTCCATAGGAAAAGGGTAATTTAAGAAGTTCTGCATCCACACAGATGAACGTCTTGAATGAATTTATTTTGGAGCATGTTGCCAGAAGAGCTCATGAATTGAGCTGCATATCCTTCTGCAGACAGAAATAGGCTCGGTTAAGTCAAGCCTTCCTGGTCTGATTATGCAGATTAACTGGAAAGAGACACTTCTGCACCAAGTATGAGGCTGTCTATATGTATATTCCATGCCAGCAGTGAATATTAAGCTCAGGTGGGTCGTTTCCTGAGAATTAGTGGTGCAGGGCATCAGTCAGAAATGTCGCACTGAATGTCTCGGATGAACACCATCCTGGCAAACACAGGTTTGTGTTTGGTGAACACTTGAAACACTTCAGGACACTTCCAGCCCCCCGACGTCTCATGAGGCAGTGGGCACAGTAAATGAACTATGTGCAGCCAAGTGATCTTTGTACCTTCCTCTGGGACACCGCAGTGAACACGCACACAGCCGCCAGCTCGCTGGATGTGGGAACTGGAGCTCAAGGGCCAAGCTGTTCCCAGGCCCAGGAAGCGCAGCCTCACGGCCAGCTGGACACCAGCAGGTCTGCGCTACACCTGGGCACACTTAGCTGGAGTCACACACACCCACATTAATCCATGTGACACAGACAGCTCAAACTTCCTTTTCTTTATTGCAAATTGTTCTTTGCTGTAATGATGACTCACTAGGATCTGGTCAGTTGTTCATCAGCTCACTCATGATGTACTCTGTTTAGCTAGATTTTAATTCATTATGCACTGGAGTATATTCAGAAAAGATCCCCCAGGCAGTAGGTGAAGCTCACCTGTGGTGGCACTGAGATCAGAGAAACAGCATTAGCAGACTGTACTCCAAATCTAGTGCTGATTTACAGCAATGAAAGAAAACCTAATTTTTGCTTATTCCCCTGAGTGTGCCAATTGTAGCAGCTATGTTTGATTTATTGTTCTGAAAGAACAGTGCTTTTTGAATCACTGTCAAGCAAACAGCTTGGTACATTAGGAATTTCCTCTTGATGCCACAGCCCGCAGCCCTTCTTGAATGTCTTACTGTTTTGTAGGTGTGTTGCTGAGGTTTATGTGCATGGGGCAGTTGTTCAGCTGCTCCATTACAATGCTGGTGGCCTAACAGGAAACAGACTGGGACAGCAGCAAACAGAAATCTCAGTCTTGTGACTGACACCACAGCAGGATCAAAGTTCTTCCCAAACGAGGTCTTCTTGTTACTGTTATCTGCAGTGGACCTTGGATTTTTTTTTTCTATCGCCTGATACAATTAAGATGAAGCAATATTTCTTTTTAAAATCTTTTCCCTGGACGTGTTTCTTGTGCTGTGACCACAAGGTGCTAGTCAATAATTAATAATACATCAAAACATGCCCTAGTGGCTCATTTAAACAGGCAAGCTGTGCAGGTAGGCAGGAAGATGTGCATTTACACTGCAAATAGTGTATGCCAGTGTATTTTTTTCATATACTTTTTATGTCCTGGTATTTATTTTGGTATAGGATGATTTGCAGATTGATGCTATATCTTTTGAAAGCAGATTAGGATAGCCTTCACAAAGAGCTATTTGTCTTTAGGAGCAAAAAAGTAACAGAGAAGGAAGTAGCATCAGTAACATCTTAGTGGTTTAATTAAACAAGCATAATTAATGTGTTCTCACAGGTCACTGAGCTGATGAGCTGTTTGGATCACCAGTGGAATTTGTGTGGCCTAACATACTTGAAATAATAACAGAAAAGTCATAAAAAAGAAACAGTGAAGGACACCATGCATACAAAAATGTATTTTATAGTTCACTTTTAAAGGACATGTTTCTAGGCTACCTGATGAATTAGTACTTAGCCATTTCTCTGACATTTGTTGACAAATTAAGTGGATCTCAAAGCTTCTTTGGATTGCTCAGCTATTTCTCTAGTTAATCTTTTGTGTACTGAATTTCCAACCTGAATAATGAAAATGCAGTCTTAGTGCTTGACTCTTTTAAATTGAATCTTATCCAACAGAGCAGCTATTTCTGCACTTATGCTTTCAAGAGATTAAGAGTGAAATCATCCAAGTGAGCCCACTTGATGTGCCAAAAAACCTATGTCTTTCTGCAGAGTGTACAAGATTTGGGAAGGGTAAAGGTGGGAGAAAGCACAGCTAAATGGCAGCTCAGATTTTAAAGGGGTAGAAAGTAAGGAAGAGCTTCCTATGTCTGTCTTTCGGAAATAAACAGTGACAACTTTCCTCTCTGGATTTAAATGCTCCTGAACTGCTGCCTTTGGTTATAATTTCTGATATACCTCCTTAAAAATGCTGGTTTCTACCTTGCTAAGGGACCATAATTCTGCACAGCAAATCATAACATGTAGCAGGATAATACACATTTGTTCATGATGATGCATGAGATTTGTAGGGCACGCTTGCATGGCTGATGCTGTTCATTTCAGCAGGACTCGGGCCAGCTCTACACTTTGCCAGCACAGCTCTCAGGCAGGGCATTTTTTCCAAAGTAAGAGTTCACCTGTAACTCTCCTCTTGCAGGTTGCACTTACAGCGATCTCCAAGCACTGCAGTGCTACTTTTTGCCTCGACTCCTATGGACTCTCCTAAGTGCTCACAGCTGTGTGCTCCTATCCTCCTTAGCTACCACTAGACAGTAGCTGCCATTCTGTGTTCAGCTTAGAAAAAACAGAAGGCAGATAAATGCACGCAGAGGGCTGCATTAAGACTTAATGGCGTTTTGCTTTTGTTATCTCCTGTCCATATACACAGAACCACATAGGCAGGAACTGTAGCTGTTTGACACTCAAGTAAATTCACATACATGAGGTAATGTACCTAGGCACCTGAAGAAGTGCAGAGTATGCTCCAATGCAGTGACGAAAAGTCCATCATCTTGTGCACAGGCAAACTGAGCTATCTGTAGTGTTTGTGAAGCTTGCGTGGGCTGAGAAGCGAGGTCAGAGGGAGGTGGGATTAAGTCTTTCTGTTATGTAGCCCCCAGCCTGGCAACTTCAATATAACAGCCCATAAATAAATATTTTATCTCCTCCATGCAACAAAGAAGTCAGACATCTGCAAAGACAGTGGGTGTTTGGGATTTTCTAATCTCCCATTTGAAATAACATACATTCCAGAACTTCTGTCTGGAATTCAACTAGTTACAAAAGGTGTAATTTAGCTGATAGCTGATATTGTTATAATGACCTAAACAAAGTTACTGATTGCTTATCTTAAGTTTACATTGGCTTTGCTTTCATTCTAGTACATCGATAATTAAAGCTGTTCTGGAACTGCTTACTGCAGCTGGATTTGTGTGCTGTGTGGAGCGGTGTTTATAAAACAAAATTATCCCCGTGCAGAAGCCAGCATCACACATAAAACCCACCTGCCTTACTCAGATGGTTCTAATCTGAAACAATTACTTGGCTAAAGAGTTTTTGCTTGACACCCTTCTTATGGGATGATCCTGACCACATTTCCTATAGGATCTCATACAACGTCTATCCTTTATGAGAACATTGTAATTTATGAGGAATAGAGGTTATGGGATTCATCACCATATTTCTGAATTGTTGAAATGGAAGACCTCATTTAGCTGCAATATTAATGATATCGATCCCACAGAATACTTAGGAGTGTTTTTCGGTCTCTCCCTGAATGATTCAACGGAGATGCCTTGTGTGAATGCTGAAAATAGGTGTTGTTCTCACAGCGTTTCCAAAGACCTTCCTTCTGATGATGAGGAAGTTATCTCTTGGTCTCACTTCTGACATGCCTTCAGGCAGCCATGCACCCGTGTGATGCAGCAGAGGCTGATCTGTGCCCAGGACTGCAGGGGACAGGGACAGTCACTGAGGATGTTTGCAGGCTATCTCTGCAGTCCTTCTTCCCATGCTTTTTTGTGTCCAGAGAGGCTTCTATTACTGATGCTGCTCTTTTTTATCTGTTTGTTTTTTGTTGTTGTTTTTTTTTTCTTCTTTCTCCTTGCCCCTCTCTGTGTAATCTACTGATAAGTGCTAGTTAATAACAGCTGGGAGGGAATTGATATTAGCTTGGAGTAGGCTTGATTGCACTCAGCCTGAGCACTATCCTCCCTGTGTAAAATTATTCCCTACATCTTTAATCTTTCTGTCCTCTCTCAGGTCTTCTCTGTGTTACATGAGTGCAGTTTCTCCTCAAGTCCTTCTTCTGTGTCTCTGCTGGCTGTGTGGTAGAGCGATCGCCTTGGCCAGGCTGCCTGTCTGACAGACATAGCTCTGCTGTCTGTAAGTCATTTGTGGGTTTCTTGTGCTTCTAGAAATGGTAACAACAAAAGTTGTAATTATTGCTTCTGTTTTCAAAGCTTGGGCAGCTCAGATGTCTGGGCCTGTCAGGAAATACTGCTATAAGTGAATGAAAGGGAGGATAAATATGCACTGGTCAAAAACAAGTGTTTTACTATAATATTCCTAGAACTGTACTGGACCTCTCTTTGCAGAGTGTAACTGATTGCCAGCCCAATGCCATGAAGTACTGTGGTCCTGTGAGGAGCCAACAGCTTTGTAACTTGTTTGTTGTGGTAACTACCAGCCAGAATTGAGTCTCAAGCTAAGCTTCCTGGTACACAACGTCCCTCACCCTGGCTACCCCACAGAGGATGTGCTAAGCTTTGAGAGTTCATGTCTGTATTCCTGGCCTTATTGATGGGCTTAGCTTTGCATGATGGTCAGAACTGGAAACTCCTTGGGGATAGTGGGGATGAATCAGTTGCAAATCTCACCTTGTGGTGTCCCTCTGCACCACAGCCGGTAGAGGCTTGAAAGCAATTGATTATATATACACTTGCTAATGACGTAGCTTGCGTACTTAGTCTAAAAATTATCATTTGTGTCCTGGAGAAAAGATTCAAACAAACAAAAAAAACTGATTCAGAGTGAGGAGAAGCAGGCTGAGGCTTCATGGGGATAATTTTCATTTTGGAGTAGGTGGAATGCTCTGAATTGGTGAAGGAGAGGAAACTGAGATGTTATTTTCTTCCTTTGCTTCCATAAATCACACATTTCAGTGAACCTGGCCTGATGGCTTCAATAAGCCTCTCCAGTAAGACTCTACATTTAAGTCACACTTGCTAAGTGCAGAGAACATGCATAGTGAAAGGCAGGCTGTCTGGAGACAAAACAAAATCTCTCAAGGTTGGCAACACTTAGAAACAAAACTTAGTGTGAGCACAAGTAAGTGAAATTTGTGATTGGATCCATAGCTGGGCTTTCCTTCAGCTAGGGTACGCCTGAATCTGTGGGCTCATGGTGCAGAAAACTGTCAAGTACCATTGTGATACTGGGGCTTTGCGGTGCCCAGGCAGAGAAGAAGGGAACTGGTCAGTAAAGGCTCCACATTGTCCAGCATCCTGTCCCCAGCAGAAATGTGCTCTGTATTACTGCGTATAGGGTTAATGAACAATAACAGAGTAAATAACTATCAGCATATTAGAAATTTTCACTTTCCTCTTGCCTGTTGTGACAGCCGTTGTCTATTACTTCTGTGTTGTTAACATGCTTTTCTTTCTAGAAGAGCTCATTAGATCCAAAAATTCTCAGTTATTCATGTCTTTCTTCCACTGCTAGATATTTCTGCCCATGTTAGGAAATTCTGCAAGCTATTACATCATCTGTTCTTCCTGCTAATTGTCTTTGCTGCCTGGCCTGGCAAGGCTGTGCTTGCAGTGCTCAGACAGCGCAGTGTGTCAGCGTATTGCAGGACGACTCTGCTTCCGGCCTCTCGGCCCAGTTCCTGTCCACTTTATTGATTTTCTTTAATACCCAGAGAACACTTCAGCAAAGGATTACAAAATGCTTTAAGGACATTAATTATGCTTGCCACAGAAATACCAGCTGTGCAGAGCATGTTTCTAGATGACTTTGAATGGATCTAAAACTGGTTCTGCTCAGTCCCAGCTAGAGTGCCACCAACACAAAGGGGCTACTTTTGCTCCATTAAATTTTCCTCTTTATGAGCTCTTTTTAACTAGGCCAAATATTTCACAGCTTGGTAACAACAGCAAAACACCCTTCAGCCTAAAAACCACGTCCATGCATCTTAATAGCATTCCAGAGTTGCAGTTTGTTTCCTCGGTTCCTAACAAATGTCTCTAGCCAATTTTCTAGCTGTAGATTGTTCTGAGGTTGTAGAACAATTATTTCCATTATCAAGTAGAGCAATTAAGCGCATACTCTCAAATCACAGCTGTCTGCATCCATCTGTTTAATGTTTGCAGGTACAGAAATGTTAGTAACTGCTACCTTCTTGGTTTGCGGTCTCTCATGAGGAGGGCTGCTGCTTCCTCAGGACAGACGTTCCGGCAGAGTGCAGAACAGAGCTAAGCTGATTAGAGTGACTGCATTTAGGAGCGTGTATTTGTAAATCAGAAGGCTCCTGGCAGAAAGTTTCATGTCTGGCAGCTACTCATCTCTGCATTCAGGTTGAGGTGGAATGTTCTAGGGGCCACACAACTCATCGGTTTTTCCTTCAGCTAGTGTATGAGAAGCTGTGTCTTCATATGTGCATTTAGGGGGGAAAAAGAAAAATGTTGTCCCAAATTGGAGCAATTCAATGAAAAATATTGCACCAAATGAGTGAGTCATTAAGTAGCATGGTGACACGTATGCGATTTCCTTGCCAGCAGGATTTTAGTTCCTGAGGAAGTTTTGTTCTGTTGGCTTTGTTCTGTAGTCGTCTTTGTAAAGTGGAAAGTTGATTTATGACATTTGGAAACAGTTTTTGGGGGAAATCTTCCTGGAAAGTAGGCCTGAGTGTCTGGGCTGAGCATTCAGAAGAGAAGATGGCTTGCTTGCTACAGGCCATCATCTCTCTTCTTTTGTACATGTGCAAATACGGTACGTTGCACTGCAAATGGGCTGAAACACAGCATTACCTTCTTTCACTGTGAGTCTGAAGTACATGTGTTGTCACTTAACTGTGCTGTAGCAAAGGAATGGGGATATTTATAGGGTTGGGGTTTTTTTTGTTTTTTTTTTTGTTTTTTTTTAATTATTTTTCAGTTTAAGGCCTGCTGGGCTGTGCTTAGTATCAGTTCTTTCTGCTTTGTCAGAGACTTTTTGTATGTCACCCAAGAAAACGAGGACATGAAAATAGATCTGCCAGTAAGACCCTACTGTTGAAGCAGAAAAGCACCTTGTATTTCTGAAGCATCCTAGTCTCTTAAAATGCCAACAGCATGTCCAAGAATGAAGGGATTGATTTCTTAATAGTTTCTGTATGTAGTAGCTAAGCTGGTAGAAGCCAAGTAGGCCATCTGTCACATTCCAATAAATAAATAGATGTTTGATCAAGTGAGGCTGGATGAAACCATCAAAAAGATGGCTTCTTTGCATAGCAGACTTGCCAGCTTCTGTAATAGCAGGAGTTGTGTTCTGGTGAGCTTCTGCCACAGCCCATACGCGCTAAATTCATGAAAAACAATTCTCATCAGTCCTATTTCCCATTTCATCTTACTCCCTGAAGTTTTTCACCACTCCATCATGGTACCAGTGCTGGTGCTACTGCAGGAATCCACTCTTTCTAAGCCAGCCAGTACAGGGATGGAGAGCATGGAAACAGTTCCCTCACTTGCTGGAATAAGACGGACAACAGTCCTGCTCAGATTCAAGGCTCCTCTGGCTCTGTCTGCTGCCCACCCTCTCAAGGATGAAATCGGCCTTCTAGGAAGTGCTGGCTGCTTCCTTAGGGATTCACACGTGGTTAGAGGGCAGTTACTTCCCATCCCTAAGCAGATGCTTTTTGCGCTTCCAAAGGTTCCGCAGCCTTTTGCATGTCTGTCACCACAAAGGACCCAGCATAGCTGCCACTGATGTAGCTTGGTTAATTTTTAATGAGCCATTGGCCATGATTTACTGTGACTCTGCCATCCATTGTATGCATCATATAATATTTGTTGTGACACAGGTTGAACAGTACTCTGGAAGCGTATGGAAGTAAAAACCCCCATTCAACTTACATGTTACTACAGCCTGCACAACCTCGGCTACGTGCTGTAGTCAGAACTCCCTTTCCTCCATTTGACACAGTGCACAAGCACAGGAACTCTTTATGTCACTGAATGCTTGTGACCTGGTCTAATTTAAGGGCTGGTCGTGCTGGGGCTCCCCACACTGAATTTTTACTGAGGTCAGTGTCCTGTGGGCCTGGAAAGGAAAGCTGTGCAAGAGAGCAGCTACAACTGGTGCACACAGATAGAGCTGACAAATCATTCACCAGATGCAATATATTTTTATACAAGTTTTTAATAAAAAAAATTCAACAAAAATATATATAATCAGGCATTTTATGCAATGCATACATTCTTTATATCTGCAGGTACAGATAAATAACAGAAGGCAAAAACAAGTACTATGCTTATCTTTGGCCATTAACCAATAATCACCCCCAGAGAGATATTATAGGGTCAAAGAATAATAAACTGAGTCTGTAAACTTCTCTTATTACGGACAAAGCATCAGGCAATAATACAGTAGTTAAATTTTTAGAAATGTAAGGAAATATTTCTTCAACACTGCCCAATACCTCAATAGAACCTGTTTTGCTGATGTGGAACATAAGGCCTCCTTTAGCTAACACAGGCAAAATTCCTGACTAGAGATATGCTCCATCCCTCACTACCTTAACCTACTTCCCTTCACCATACGTTGTTCTAAAAAGCCAAGCTGTACCTTTCCATCGAGTAAACTAACATGAATTCGTATCTGCGGATCAGTTTCCTGAACTCCAACCAATGTACATACATACAGAGCAGTTAAGCTTCCTTATGTCAATATTTTTTCTAACTCAGTGTCCCAGAATAATAGTTATCCTTCCACTTTACAGCACAGATGCATCTGATGGCTCTACCAAAGCAATATATACATGACACACATAAAAAATGATAAAAGCAATGTTAAAGATACATTGACAGCACATAGCAGCTTATGTCTATGTATGTACATGTTTTCACAGTTACATTTTAGAAAATTGAGAACATCAGGAATACTTCTACTGTGTTTTCCATAAATATTAAAAATTTAACTGTCAGGTATTTGGACACAATATTTAGGATATCACTTTTAAATAGCTCTAGAAAACCTGTAGCGTTTTAATCACAAAGGCTGTAAAGTTTGAGGATTCTTTGAAGTGTTCAGCCAGTTTCAGCAGCCAGGCCACCTGCCAGTTTGATATAATTTTTACTTTCTCTGCTCAAATCTGGTAACAAAGAAATTCCACCACTTTTGATGGAATAGGCAAGTTCTTGACCTGGTTTGTGGGCATCACTCTTCGAATTGCCATGCGACACAAATGCTGGAGACTTGAGACTTGTCTTGGAGTTGCCCAGAAGTACACGCTGCCGTCCTGCGTCCTGCACAGCAAGAACGAATGAGTAAATAAACCAGAAAAAAGAAAACAGAATTACTGCCCTCGATTATCTAATGATTCTGCTCCAATCCACATTTGTGGGTCTGTATTTTATTTATTCTCCAAGATAAGGAATGAGTTCATCGGACTCTAGATTTTCTGCATTGAGTTGCATGTTACAACTGAAGATCCTTAGAACACTTAACTAACAACCTAACCGTGTCACTTCAATATTGAAGGGGGAGCATATACTTGCCCTGCAGCTAGAACACTGCCATCAGTAGAAAAGGTACAGCAGAGCCCGTTGTTCAGAGGAGCAACTTGTACAGGGCACTCTTCATCAATTCTCCAGAATCTTATCATTCTGAAAAGGGAAAAATGAAGCAGTCAGTTATCAGAACAGACATTTAATTCTATCTCGTATCATCTCCGTTTCCATTAAAAAAAAAAAAAAAAAAAAAAAGTCTGATAAAAATTCTGGGGATTCCTATCAATATTTTCATATGCATACAATACATTTCAGATGTGACCTGAAATATTATCACTTCTTCATTCCTGTTATATACCATCATTTGTATTTCTTCAACCTTTCTAACTCTGCCATTTAAAACAAAAGCTGGCCTTCTGTAGCAGAAAGCAACAACCTGAAGATTTACAAAACCTCTCTTAAGCGTAATTCCTGACAGGAAAGCCCAACAATGCTTATCTTAACTAAACAAACAAAAAACTCAAGTGTTCCTGTAGTTAATATCCTTGCTGTCATCTTGAGAAAGCATTCTTCATAAGCTTAAAATACGATTTGCACATTAGCAGAAATTGAATACCAGATCATGGAGTACTTTGCCTTTTGCTGTGTAAACTAAAACAACAGAAAATTCTTAACTGCACTGTTATTTCAATTTACATTTTTCATCTTTATAACCCCTCTCTTTTTATTTTCCGTTGTTGCTCTGATCATCTCCCCTGTACACAGCTCATTATTATCTGCATTCAAAATGAACAGAAACATGCAGCAGTCACCTCACGTACTTTTACCAAGACTACCAAATGCCATTTCTCAGTTTAAAACAGGCCAACCCAACTGCCATTAAACGTTCACATCATACAGGAGGAATTAAAGGAGTCCAACAGATCTTTCCCCATACTTACTTATCATCAGCAAGGCTTGCAATATGTAGTCCATCGTGACTGAAAGACACTGATCTCACCCATCGGTCATTTGCACCTCCAGCAAATATTGGAGTAGGAGGTGGAAACAGATGCCTGCAGATAGAGAGAGAGCCAACAGTGTAATACTTAAGAGCTACAGCAGACTTCCTTCACAACCAGTTAAGCTGAAAGAAAAAAACCGGACTGAACATTTTAACTACGAAATCAGGAGCGGAAATTTTACTACTGTATCTTTTGCAGTACTGAGTATTTACTGAAAATGCTTTCATTAGTGCACACTGAGGTACTGGTGCTTTGAATTCTTCCTCAGAGGGAAAAACTCCACTATGCTACCACTGTAGGATTTTTGTCAGCTGCTACTAAGATTTTCTTTCCCAAGTCTTGTTATCAGTTACAGCCAAACAAGACCATCAATCTTCAGTAGGGAATGCCTGGATGGAACTACTCCACTTACCCAAACTCCATAAGAACAACTCCAACGTATGGATCCCAGACACAGACTCGAGTATCGTAGGATGCAGTAGCCAGTAAAGCTCCATCAGGAGAAAACTCACAGGCTACAACATCATTGTGATGTCCCTCAAGTTTTCGTATCATGGAGTATTTATCCATATCCCAGAGAAAAACCTGCAATTACATAAGCTAATGTTATAGCTCTGCTCAGCGAAGCAGTGAAGCAATTACTTTGTTTAAGAATAGCTGCTTAACTAGGATTATATTAAAATCAGGCATTATGAATTACTACAATTAAGAAATATGCTCAGTGTCATACTCGAGATTAAAATGAAAATTTTAAAAAATAATTAAAGCAGACATGCAAATTCTAACTCGCTTGTTAAATGTTATTAACAAAATAAGACAAAATATAAGATAAATACAACACAATTTAACCACGTAGCTTACTGAAAATCATGTATTACAAAACTATTTTATTAAAATATGCAGAAATAAAAGGGTTAAACTCTACAGTCCCCTCTTTCCAGTAACTACCAAAATTTTAAGAAATATACAGACAGAAAGTGTAAGGTTAACATATTGTTACTCCAGTGGCATCCCTTTGAGTTTAAGATCACTTGTTTACAATTGGCTTGGATCACCAACGTCAGCCTAGGAAGAGAAACAGATACTGCAAGCAAAGAGAATTTTCACAGCCAAAAGTTATGTCTCTGGCAAAACAATAGGGAAGTCTAACCATATTATTAGAAAGAATTTATGCATTTTAAATCAAGTCAACAATAAAAGAGACATTAATATTACAATTTACTCAGTTAATTGCACACTATTATAAACAATGATAAAATATTATTCTGGGATTTTACATGCAGTTGTACTTTATATGTATATAAAATCAAAATGAAAATTGTGCATAATTACTTAATATGAACTATCTTTGTTCTGCAGCATGAGTTTATGGAAAATATATGATCTTAAGCAGAAGATATTATGTCCCTGAAAGAGCTTATTAGGGTCCTTGTCTTTTTCTTCCCCTTACTCACAGATTAAAAACAAACATCTTAGATAAGTCTATGTTTTACCAAAGCAAACGTGGCCTTAGTGCCTCACACATTTCCTAAAGCTGAACCAATTTCTCTAAGACCCCAGCATTGCATAAAACTAGAAACTAGGTTTTAGGAGTCAAGTATGTTTCACTGCTGTGAAAATTATTAATAAAAAAAAAAAAGAAAAAGAAAAAAAAAAAAGAAAGAAAGAAAGCAGAAAGTGGACATCAACCAGCACCTGCGTACGTACAGTACACCTTGCAGTCGAATGCAAGGTTACTTCATCCTATGGTAAAGTTCGCCCCCAGCCTGGTAGCCAGAGATGCCACTCTTTCTGCCCAGCTAACACCACTGTGCTCCTGTGTGAGTGGTGCCAGCTTAACCTCAATCACACCAATATTGCTGCCACCACCTGTGACAGGGAAAGCAAGAAGCTTATGCAAAACACACAGCCTAAAGATATCAATGTATACATCTACATCTACTCTAATTAAAGAAAAAACAAGCCCCCAAACTCAACTATTCTCTATCAAAGCTGCACTGATAATTTAAAGCATAAAATGCATTTGAACAGTCATCTATACAAAGCAGTATTCAATTACTGAATTGTGCTTACTAATCAGCATAGATACGCTTCGTAAACTGCCCAAAAAGCTCCTGTAACTCAGCTGAATTCCCCTTTTTGTCTTAATCTAGTTCTTCGGTGCCAACAAAAGTAGCTTACTGCATATGTGCTTTACCTGCACTGCTTTCAGTTCTCTAGCGGGGCATTACAATACAGGTGAAAAGAAAACCAGTATGCTGTCCTTCATTCTAGTTCTATCAGACACGTGAGTGCCATTCGTATTGGGAACACGCAGAGATACCGTGACTGCCTCAGACTTTGCAAAGTCCCTTTCATTGAGTAGAAGACAGAAAGAATAGAATCAATAATAAAGTAGCTTTATGCATTAGTCTGTGTATCTTTTAACACTGGAAGCTTTAGTCATCGATTTTATTCTACAGACATGTTCAGATGTGCAAGATTACTTTTCAAAGAACGCTTAAAGTTTCTTCAACTAAAAGCAGTGCAAGTTCAATTCATAAAATCAGTGTCTCAACACAACATCTGCTAGTTAAATTTCATGCACTTCTACATCATCATAAAACATTAGAAATCCATGACACAGAGCATAAGCCTAGAGTTACTTAGATTTAAAATGATTATGCATACAATTGAGTAGATTTAATGAACAAGAAACTCTGACACATACTGCTTTACTAGCTCCAACAGAACACAGAATGGAAGAATCTGGAGAGAATGCACAACCGTATACCCAGTTCTGATGTCCTTTCAACACTTTCATCATATTTCCTAAAAAATAAGAGATACGTAATAATTCACAAAATCAATTTCCATTAAATGTTACAGATCCAATTTGAAAAGCTCTGTAAAATGTTATACTCTTTCCAAACATCTTGCAATGTCAGTCTGCACAGAACATTTAGAGAACATACCGAGTAAATGATTAATAGAAATTTTTGTGTTTTTTTTTTAAAGAAGTCCTGACTTGTGTTAATTGCCATAAACAATGGAGTACATGCATATTCCTCCTGTGCGTTACAGCAGATGAACTGAAAACATACCGTCATCTTTCAGGTCCCACACTCTCAGTGTTTTGTCTCTGGATGCAGACACCAAAATCAGGCTGCCATCCGGGGCAAATGTTAAATCTCTGACAACTTCTGTATGGTCCATCAGGTTAAGGAGGAGTTTTCCTGTTACACGGAAACACCACAGTTTAAAATGAAGGGCTGTACTTTGTTCAGATTAAACTGACATATATTCTTCCCCATACTCAAGAATAAAAAGTAACCTCTTGTTTTTAAAATATACTAAAATTTTAAAATCCAGCGAAAGATTTTGGTGTAAACAACTAATGTGCATGAAGTCCCTCCCGTATGTAACCATTCCACAGCACCAAGGCCTCATCTGCCATCACTTACATCTCAGCACAACCTGACTCTGTTCCTTCCTCTCCCAGTGCAGTATGTTTCCAGTCGCAACCCACGATTTCTTTTTTAGATCAATTTGTATTCAATGTTCAATTTGCAATCACAGTTCTGCAAGCTATTTGTTGTATTTGATGTTAACACCGCATAAAGTCCACCGAAATGCCAGCTTCCCCTCACCCTCCCTACCTGTATACACATCCCAGATCTTGATGCGCCCATTGTTCAGGCCTGTTGCAAGCAGAAGCTGGTCCTGCCCAAATTTGAAACGATGCCATTCTATATTCACACAGCGACTCTGCTTCTCGGGCACTGAAGACCCAAAAGCAAGACTCCAGACAATATCACCACAGTCTATTATATGTTCACAGGGCTTATTTCGCTGACTGCCGTCACTGTTCTGTCTTGAAAGCCTTGTACTGGCAGAATTTGCAACATTCTTTGTGCTGTGCAACAAGCTGCAAAACAAAAGAATACAAGAGGAACTCTATGAAGAGTTATCTCCTATTTTGAAATCCTGAAGTTCTTCAGGCTAATTGAAAGCCATGCAGCTTTATCTTACAAGTTAGTAAGGCACTGGGACCAGGGGACCAGTTTCACTATGCGATGTCCTTGTGACCAAGCGAAGTAGGATCCATCGGGAGCAAACGCAACAGTCCAGTTCTCACGTCCACACTTCTTGTCGAAAGGAGAAGTGGGGGCCAAGAGTTCTCCAACAGCCCGCGACCGCGCTGAAGAGAAACAAAGAGGAAATTCCATTTCAAAATTAATTAAGTGTATCTTAAGATGTTACGAGGAACCAGGCAGCGTGTTACTCAATTGCTTGCTAGTTCATCACTTGTAAAGCAGCTGCCCACTGTCACAAAAGAAGCGGCCGACTTTCGGTATGCCTCAGCTGCAGCGGAGGCCGGGCGCTGGCTGCCATGGCAGCAGTGCTGCACCACGTTCCAGCCCACCCAAAGACTCCACAGCTCGGGGAAGAAAGCCCCGCTGGGTCCTGCCCTGAGTGGCACAAACGGCCGAAAGAAGCCCGTCGTGAAATAACAGCGCGTTTCGGTCCGCTGGAAGCCGCCGTCTCGTTCCGAAACCCGCAGACAAAGGCGTTCTGTTTCCCCGACGCGACCCGACCGAGCGGCGAGAGGCGGCAGCGCGGCCCCAACCCGGCGCAGCCTGGGAGCCGGGAACGCCGAGCGGCAGCCGCGGGGTCCGGGAGCAGCTCCCGACGAGGCCGCCCACCCCTCCCAGCCCGAGCAGAGCCGCCCCGACCGACCGACCGACCGCGCCGCCTCACCGATGAGCTTCTCGTTAACACTCAGGGGAAAGCTGGCCATCTACGGGGCCGCCCTTCGGACCGGCTCGGGCTCGGAAACCTGCGGCCGGGCGCAACGCAGCTACAGCGACCGCCGCTCGCCGTGGACGTAGGCACTGAGACAAAATGGCGGCGGCGGCGCGGGGAGTTGTGCGGGGCGGGGAGCGGCGGCCTCGCCCCGCGGGCGGGCGCTCATCGTCCTGCCGGCCAGCCTTCCCGCCTTCTCTCCCTTCCTCCCTCTCTCCTTCCAGCCCTCCTCGCCCTGTGCGGGGCTCCCCGGCCGCGAGCTCTGCGCTTTCACCACCCGTTGGGTTTTTGCAGCGCCCCGGCCCCTCTGCCCCTCTACGCCTGGCCGGGCTCCTCTTGGATCCCGAACCGTCTTGGCTCTCGCTGCCCTGCAGAGCTCGACCCTGCGCCTTGCAGAAGCCAGCACACCTACCTAGAGGTGGTCACAGCCCCGAAAGTCCCCTGGATGTGTTCTCATTATATCTGGGCAAAAAAGAGTGCGTGCCGTTGCTTCACCAAGGTGGCTCAGTTTCCTGCGGCTGCCACCCGCCCAGTCCCACCTCTACCAAAAAATACCACACCCTGACTGCAGTGATGGACTGAACCTTGGGAGCGTGCTTCCCCCAAAGATGGGGCTCTCACTGTTGGGAGGATCTCAGGGGAACCTGTTGCAGCCAGACGGCTCTGTTACATGGGGTGAGCTGGTGGATGGGCTGTAGGGCCTCTGTATGGGATCAGAAGCATTCCTGCGTGGGTCTGCTGCCTGGCCAGCATCTGGTGACATGCCTCAGTGCCTCACATGGCAGTTGTCTCGTTATCTTTTAAGCCAAATTGTGGCATGCTTGATATCTATGACCATGGGACTGCAAAGCAACCTGTGAACTGAGAAGTATGTAAACGCTTGTATGAGTGCATTGCAGTGTGTGCACCATACTGATGTGTGCACCTGATTCCATCTTCCCTGACCAGAGGCTGGAAAATGCTCGGAAGGTTCCTGCTTTCCTGACATTTCTTTGTAAAACAGTTCAGTGTCTAGATTCAGCAAGATCTGGTTTTATGCTTAAGTTCTTAAGTTACAGTTAAAACTGATAGAGTTGTCCATGAACTACTGGGTGACTGAGGCCGTCTGAGTCTCGGTGTGGTTTTGTTTCAGTGCCTGTCTGCTACTCTCTCAGCTCACTGTAACACCAGCTTGCACTGTACTCCCTAGCAGCATAATGCAGCTCCTGCTCTGTCAGTCCTTTGTTGCTTGCAGAAGGAAAAGCCCTCATCAGCTTTGCACAGCAAGGCAGATTTGTAGCCAGTGAATATTGCGAAGAGTTGCTTTGGAGTTACTCGTAAGTATAGAATGTTTGAACCGGGTCCTCTCATGTCTGAGGCAATTCATGTCATGAGATTTCTCCTCGGGGCCTGAGTAAGGCTGGGTTCTGTTTGCTTACCTTGGGAGCTGTTACAGCCTGGGAAAATAGCAGTCAGGTTACATGGCTTTGTGGGAGTGTTGCCATGATACTGACTTTCTTGCTTTTTAAAAAGAAGCAAAGTGTGTGCCAACTTCTCATTTCTTCAAGCTTTGATGTTCTTGTAAGGACTACTTCAGTAGTTTGTCTTTCTTCCTCAGCATGCCGTCTGCTCAGTTGTGTAATAGATTTGAGGCCCAGAAGAGATGATTAGCTCATTTAGCATGGTCTTTGTATAACACAGGAATAGAGGATAGTCTTCTGCAAGGCACCTTCTAGCAGTGAGGCTTTCCAGCAGTTGCTCTGTTGTTCAGCCATCACCGCTCTGGAGTCCAGCTGCCAGTCTTGGAGCTTTCCAATCTGCCTTTTGGAAACAAATTGTGATAGGTAAATTCCCAGATTTTTGCAAGTTCATTGGAAATTGTTTGGCATCACAGACTGTCCTGGAGACATTACCAACATTTCTCTTCAAACCTGGCTGGCAGGGCTTTTATTTCATGTTTGGAGCCTGGACAGAAGAGGCAGAAAGCTGAGTTCTGTCTGCATAATGCTGACTTAACCTTTATAGCTGGTAAAAAGTGTTGTTCTAAAAATCAGTCAAAACTCACAAAGAAATCACACTTCCCATTCTCAGAGCCCTTGCTGTAGTTATTGCTGTGTAAGTGCAGCAAGCTGGATGACTTTTCAGATGGTTTTCGCCGTGGGCTACTGGTGAGGCATAACTGTGGAATCAAGGGTGGCACCAGCGCATACCCCACACAGTCACATGTAGCAAGGGCCTGCAGGACTGTGCGGATGACTCAAGGCTGATTTATGTGTTTTTCATTATCCTTCCTTATGGATGCAGCTGCCAAGTCTGCTCAGCGCTGTTCAGCTGGGAAGCTAATAAGCTCAGTGCCATCTAAATCCATTGAGAATCCACACACTGTTGTAAGCAGTTACAAATGAAAGAGGATTTTTGTTTTCTGTCTGCCTGAAGTACTTCCAGGTTACAGGGCTTTTCCCCAGCTGCTAAGGCACCAGGATCTACTGATTCAACATTCTTGTGTACTGACTTGACGAATCTACTTTAACACACTGCACTTGTTTAATCTTTTCTCTGAAATTTTCAGCTACTTTGTATGTGTTTTTCAGTCAGCTTTGAGGCAGTTGTTTTGACTCAGTCACTTTCTATTAGGTTATGTGTATCCCAAACAAGGGACCATGACGCTCTTATATAAACTGGGTTTTATACATTTGTCACACTGCCTGGAATTTGTAGAATGAACCCAGGTGTCTGCTTCCTGCATTTTCTGCCTTCTAGGCACTTGCAGGACCCTCAGTGGAGTGCTTGCTCTGTTTCATTTCCATTGCTATGGCTTTCACTGAAAGGCTTCCACCACAGAAAGGCTGTTCATTCCAGTTAATGAATCCTGGTACAGATCAGAAGTGAATATTGATCACAGTTTCTATTCATGCTGTGCTTAATATGCAGGTCCCCATTCAGTCTGTGCAAGCCATCCCAACAATAATCTTCTGTTTTGGGACTAGCAAGGTTATGTTTCTGTTATCTGTGGCTGTTTGGGTTGTACAGACCAACCTCGGGGAGCCAGCTCAGCACACTCAATGTATGACAGCAAAGTCCTAGAAGAGCCCATGGCCAGACCCAGGATTTCTGTCCCACCCCTTCAGTCACTGTTTTGTGGAGTACAGACGGCAAATGGCAGCTGAGGGGACAGTTATGGGCAGTGACAGGGATGTCAAGGTGGCCTATCTGTGCAGTAGTGCTTGCATCTGGGTGGTCTGTCATTAAAATATACTATTTATAGTCCACATTGTTAATAATTCACAATCATTGTTTGTTTTGAGTTGTCTCTTTGGGTAGGAGAAAGTTCAGCGTTAGTTTGTAGAAGGAGGAGAGAAGGTGAAAGAAAAAATCTGAATAAAGAGGGCAGGGGGCTGAAGAGGAAAAGGGATTGCGGCAGAGAGAACGGTGAGCAGCAGAACATTGTGTTGGCCAAAGAGAGAAGTGCTGTCAGCACCCCAGGACAGAGAGCTGTCCTCACTGCCACAGCGGAAACAGCGTACCCTGGAAAGCTCTGACTGTGGGTGTGGGGGGCCTGGGGAAGCAGGAGAAAATCCAAGTACCCCCGAAAGGCTGTGCGGTTGCCTCACTCTTGGCTGTGGGCACAGCCTTAGTTCTGGGCTCCTGCCTGGCTCCTCTGTGCTCTGTGAGGTGCAGGGGCTCAGCCGTGCAGGCCCCAGTCATGATCTTCCTTATGGGGAAAAACGTGTTGCAAGAATAGATTAACTGACCCTTGAGAAAATGTATCAAATGTAGCAAAAAGGTGTTAAAGTTCTGAGAGTTTTGTACTCAAAGCATTTGTGAGCTGGATAAAACATTCCTTGTTCCTTGAAGACGTGTAGGTGAAAGTAACCTACTTTCCAAGGTTGACAGATCTTCCAAGTTCAGCAGAAGGTGAAGGTGGTCCAGGTAACAGCCCCACGAGCTACAGGACTCAAAAAACTGATACATGAAAACACACCACAGCCCTGCAAGAAACTTGCGGCAGTGTGTGAGACTTTGTGTACCAGGCTTTGTGATTTCACGTGCTCATATACTATAAATATTAACAATTCTAGGCAGTCTTTGCCCATCTCAGTCTCTCCCTGCCACCCTTGTTGCCACCCTGCTGTGACTGGCACAGTTTCAGCTATTTCATCTCATGTACGTGTTGTTCTTTGCCTGATGTCTGCAAGTGATATTGGCACAGCTCAGCTGCTTGGAATAACACTGCTGGCCCTGAGGAGCCTGCATTCTAAACAGAGACAAACTGGCTGGCAGGGGAGTGAGGAGACGAGGCCATTTTTCAGGGTCATTGTGGAGCACCAGGAGCAACATCTGACTTCCTGCGGTTGCCCCACACTCGGGGTGAGGCTGCCTCCATCTTGCACTTCCAAGCTGGTATTTCCCCCATTGCTCTGTTGCTTAGCTGTTAGATTAGTTTTCCAGAGGTGGCTGTAAATTGATGCATCTGTTATCTAAGGGGTTAATCTGTAGAGGCCTGCTAAAGGTTTATTGTGGGGAAAAAGTGCACAGATGGAATATCAGAGAGATGAGATTGTGTTTTTTTCTCAGCATTCTTTTGGTCTCTTAGGGATTGTATCATTTTTAGACCACATCTTGTTGTTACAATAAATAGAGCAGATGGCTTTTCTGTGTGTAGTGAACTGGACGCTTTCACCATGGATAGCTTCACAGAGCTCCGGGTTTATTCACTTTAGCTTTTGAATTATTCCTTCTTTGTACACTGGCCCTGGATGTTGCACCTTGTGAGGGAGTGCTTTCAGGAACATCTGCGCTCAATTTACCCACTGAAGTGACAAGAGCTGTTATCTCAGACGGCTGAAGGTCAGGGGGAGAGGTGTGAACTTGAACTGCCCTAAGCCATGACAGTGGAAGAGGGTCCCTGTACTGCAGACAGAGCAAGGCAGTCTCCGTTGGGTCTGCAGCTGATATACGCCAACACAGCCTCAGCTGTCTCTGACCTCTGCTGCGCAGCAGTTTGCCCTCTTTTTCTCACAAACCCTTCAGACAGTGTGCTGGCTTTCTGTGCCTGCTTGCTTTCTCTGTGGTTGACTTCTGTAGCCTCAGAGCTTGAAGGCTCCTTGCAGATGAAGTCTTCTTGCAGAGGAGCACAGTGCTGTGCTCTCCTGGTGGATTTGCAGCAACTTTCTGTTCCAGTGCGCAGGGGAAAATGTTACTGAGCACTTTTCTATTCTTTTGGCTTAAATTGCTGCACTCTGGTCTGCAGTTACATGTGATTGTTTACAGGTGCAAAACACTGAGTCTGTCATTATAACCAGGGTTATAAACATTGCTCTAATTGTTTCATTAAAATTGAATAGATAGAAGACCTTCCGGCCAAAGCGTGGGATGCAGTCAGAATACGTCCCGACTTTGCTACATGCTTCCCAGGTGAATGTGGGCAACTCGCAAAGTCCAGCCTTAAAACAAACTTAAATAAAACCGCCCAGTTGGGGAGCAGTAGCAGAATGCTTTGAGATAAAGATACAAACTCTTAAGAGAATGCAAAATACTGTGTTTGAATACTGACTTATTTTGTGATGAGGAATGGGCCCAAAGGGGCCAGGGTTGGGAAGCTGATGTGAGACCAGAGGAATGCCAAGCAGTCACGTAGCAGTCGAAATAAGGGCTGTGTCCCGGCTGGCTGTGAGTGTGATAATGAGATAACAGGGAATATTCTGAATGGTGCCAGTTCCAAACACGTTTGTGTAGATACAAAAAAGCATCACTTCTTAAAAAATAAAAACTGATCTGGGAGAAAAGCATACAGTTATTCATGCTGACCTAAATTGTAATCAGCAATAAACTGCTGAACGTGTTTACAACAAGAATATTTTTTGCTTTTGATGAAGTCTGTGTTCTGGCACTGGATGAGCAGGATTGTGCAAGCAGAGTGAAAATCAATCGCATGAAGGGTGTCCTTGTCAAATCCAATACATTTTCCATAAATTAAATTTGTAGAAAGCAAGTTGAATTTAATAGGAAAAATGAAACAATTGAATACCTACATTTTGCGAAGCAGATCGATAAATTAATAAGAGCAGAAAAAGTCAGCATAGTGGGGAATGATAAGGTTGTGTCTGACAGCTTCTGCCTGGAAATGAAGCAGGCTGCATTCCAGCTGCAGTTGAGTTGGGAAAGAGCAGGTTGCTCACTGATAAAGTATGTTTGCTCATAGACCAGAGGTGAGCCGGAGCTGGTAGGGATCTGAGCCTGGAAATGTTGGGCTGGATTGTGTCCAGGCCTGTTGCTGCAGGAAATGTGCAGAGGGTTACGGAAAGGGTGAAGTCTGGGGGAAATGGAGGTTCTCTGCTGCTGGAGGTTGGACAAGAGAATTTCTTAAAATCTCTCCTGGCTCCCATTTTTGATGGCCTGTTAAAAATGATTGGAAATAGGTACAAGGAGAAAAGGAGAAATGGAAATAAGCCTATCTACAGTGCAGTCTCTTAGATTATAGAATGCATGCCTGTGTTTGCTCCGTGTGAGGACAGATACTTAGGCAAACAAAAGCAGCATTTGTTTTGAAGCAATGTGTATACCTCTCTGCTTTTAGGGAAATTCCCACAAACACATCTGCAGATCAGAGTGCAGGATATCACCAGGCGGGCACATTCAGAATAATGCATGTGATGTGAGCTGACAGTTTAGCTGGATCTGTACAGATCTGAGCACTGGCCTGCAGTTTGCAATGATTGAGTAAAACAGTCCAGGAAACAAAAGCAGATATATATTTATATGTACACACAGACAACTCCTATTGCAGGTAGAGCTATAGCTATGTAGAAGGGCCCTAAGTGAGCACAGCTCATTGCTGAAATTAGAGGAATAAACCAGAGAGGTGCAGGCACATTTATGCTTTGTAGCTGCCTCCATGCTGGAGGTTTCGTTTCGTTGCATTTGGTTCTGAGCAGACCTGCATGCAGAGGCACCAGCACGGCTGTTGTAATTTGCTTCCTGCATTGCTTTTTTCTCCACCTGGGATCAGCCAGATGCAGTCACACCAGTGAGTCTGATGGCTTTTAGGGGAAGGTCCCGCTCTCTGCATTAATGTAATTGCAGGTTATTTGTGTAATTCCTTCCACATCTTACTTCCTGAAGGCCTGGCACAGAAGTCTGGTTTTGTAATCTGAGTACTGAAGAGTGACTGGATGTAATTATGTGCTCCATTATTCCAGCAGCTCCATAGCACAGAAAGTAAAAGCTGAGTGTTGCCATTAGTACTGAAAACCCACAAGTTAACATGTGATAAGTATCTCATGCAAGCAGCATAGTGGGCAGTCTGTACTTCACCTTTACTAGTAACTGCTTTGTACTGTCTGTTTCCCAAAGGAGACTGATGAGATTTCTTGTTACATGTTCGTTGTGTCTCCCTGAAGTCACAAATTGTATAGAAAATGCATAGTAACAAAGTTGTGACATAGCAGTGGGTTCCTCAGTGAGACAAAGCAGGATTTGGGGAGCGTAATTTACCTTTTCCCAGATGCCATTTGGGTGACCACACACGGGGAGATGAGGTGTATGTGCTCAGACCTGCAGATGGATCTACTGCTGCAGAGCACATTAATTGCAGCTGAACCTTTCATCTCAGCAGCTGTTTGCTGCTACCTCTGGTGCTGTGCGTGCCTGGCCACCAGGGTTTTGGTGGGAAAGGTTGCTGTTAAATAAAGACACAAGAAAGGGAGTTTTTTTTGCAAGACCTGTAGTTTAAGTCTCTATCCTGACATGAGCAGGAAATACATGTGTGTCCTGATTTAGTGACACTATGTCAGAAATACGCTGTGTAGAATTTAGGTTGTAAGTTCTGCTCTTCGGTCACGCATGCTGTGCTGCGATGGTCCGAGCGCCTCTTTCTCGCCAAGCAGAAGATGGCAGCATTAAAGATGTAATGCTGTGGCATCGCGTGATGAGGCTTTGTCGTGCACTGAGAAACGTCATGTGGTGTAAACATCCTCTGTCATCAGGCTCAGTTTACAGTGCAATTAGAAGGCTGATAGCATCCTGGTAGGCAGTTTTAACCCAGGGCATTTGGACACCAGTGACAAAGGTGGGACGGGGCTGCACTCACTCCAGAAAAGTAAAGTTTGCTGGTGCAGTCAAGTAATAAGAGAATGTGAGAGTAGATCTTGATGATAGTTGTAAATAAAAGTGGGTAAACTCTCTTTTTGTGCTGTATCATCCAAATTAGAAGCTACTAATTAGTGTTTATCCTCACTTAAACTGCTAATCAGCAAGGTTATGTTCTCCTAGAGACATTTAAGCTGTTCTCTGAGGTTCTGATGAGCTGGAGTTCGCTCGCAGGGTGGGCATGGGCACTGCTCAGGGCTGTGCTGCTGCCTTGCTGTGACAACAAAGTTAGTCAGACCGCTCCCTGGGCTCTGTTTGCCCTTTTGACTTTTACATGTTTATCAGTTAAGGCTGCAAAGAAGGGGTTTCATTTTAATCTGTATTTGTGCAGCACCTTACACAGAGGATCTGGGTTTTAGGAGCAAAGAGCATGCAGTACAGTGCAGAGCTGCTACCATGGTGTGAGGGTGATAAAGCTGTCGTGTGGAGGCTGAGGAGACACTGACACTGGTGCCCATCTTACGTCTGTGCAGCTTATGATCTTAAACTGCAACTGGAATCTCTCCAGTGCTGGGCTGGCAGAGCCCCAGCTCCACTGCACCCCATCAGTGCCCTGTTGGTCTGGATTTGGAGCCATACCAGCACGACTGAGTCAATAAATGGTGTAAGAACTTCAATCAGTGTGTCAGTGAATGTTCTGGCAAAGGCAATAGCTGCACTGCTGTACAGGTGCACAGGGCTGTGCAATATTTTTGCTTTCCAGAATAGCAGTGAGCTTTGGTAGCAGTATGACTATTTCTGTGTATGGGAAGAAGAGATGAGTTGGCCAGGTCCATTCTGCCATTCTGCCAGTCTAATACACAAAATACCCACAGTTAATTCCCTTACAGAACTAAGCTGAGGGAAGCTCACATGCTTGACAGGTGTAACAGAAAAAAAGCAATTGAGACCTCACCTTTTCTTTTCCTTTCCCTTCTTGCTGAGCTGGGAAGAAGTATTTTTTCCTCTTGCCCTCTCTTTCAGGTTTTTTGTTTTGTTTTGTTGTTTTTTTTTTTTGTTATTTTTTTTAGCCTGCTTTTCCTGTCCTACCACATACTCTCAAAAGAGCTTGGCATTTTTCCCTGTCCTTTGCAGCTTAGGAATGTTTTCTTCTTGTTTCTCAATTTCTGTTAGTGCTGCAAGTAAGGCAGAAGTGACTTCTGTGTTTCACTGTTGCTTTTAATTCACGCGATGATATTTAGGAAATTTGTGGAGCTGCAGCGCTGCAAGACTGAGTGAAAAAAGACCACATCTGCAATGTAGGTTAATGAGTGCCCAGCTCTGTGTAGGGTCAGGTCCATGTTGAGGGCTACAGTGGCTACTGGTGGCCAGCAGCATAGGTTTACTGTGTAATACTGTGCTTCAGTTTCAGTTATCCCATGATGACTGGACTATCTGGCGTAAAAATTCTAGTATGAATATTCTGTGTCCAACCTCTGATTTCTCTAAATTATAATCCATTTTTCTGTGATTACCATTAAGATAATTAGTTCATTTGCTTTCTCTCAGATTTAACACATCCTATTGCAGCCAGGGAGAAATTGGAAAGCGCAAAATACAGAAAAAAATCCATGGTTTCATCCAACAGAGAGAGTTTCTTTGCGTTTTGAAATCTCTACAGTACATTTCAGATGAGATAACAAGGTAAGTGTCATGGAAAGAATACAGAGCCACCATTCGTTTATCAAATGAAAATAAATACGGACTGTTTTCCTACGCTTGGAACTTGGGGGATTTTAGTGGCCTGTAATGCCCTCTAATGGACAAACCTGTTGGAGCAACGTCCTCCTGGGAGGTGAAAGGCAGCATCTCGAAGGGGCGAGAACTGGCAGCACTGCCGGACAGGCTGTGCAGCTTTCGTTGGGAGCCTGACAGCTCTTAGATGAAAACCCGTGTTTGCTGAGTTTGTAGCTTAGAGACATCGTCACTTTTTACCAAAATCTTGGCAGATCCTCTTCTTCCTGCCTTTCTTCCACATTCAACTGAAGTTTGTTTAACAAACTGCACTTAAAAGGAGTAGGAAAATATTTTTGCCATTGGCCCCAGAGTTGGCCCGTTTCCTCTAGAATGACACCCTCTCCATCAGGAACTGAGTTCAGATGTGACTTACAGGGGAAGGCAGATCTGGCCAGGTGTTTTCTCTGCGTGCCTTGGTTTGCTCACCTGATTCCCCATCCTCTCACTTAGGCAAAAAGCAGAAGTGCCGGAATGCCTCCAAGGAAGTGATTCAAGGGGCATTTCTTGACTTAACTAGAATCGTGACTGTCTGGAACTATTCCCACATAGATAGATCCGCAGCTCTTGCTTTGCTGCTTGGCACTTTAGGTTTTATGAGGCCAAAGCCTGTGCCGAGAGGCGGCAGAGGATGAAGTGGAGACTCTCCTCCTATGCGTGACCCTATCACCACCATCACTTTTGACAGACAGAAAAGGAAATTTTTAGTGAGGAAAAACCATCGACATTCACTTTAAAGCCTGACAAAACAGTGGGGTACTTTTGTGGATGAGTTAGGCTCTAATTTTTTATTTGAGTTTATATACAAGCTTAGGAAAGTGTATTAAACTAAAGTGTCTTAAAAAAAAAACCCTTACCAAAATAATCAAGAAGAACCAGAATGCCAAAAGCTGCTGAGAAATGGTACACAACTCAGACTCTATCTGGATCTAAGGACCTTGCAATGATTTCAAACAATTTGTACCTAGCAGTCATAACTTGCCACGTGTCTGCCTGCTGGAAGACAAAATCATGCTGCTTTTTGTGTGTCCAGCAAAGTCCTACACCAAAATAAACAGTAGAGCTGCTGTGCTTTCTTCTAGGATAGGGATTTTTAGGATAATGTGATTTGAAGCACTTTGCACTGAATCTAGGAAGGAAAGGACAAAAAAAAAAATAAAAGGAAGCTGAACATTGTGGAAGAGCGATTGTGACCAAATACTGGCTGGAAATTTCCAGAGAGTTTGAGGGAAGCACTGAGGATTTCCAGCATCACCAGCCAGGCTCTGAAACACCCCTCCCCCCTAAGATCTGGGAAGCCTACAACAAGTCGTGTTTGCTTTTAGGGAACAGATTTGCTTTGGGAAAAACACCCTGAGAAACAGGAAGAAGCACTGTTTGTTTGGTTTAGTTGATTCTGAGGGGAAGAAGTCTTTTTCTACTGAAGTTGAAAGTTCCCAAGATGCCTCCGTCTCAGATAATCTTGTCACCCCTAATTTTTTTGGTCTTTTCGAGATATGTTTTTCACGAGTATCAGTCAGCTGAAACCTTTCTGCCCCCCTCCCCTCTGATTAGTTCTTATTATTTTGATTTCGGCAGGGTGCAGAGATCCCTATGAAGATTGTGGCTGAGTTGCCTCAGGTGGATGTCATTCCTTGCTCATTGCTATGGGACACTTTGATACTCAGCAAGGATGCACACATGTCACGTCGGTTTGTTTTGGATACAAATATATATAACAAATACAGCAAAAGTATTTTCTAGAACATAATTCAACCTTTAGTTTTAAACATGTTTTTGGGATATGCCGGTGCTGACGGCTGTGATGCAGTCTGATGCAAAGGAATCAATCGCGCGCTTTGTGGCACGCGGCAGTGAGTGATGCAGGACCCGTCGGTGATGGCGGCCCCGTGCCTGGGGGTGAGGCAGCCCGGCTCGGAGCCTCTCCGCCCCCCGCCTCGCTTTGTGCCGTTTGTTGGTCTTGAAAACCTGTTTTGAGATTTTCTTCCGCTTTGGCCCAATGGAAAATAAGACGCTTCTTTGCTTCAGCACCTAGATTTCAGTTTTCATTTTTCAGCCCGTTCACTCCTCCGTTCTTCTCTACACGTTGGCCCATTTTAACTCTCACTCGGGAGGTCCCACCCCAGTTCGTGCATTTCTTTGGGCCGCCAGAACCGGCACTGAGTGCCGCCGCCGAACCGCCGGGAGCGAGGGGTGCGCAATGACAGCGTGTGCAGCGAGGGATGGTGCCGTGCCGGCAGCCGTCACTCCGAGATCAGCTGATTCTCTAAAGAACTTTCTTCGCTCTTCAGAACACCCCCAGCTACGCGCTCCAGCCCGCACCTAACAGCCGAGCAGAAGCACCGAGCCGCACCGCCCGTCCGCCCCACGCTGAGGGCGCGGCCGCCACCGCCCCGCCCTCAGCTCTCTGCCGGCCCGATGCACAGCGCAGGCGCGCTCTGGGCGCAGGCGCGGAGGTTCCGGGGCCGCGCAGGCGCCGCCCGCCGCCGCCGTGTCTCGGCGCTCCCCCTGGCGCGGCGGCCGAGGCGCTGCCGCTCGGGCGGGCGGGGGCGGCCCGGGCTCCCGCTTCCGGTGTGGTGTCATGGCGGGCCCTGCGCGCTGATGGCTGCGGGGAGCTGAGGGTCCAGGAGCGTCAGGGATACGCGGAGCTCCCCTCGCTCCGCTGCTCTGCCGCCGCCGCCCCCCCCCCCCCCCCGCGGGGATCCGCCCCCCGCCGCGGCCGGGCGGGCGGGGGGACATGGCGGCCCACAAGCCGGTGGAGTGGGTGCAGGCCGTGGTGAACCGCTTCGACGAGCAGGTAGAGGGGGCGGCCTGGGGGGCGGCGGCGCGGGAGTCGGGGGGCCGGGAGTGGAAGAACGGCGGGGGAGGGCCTCGGGCCCGGGGCGGGGGGCGGCTGGGGGGAGCGCTGCCCGCCGCGGAGGCCCTTCTGCTCGGCCCCGGCTCTCCCGGCGGCGGTGGAACGCGGCCCGGCGCCCCTCGTGCGGGTCCGCGGGGCCGGGTGGAGCCGTGCCGGGAGCCGAGCGGTGCTCCGGGCCTGGCCTCGGCCTGGGGCAGCCTCAGCCGCTGCCCGCAGAGAGCCGGCGGGGCCGAGGTGTCCGCTTCTGCCTCGACTCCACTCTCACCGCTCCCAGAAACGAGCTCGTCTTTTGTGGATGTCATCGGGGATTCTGAGCTTTCCGCCTTGTTGCTCGCCAGAAAGGAGTAAAGCCTCAAAAACGAGCGTAAGGAGAGTGGCTGGAGAGCTGCTCAGGCAATTCTGCCTTCTTCCCCGTCGCTTAACGGTGAATGTTGGTGTGAAATTTCACCCCCGGTGCTGGGAGCTAGCTGTTCTGCGGGACGGAGCGGCTCCTCAAGCTGCAGCAGTGACGGATATTTGCTTCTGTTTATGAAAGCCAGTGCTGGCAGCTGGGAGAAGGGTTTTCTGAATGGAAGAAGGAGAGATTTGTGGGCCTTGGACTTTGTGTCTCTGATCCACACGAAGAAACCGCTTACTGGGATTAGGTGGCGTGACTTCCCAGCGAGGCTAAGCCTGCTGCTTAAGCTTGGCGTTTTTACTCCCAGGATGCTTTCCTGACGCGTAAGTGGGAGCTGGGTTGAGTCTGAGTGGTCGGTTTCTGTTGTGTCTCATTTGGCTGTGCCGTGAGCGCGTCCCTCGTGGCGCCAAAGGCATTTCTCTGAGGGCTCAGCCCAGCACTGGGCCAAAGCATGGGGCTGGTTCCGAGTCCTGGGTTTTGTTCACCTGCCTGAGCCATGTGTCCCTGATGGCGACTCTTGGCTTTGGACAACCTGCAGGGAGATGGCGGCTGAGCTTCATGGAAGTAAGCTGCTCTGTGTTACATTTATGTCAAAACTGCTCTGAATGAAATTTATTTAAGGAAAAAAAGTTTTGCCTATTGACTTTAAAATGATACAGATTTTTCATGTATGTTTTAGGCACAGTAGTTGCTTGGCCAATGTATCCCCCCACACACCGCCTTATCTTGAATCATAGATCATTTTCTCCATAGGCTTTAAAGGCACGGTACTGATTATTTTCCCAGTATTGCTAGAATATGTTTTTGTGTACTGGTGTTAAAAGACCCAAGGCTTTGTCGTTTGCTTTGTTATGTATATTGTGGAACCGGGCTTGCCAACATCTGTTAAGAGTTAAGAACTTGAGCTTTTTAAACAGAAGTATTTTTCTGCACATTTTATGGAATAATTGCAGAAAGGTATGTGGGAGGAATCCTCTCCTGACAGGAAGGAAGCTGCTCTGGTTTTTGAGATGCTATAATATTGGAGTTTCAGGGACAGTCTACATCGAATGCAGTTTTGACTGTAGTGGTTGTTGGTATTGATGGTGGGCTCTATTTGCAATATTTTAATCAGTTTATTGAGTGCTTCTCTTTAACCAGTGCAATTTTTTTTTTATTTTTTTTTTTTAGTGCTATGTCAACTGGGAATGAAGCAGTGAGACAAGCATGAGTTATTAATGCCTACTTTTAATCAGAAGTTTTCACATTCATTAATCTCAGCTCAGGGGTCTCAATTTGGTTTCCTTTTAACGTGTAGTTTCCTCTGCCTTGCCTCGCCTGGCAGTGATCTTCAGGGTGGAAAAGTGTCTGTTCTCAAAAGAATCCTCAAAGGGCAGCTTTCTGCTGCTAAGTGAATTCTGAGTCGGTGGTGGTACTTCCATGCTTCTTGTAGCTGCTTACCTCTGTGTCATTACTGGGTAACCACGTGCTTGTTAAGCTATTGACTTGTTATGTCTTTGGTCACTCATTTGAAAATTGAGTCTGTAGTTAATCAAAATGTGCTGAATATAGCGCGTGTCGTTTTAGTGATGATGATGCATTTTTGAGCCTTTGCATTCTGTGTCTGCCCTGCTGCATGCAGGACCTTTTGATTCAGCATTGAGGGAGCCAGGATGCCGTCTGATGTTATCGTCCTATTTGAGTGGGGAAGGGGAGTTGTGTTTGTTTTGAGTTGAGAGTTGTTCTGTTTTGTTTTCTGCGGGGGAGAGGACAAATGTTTTCAAGGTTTATTCCTTCTTTCACAGAGAAAGAAAATGTATCCATCTCTCACCAAAACTTACAGGCAATCTTTTCATTCATTTTAAGGCAGATGAACAACAAACTGAGAGAATGCTAATCGTACTGAGAACAACCAAAATCAGTGCGAACCAGTTTGTTCTTGTCTACTCTTGTTTATTGTTATAAGCGATGCTTTAACCAAAATCTGCTTTTGTGTGCGTGATTCTCTGGGCCTGAAATGAATGGCAAGCACAGTTTTATGAATTAACCGAGGGCTGACTGACTGAATGCATTTTTCCAAGCTAGTGCCAGTTTTGCCCATCTGCGCTCAATTCTGACACTTCAGCTGCTGCAGCACTCTGTGTTGAGCCACCCTTGAAGACTGCTTGAAGGTTTCAGCTGGTGCAGAAAGAAGCAATTGACTGTACATGTGAGATTAGATCCCATTTCTTGTACATTGCATTCAGAATCAATTAAGGTGTTCATATATAGTAGTTATGAATACATTTTTCAAAACTTTCAGTGGTCTGGATGGAATTAGAGTGCTGTAGCACCAAGAGGCTGGGCTGTGTTTTAGTGAAGTTCTCTTGTTTCAGACGTATCCAGGAATTTGCAAAATAAAACGGTCCCTTTTCTCCTTTGGAAGTGTTCGCGTGTTTTATGTACTGCAATTTTACAGTGTTTTTTAATGTGTTACAACTGAAGTCATGGGAAGGCTGATGCAGTGGTGAAATCACAGAAATGGCTCTTCTACACTTAGCAAAGAAACCTCAGTGCCTAACCCAGTTAAATCTAGGCTGTTTTAAAGACTGTCAGATAGAATGAAAATATTAATCCAGTATAAACGTGTGGCAACTTAAACCATCATGACATACTGCAACGGAAGAAGCCCCTTATGGTTTAGGTTTTGTTTTAGTCTCCCCATAAGTAGTTTGGGATATGACTACTTTCAGTTAAGAAAGCTTGTATAAAAACTGAATGCCATTAGGAATGTTCCCCTAACTTTCATTACAAGGCATCGTGTTAAAGCAGATCTTCCCTCCTCCTGTTGCTTCTCTCTGTGGCATTTGGCATCTGTACAGAGTTGCAGACCCAAAGAGGTGCTTGCTGCAAGCACTGGCTTTGTGTTCACCATTCTTTTTCGTCTGAGCTTGTTAAGAAACCACTAGTAGTGATAAGTTTGTATTTTAAGGAATTCCAAAGTACTTTGTGTAAGTTCCGATGGCTCTGGTGCTCAGGCACAGCACAGTCCTTTGCTGCAAGGAGGACCAGGCTGTGCAGAAGGTGAATTTTTTATTTGTGCAACTAGTCTGAAAAAAAATTTCAGAGGAGCTGAGAAGCAAAGCAGGCTTCTGGGCTGGAGCACAGAGGTGCTATTTCCATATGTCTCCTTAACATAAACCTGAAGCAGCTTTGGTCTTACTTTCCGAACCAGTGTATGTAAAGTATTGCTACAGAGCTGCTGTTCTGTGTGCAGATGTGACCTGCAGAACAGACACAGGAATGGTCCATGGGCAGCAGGTGTTACTGAGTCCATTCATCAGCTGATGAAAAGCAGCAGGATGGTTTGATGATCATTCCTTGTTGAAGTAGGGAAATAGGCGTTTGTTGATGGTACCGACCTTTAGGTAACTGTTTGAAAACGTAATTTTGTTACTATTTTTTTTTTTAAGGGCAATATCTATAATCTATTTTCAAAGTTCCCTGTTCTTCAGAAGGCTGAGTTATGAGGCACTTCCACTGAATTAAGGCTGTCAGAAGGTGGTGCAGTGCGTGTTTATAGTTTCAGAGGGAGATGCCTGTTGATCCTTAACTGGTGATGCTGAGGAAGTAGTGGTGCTGTGTGTATTTTCAGTCTGTGATACAGCTGTGTATTACAGCCTAATGAAAAAGTTCCAATAAACTGAAATGGAAGATGTAGGTATATTTTTATGCTGTTAAGAATGACACTGGAGGTTTTTGTTCAGGATGTTATGTTTGTTATTTGCTCCCGATTGACTTTTCTAGTGTCAGCAGTATTGGGAACACAAGATTACTGCTGTCCTGGATTCAGGATGCACCGGGGCTCGTATTCTTACTGCAACTGTCAGGCTCAGTATTTAATGGCTTTTCCTCAGCTGTGGCAGCAAGATTCTGTTTCAGCTCATCTTAAAATATTTAGAATATGATAGCTGGAAATATTCCAGATTCAGTCTGTGCATTTTTTTTTTTCTTTGCCAGCTTCAAGAAGGAAAGCCAATCGTGGACCAAAATGCCATTGTTCCCTGTCCTTTTTAGATGGTTTGACACCTAAACCTGGCTTAGTCCAACTGATAAGAGGGAGGGAGGTTTATCACAGCACACCTCCGCGTGGGCTGTGCGTCCCAGTGTGCTTCACGAGGCTGCTGACCATTGCTTCCTACTTTGCTGGTGAGAGCAGTTGGATGAGAGCACAGTGACCATCCCTGTGCTCACCTGCGACGAGTTCAACGTGATGCCTGTGCTCATGCTTGGAAACTCCTGTTATGCAGCAGTCTCGTGCTTTATTTTCTGATTCAAACCAAGGCTGTGCAGGTAATCCATTTTTGGTCTGTATTTTTCCGAAAATAAAACTTAAAGTAAAGGTTCAACTTTTTTTGTAAGGTTTAGGTTGGATTTTGGTGGAGAGGCTGAGCAGTTTCTAGTTGGTCGCTCAGCACTGCGTTTCATCTGGGTGCAGAGTGCTCCGGCTTGTCAGAAAGCATGAAGGAAATAGCTGAGGAATCTAAAAAAAATTCAGTGCTAATATTTCCTTTTAATGTAGCTTCCTTTTTCAGAAGGCAGTATAAAAAGCAGCTTTACTTCTAGGTGACCTTGCTGCAGTGGCTGTTGTGGCAGGAAGCTCCAGAAGCGTGTAACGCAATGTTTCCATTGCATGGCAGCACAGGAGCTGGGTCTGACACTTGGGGAGGCACTTCTGAGCGTTCTGTCACTCGTGGTGTTGAGCCTTTCTGCCGTTGTCAGCACAGACTTCAGAATTCCGATAAAAGTACGAGTAACGCTGAAATTTTTAATTAAATGTATCCATCTTCCGCTAACGACTTCCGAAAATACATTGTAAAAATAGCATCTAGCAATGAAAACAAAGCCTGAGTCAGAAATGCTTTGATGCGCCTTTTCCAGCTCTGAAATGAGCGCTGAATCGCGCCGCGCCGCTTTGAAGCGCCGCGCTGTGAGAGCGGCCGCGCCGTAGGGCGGCGATGCGCGCGGCCCCGCGGCTGGCGGCGATGCTGGCCGAGCGCTCGGGGATCCCGGAGCCGCCGAGCTGAGGAAGGCGTTCCTCCAGGACCGGCCTGCGCTCGTCTGCCGGCCCTGATGGCATTCGCTGTGCCTGCTGCTGGGATGCGGCGCTGCGGTCGCCTTTGGATTGGAACGGCGGTACCCAAAAAACCAGTGCTTTGGACTCGGAGTAACCTGCAATTTGTGTGGAGAGGAAATTGCTCTTGGGCATGAAAGCTAGATAGTGTGCTACAGAGGTCTGTTTCCCTACAGATGGGAGATGTGGGTGTAAATTGGTTGTGTTTAATGACGAGATCAGAACTTGTCAAAAAATATTTCAGGTTTTGGACTCTTCGTTACAGTTCATGCAAAAAGGTTGTGGCATTCATTTAGAGCTATTGGTCTTTCAGAACATGCCCGTACTGAGAGCCCTGGCCGGAATTAAATCTAGCAGTGGCATTTGATTCAAGTTTCTTTGGATGGGGAGTTCCTGAGTCACACTTAGAAATACAAGTGACACACGTGATCTATGGAAAGGGACAGCAGTACCGATTACTTTTTTGGTTCCCTTTTTGGTTACTTTGTAAAAATCCTCATTAAAATGAATTTTTACAACTTACTGCTTTTCACATTGCTGTGTGATGTTTTGAAACTGACTGACTTGGAGAAGCAGAGGGCAGTGGCTGCGTGCTTGGGGAGTGGCTGCTTTGTGACCCTGGAGAAATTTGGGTACGGCATGAGGGGTGCTCTCAGGTTTTTTTTTTCAGTCACTCTGAATCTTATAATTCTGGAAAAGCTGCACTTCAGTCGAGTTGTCAGCGCGGGGTCTTGAAGGGGCTGACGTGGGGCTCCCGGTCCTTGAGGCATGCCTGTGGCTGAGGCTCACATTGGAGGCCCCTCCTGGGCAGCCCTGAGTTCCAGGCAGGGGTTACTCAGAACTGCCCTGGTCTCCTTCAAGTTCGCACCCCCCGTGCACCTTTGCCTTCATCTCCTCTTGTTTCAGCTTGCTGGTATTATTGCTGTGAAGACATCTCTAGTAGCAAGAGAAAGTGAAATAATCCATTTGTTTGTTGCTGTCTTATAGAATGTGTTTCAAGGTTGTTTCTGGTGTCTTATTTAATTCATCTCTAGTAATGAAAATTTCAGTGCAAGAAAGCTCACACGACTTATCTCTCTTTGTAGCTTCCCATAAAGGCCAGCCAGCAGAATACCCACACCAAAGTCAGCACAGAGCACAACAAGGAGTGTCTCATCAACATTTCCAAGTACAAGTTCTCTCTGGTCATCAGTGGTCTCACTAATATCTTAAAAAATGTTAATAACATGGTGAGTTCTCTCATTTTAGATTGCTGGATGATTCTCAATATGATTTTTAATTATTCACATTGCACAATGTCTGCAAAGAGACACTGAAGCTCAGTCAATGTTGGTCGCTTTTTACTCCTACATATTTTCTTTCTATATGATCACATTCACCAACAGCACTGTTTTACAAATCAAGATGGGGAGATGGCTATGGCAGCAGAGAAGTTAAGGGAGGATGGTGGTTAAGGGAAATCCTTTGTTATTCATGGGAAGGGGTCTGTAGCTGGGAGGGTTGTAGGCAGCCAAGGGAGCAGTCATCTGGGCCTCTGAGCAGTGTTGAGGTACTGGCTGTGCAAGCTGCACCGCTTGTTGGGAGATGAGGACGATGCTTTCTGTTGCCTGGGAAGGTGCTGCAGGTGGCTGGGGGAGCAGTGCTTGCAGCCTTTTTAGATGAAGAATGCAGCAGAGCTAAAAATGTTAATTAAAAAATCTATGTTTGCTTTTCACTGAGGAACAGAACTGTTTTTTTTTCCTCTATTCAGTGGAGTAAGTTACTGTGCAAATCAGCATTATTTGTGAAGGTATTAAGAAAAAGGGTTTGCACTCTGCCAAAAGTTGCAATTAATTTTGAGCCAACCTCTTGAGCAGTGTGAGATGTTTGAGAGGAACCTCCTTTGGACAGCTGTAAGTTGGCTGTGGACTCAGGCAGCAGTACTGATACAGTTCTGGCTAAATCTTTTCTGTGTTGTTTTGCTGTCTTTGTATTGTTGGAACCAGCCAGTACCAGCAAAACAATTGGGTGATAGCTTAAGTGCTGGATGGATCTCTACCTCCATCCTGTTTCTGAAGTGTGGCATCTTTTTGGAGAGTCTCATGTTTCTTGCTGTGGTCTGTGATAAATTTAGCAGCACTTGAATAAGCTTGTAGGTATAGATTTGTTGCAACATCATTTCTGTTAAGTGAGATGTTGGCAATGAAATACATAATTGGAAAAGAGTCAGCAGTAATTGGTACCAAAATAGTTTCTGAAAAGGTGTAACCTTCATTTCTGAATAGTTTACCGGTCTGATGAAGGCAGGGGGCTGCAGTGCACCTCCACTCTTATTCTGCAGTAACTGCTTGTTCCTTGTTGGATTTGGCCCTGCAGGCAGTACAGAGATATTTCTTCAGCAACAGGGTTTTAATTCTTTTTTTGGACTAGCTATGTTTCTGAACTTAACTTTAGAACAGTAAAGGAGCCATAATTTTCTGTGCAACTCTGCAGCATTACTTTAATGTGTTACAAGTCAAATTTGTGCCACTCAGATCCTATCCTTTCTTCTTCCAGAGAATATTTGGAGAAACTGCTGAAAAGAACTTATATCTATCTCAACTGATTATCTTGGATACACTGGAAAAATGTCTAGCAGGGGTGAGTATACTTGCATGAGCATGGTATCAAATGAGTTAAGAGAATAAGTCAAATGCCTGTCTGTCAGTTATTACTGGTACAAAACATAAAACTTAGCTCATTTGGAGCAAAGTAGTAGTAATGCTATTTTAAAAAGAGCAGAATTTTACATATATGAACGTTATTTACGTAATTGATAAATTAAGTATTTCTGGGCTGTGTTTTCCTGCCTAGAATTAATGATAGTGATTTTAGTAATTTAGATAATGACTTTAGTAATAGTGATTAGAAGTATTTTTCCATCTATATAGATTCAGGCAAACCGATGAACTTGGCCTTTTCAGTGCTCAGCTGATTGTCTGGAGTTATAAATAATGAGTTTCATGTAATAATTTGTTAGAAAATTTCAGACATCTGTATTCTGCGAGGCAGATGTGAGCTGGGGTAAGAAGGGGCACTCAGGTAAAGAATTAGACTTGGTTGTCTGGCTTAGCTAGATTGCTGTGAACTTTGAATGCATGTGGCATATTCCACTTAAAGTCTCTTGTGAGTTTCATTTGGTAAAGTAATTTTATTTCAGTTTTGTGTAATTGCATTTACAGTAGAAACTTTGCCATCGCTACTCTAAAACTTACTTTTGCAGGTGCTTCCTAGTTTACATTGGTTAACTCTGTTCAAACTTCCACTGGGAGTCCCGTCCTGAGGCTTCCAGTCAGAGCTGTGCTGAAAGGCAGTTTGCTGTTACCTTTGGGATGTTGATGGTTGTACAGCTTACTGTGCTAAACTTTGTAATTCCAGAGCCAAATTTCACTGTGAACAAAATTTGCAAATCTGTGGTTTATTCCTTTAATAAGAAAGGCAATGAAATTCCTTTTTAAAGCTGTGCTCCTGGTTGAATATCATGAAATCACCCAAGCTTCTTGCTGTTTCTCTGTTTCTGAAAGCTTTTTATAAGGTAATAACTACGTGGTGACTAGGTTTGTCAAGCACTGTATCTTACAGTAGTAAAACAGTCTCAGTATTTGTGAGTTCATCAGGATTCACAGAAGACCCAGGTAAATGCATTTTGCATAATAAAGTATGGCTGCAAAAGCTAAAGTAAATACCTCCTTTGGTTCATTTTCCATCTTTCATATGGAGAATCAAAGGAGACCCCATCCCAAAACCTGTTTAATTTCTGAAATTTAATTTCTTTAAAATTTTCTTTTACACATTTTGCTTGAAACATCAGTGTTGTTTTTTTCCCTGATACATGATGATACTTCAACAGCCTAAAATTATGCTGGATGCTTCTCCCTTTGTCCATTCAAACGAGAGCAAATTGAGCCCATATATGTACAGTAAGACTGAGCCAAAGTTCTATACAAAGAGCGTTGTGTTCTGTGATATCTTCAGACTTATTTCTTGCTCACTGTTCTTGCTCAATGTTTCATCAAGTTCTCATGGCAACAGAGCTCAGGTCAACAAAGTGGGAGTCTCTGAAACTTCCCAATTCCCTATGGTAAATTCATTGGTAGAATTTTAGAAAGCTTTAATGCTGGCCCTTCTGTTAAAACTTGTTCTTACTAGAGCAAAGTTTCACTTCAAATTCTTCAGCAAATAGTTTCCTTATGTCTCATACTGTACAAACTGGCAAAAATTGAAATTTTCTTTTACAGGAAAGTTGAGACATTTTTTGACTCTCATAGAGCCATTCCAGGGAAGAGGAACAGAGAAGCACCTCTTTCTCAGTTCATTTAAAAAAAGATTTGCTGTTTGAAGTATAGGGGTCAGAATACTAACCAGAGGAGAGGTACGGGTGAGTCTGTGCCCTTCGTGCCACTATTCTAAGCCAAGACAGTGCTTGACATAAGTTGGCAGAGAACATTACTCAGGTAATATATTTTACTTCAGAAACAAACTTGGTGTTTTGCTTGATGGCATTGGTCAACTTCACGTCCTACATATTTTGGAGACTAATTCAGAACTGTAACGTGGTTTGGATGGTGCAGATTGTTGTTCAAACGGGAAGAATCCTTTTCTGCATAGCTTATCGTGTGGTCAGTGGTAGCATGCAAGTGGAACTTGAAATCCAGATTCAGGTCCAGTGCTACTAGTGGCAGATGCTCCATTCTTTGCCTTCGAACCTAGAAAATTGAATATCATGAAGTGCCAAATGTTTAATTTTAGCAACCGAAGGACACGATGCGACTGGACGAGACTATGCTGGTAAAACAGTTGCTGCCAGAAATCTGCCACTTCATCCACACTTACCGTGAAGGGAACCAGCATGCAGCTGAACTGCGCAATTCTGCCTCTGGGGTTCTTTTTTCTCTTAGCTGCAATAACTTCAATGCTGTGTTCAGCCGCATTTCCACCAGGTACGTGTTGTAGTAGCTTGACTCAGCCACTGTATTAGAACACCTGAGAATGAGTGCCTGGAAGATCATTCGTGAGCTGCAGTCCTTCATTTTTGAAAAACTTTTACTGCTTAAGTGGTATTTAGAGAAATTTCCTCTGCCTGTCAAAGTTTTACTTGACTTTAGGGTTAGAAAAGGTACCTGTTCCATATCTGTTGTGGGTTACTGTCAGCATAATATTGAGTTGTGTTTATTGCTCTTTTTTACCTGCATTTGTAAGTCCAAGTCAAACTTTATTGTAAAATGAAACAGTGATGACTGAGAGAAATGTATTTTGTAGCCTAAAGTTGAACATCTGCTCCTTTTATAGGACATATTTTTCAGCTAAGACTGACAGTCTTTGGGTTTAATTTGTGAATCCTTATTCACATGTGTGTAACATGGCTGACTTCTCAAGCTCTGAAATCCTTCCTAGCATCAGTTTGACCGTACTGTAGTGCCTTTGTCCCCTGACCTGTTTTTCTCTTCACGATGGCTTGCACAGAAATAGTTAAATACTTGACCAATTGTTGCTGATCTCCACAGGGGTCAGCTTGCCGACAGTTAGCATTGCTGATCTTTTGACCTGTGCTTCCTGTTTAGGAATATTTCTAGGCCTTGCACAGCAGCTGGGGGATTTTTGGCATGAAAAGCAGTGCAGTGGGGACCTTCCCATTCCCAGCGTGGGCTGTTAAGTTTCCCTGGTGTTGAAGAAATGAAGAGCTGCTTTTGTGTGCAGTACTAGAAATTGCATTCCTTGTCAAAAACACATCTGTAGTTTTGGAACTAGACATGGCAATCTTTAGTTTGTGAGAGCATATGATTTAGTTATTAGTGGCCTGGTATCTGTTGAGATGCTTAGTAAATTATCCAGTACAAAACTGAAAAGGTGCCATTGGATTTAGAACGGTATGATTAAACTTCATCCTGTTCTTTTGCACCAAGTAACAAGGACCTTCTTCAGCTTACTGAGTGTGTTTGTAGCTCCCTTCTGTGCTATCAAGTGGCATCAGTCATTGTTTTACTGTAGAGAAATTAGCTGGGGCAAGACTTGCTGCTAAGGAACAGTAGTCTGAAGGTGTCATGACTCCAAGTGAATAATTTGGATGAAAAGATTTCAAGGTTAGAGCTACAAGAGGGGAGGTAGCAGAAGGCTTCAGGCAAATCTTGGCTGTAAACAGGCTGTCACCAGCTGATACTGGTATCTTGTGAGACTTACCACTGGTGTTTTTGGATCTATTCTCAGTATGAGGATTAAACAGGACTTGATTGTAACTCTTAATTTTGCAAAGTCTGCCTTTTATTTCTAAACCTGGATAAGTTTATCTGAGAGGATCATATTAGATGTGGAGATCATTTATTATTCTGCTGCTCTGCAAATGTATAGAATCGTGGGTGTGTGCACATACCTGTCTGATCATCTGAAGGAGAAGTTAATTTACTTTGCATATTTTTAGATTGCAGGAGCTGACTGTTTGTTCAGAAGATAATGCTGATGTTCACGACATTGAGCTTCTACAGTACATCAGTGTGGATTGTTCCAAGCTAAAACGACTCTTGCAAGGTATGATGGGAACCTGTCTGAAATATTTATATCTGAATATGTGTTGTTAGAGATGACACAATGATATTGATATGTTCAGCTTTTTCTTCTTTAATCCAAATATCCTGTACGTTTTTACAAAGTGCTTACAGGTATGCAAGTACCTTTAAAGTATCAGAAAGTGCTTACTTTCTAAAGGCTTCAAAAGTGAGGCTTTGCACCTCACACATTTTTTATAAACTTTATTTGCTGCTTTTTAGAACTAAGCTTCTCTTTAATGCAGAGATGTTTTACCTTTACAGAGACTGTATTCAAGTTTAAAGCCCTTAAGAAAGTAGCTCAGTTAGCTGTTATCAACAGTCTTGAAAAGGCAAGTATTATTAATTTTCTGTTTCATCGCTTATTTGCTGTTTTTCTGTAACTTAAAAATATGTGCAATTCAGAATTTTATTGTAAAAGATGCACTGGTGTTTCCCTTTGTGTCCTGCAAGAAATGCCGAGTTGTTAGAAGTTAACACTGAAATATTTATTTAAATATGTAATTTCAAAAACTATGTTTTTTAAGCTCAGGAACGTAAAGATGTTCTGTGTTACTTGCAGGCATTTTGGAACTGGGTGGAAAACTATCCTGATGAATTCACAAAGCTGTATCAGACTCCACAGACTGATATGGCCGGTGAGACGTAACAAATGACACATTGTTCTAAAGTTGGTTTTAACTTTTTCCTATTAAATCATGAGGGGTTTGTGGATATTCTTAGTTGGTTTTGTTTTCCCACAAGGCATCCCCACATTCATTTTGTGTCTTTTTTTTTTTTTTTCTTCTTGTCCATCCTACATGTCAGAACAAATTTCGGTCAGTCTTTTACAGGGCAGGCAAGAATGTGTTTCTGCTTTCTTTCCTGTCTCAACTTTTAAAGGGATTTGTTTTGTGATTCAGAACACAAAGAAATAGACCCCCAGAGATGCAAACTCTTCAGATGTGTATTTTTGTTCTTGATACACAAAAAAAAACTTGTTGGAAAACATCAGCTCTATTTATCTTTAATCCAAAAGGATAAAAATTAATATTTTCAGATAAGCCAGGGCTTTAAATGGTTCGCTCCACTTTTATCTTGGGTAGCATGTTTGTGATGTGCAAAGCAGGACTTTTTTTCTGTGTAGGCAGAGATATCATTGCTCTCTTACTCCTGTCTTTTCATAATTAAAAGCAGTATTGAACTTGAGGTTGTATTTTATGCAGATTGTGCAGAGAAGTTGTTTGACTTAGTGGATGGCTTTGCAGAGAGCACAAAACGTAAAGCAGCAGTGTGGCCACTACAAATCATACTCCTGGTCCTGTGTCCAGAGATAATTCAAGATATAGCAAAGGATGTGGTAGAGGAAACTAAGATGAACAAGGTAAGAAAAGAAAATTATCTTAGTTCTGAGTTCTAGGTGATGCTTGTCTTTGCTTATTCTATATTTTATTACGTCTTTTATACCTCAAGTGCATTAAAATTCCATATGTAAATTTCTGCACCCTTTTTGTTCTCAACTGGCATACGTTCTTTCATTGTCAATAATTCATGCAGCTAGTATGTCCTAAATAATGTTATTTCAGAACTTGCATGTTTCCTTAGAGATTTGAATCCCAGTGTTGCAACGCCCTGGTTTCCACCACACAGCTAGCATTTCTTCTAGCTGCTCTGTGTCGAACCGGTCTGAGTTTGTTCAGTGTGTGTAATGTGTGCTCTGTAATTGCAATACCTGCCGAAGGAGAATTTGGTGTGATTGCAAACATTCTTATTGTGAGTGAACCAGCATCTGATTTTATTGCATTCTGATTGCCCTCAATGATCCAAAATGAATGTGTAATACAGATAATGCTTCTCAAAAATGCTGCATCAAGTTGGTTTTTTGCAGCCCCAGTATTTGTGACTTCTATTCAGGAAATGCAACATTATATGGTTTAATAGTTAAGTTTCTGAAAACTCTGATCACAGATTACCAAAGCTCTGATGATAACTGTTACCCACTTGAATTCTGCAGAAACTGTTCCTGGACAATCTCAGGAAAGCACTTGCAGGCCACAGTGGGAGCAGACAGCTGACTGAAAGTGCTGCTATTGCTTGTGTTAAACTGTGCAAAGCATCTACCTATATCAACTGGGAGGATAATTCTGTCATTTTCCTACTAGTGCAGTCCATGGTAGTAGATCTTAAGGTAAAACTATGTTTCTTAATTGCAATGAAGAAATTTGAATTTTAGATCTTCAAACTTCCCCTTAAATGAATGCCATGGTGTTCTTTAATTGAATGTTTTTTTTTTTTCTTTTTTTAAATTGCAGCATTTGATTGAGTTGTTGCAATTCTTAATTTCACTCCCTTATTTTTTTTTTTTGTTAATACCCTGCTTTCTTCCTCCTGAAGTTTTGCATTCTTTTCTTCATTTAGTGCCTCACGGGTGAAGCCATGACACCTGGGTAATTTACTGACTACTTCAGTGCTTCCCCAAGGTGCCATGTCACAACAGTAGATACTGTTTGAAAAAAAGTGTAATTTTTAGAGTAGAATACATGCTCTTTTTTTTCCCCCCATGTGATGTATTGAAAATAGACAAGAATAATCTTGGTGTCTCTCTTTTTTTCTTCTTTCTTTAACAAAAAAAATGTGTATAGAATTTGCTGTTTAATCCGAGCAAACCTTTTTCAAGAAGCAATCAGAATGCAGATGTAGACCTTATGATTGACTGCTTAGTTTCATGCTTCCGCATAAACCCGCATAATAACCAACACTTTAAGGTGAGAGCACAACGTTCTGGTAAGTCATTCTGCATACTGTCAGTGACTTGTAAATTATCAAAGATGTGCCAACAGCAGCTGGGAGTTGGTAAATAATTTCAGCTGTGTAAGTGTCCCTTAGTGATACATTACTTTGTGTTTTTATAAGCCTTTTCTTAGCCTGTTAGAGTTCCTTATTCTCATGTCTTTACATTTGACAATTTTGTCAATTTAATTAAAAGGCTCCAGTATGTTATTCAGTGTGGAATGAAAGGTGTCAGAGAAAAAATGTGGCTTTTATGTATTATTTTCATTGCAGATCTGCTTGGCACAGAGTTCCCCATCAACATTTCATTATGTACTAGTAAATTCACTCCACCGAATAATCACAAATGTAAGTTCTGAAAATATTTAATCAGCCCAGCTATCTGTGGCTTCTCTTCAGATCCGTAGCTGCTTCAGCTTAAATCCGTGCCGCAGGAGTTGCTTGTTAATAGCCAAGCGTGTGCAAATGTTATTTCACACTGTCTGCTGGTTGGGTTCTCCGTTTGAGAGGTTTTCCTGGTCAGTGTGAAAATGGAACCAGTCAGTGCTGAGCAGCCGCCCTACTGACGACGTGGTGTCACTCAAGTTCGTGTGTCCCAGCATGATAATGAGAGCACTGTTTAAAAAAACTATGAGGTGTTTTGAGAAATAGAGAAGAATGTGCTACAGTGGATGTGGTGTATCCAGAGGAAAAATAAGGAAGTAATTTTAAATAAATTATATTGCTATGGTATTTGTACACTTTCAAATTAATGCTGTTTTACTTACGATTAATATGTTGAATAATACAGCTTTTTAGATATTATCAAGTGCTTAGAGCATCATTTTTCTACTTTGCGTAGTGTATCAGAATGAGTGGAGCACATGTTGAGTGTTTATAGTATTACTAAGCTCTCTGTATCCTGAAATCCACTCTGGTTTCCCAGATTTTCAGTTTGTTTGTTCAGTAGTAAGCAGCTAACTTCGAGTTGTTGCTTCAGTTACAATTCATTTAAGACTGAAATGGAATATCTGTAATAGTGTGCAAAGCACTCATTTGTTATATTAAACCTTTTGTAACTTTTAGAGGTCTAAGAATTGTGGAATAAATCCCAGAATCATATGTAAACCATGACATAAGTCATGTTATGGCGCACCTGCTGAGCACTTCTGCATTTTCCTCCTAGTCTGCATTGGACTGGTGGCCCAGGATCGATGCTGTGTACTGCCATTCCGTGGAGCTTCGCAGCATGTTTAGTGAGACACTTCACAAAGCTATTCAGGGCTGTGGGGCACATCCAGCAATTCGCATGACTCCGGTAAGACTTGTCAACAAGTTGGTAAAACACAAACCTATCACTTTTCCCATCTCTCCATTCCGTGTTGGCTTTTTATTCATTAACTTTAGACTGGAAAGTAGAGGGGGGAAGAACATTACAATCCAAAAAGCAACAGAGAGCCATACATGCTCTGTAAACTTTCCAGGTTATGGTGTATTGACTAGCTGTTCCTGTGCTGTAGTGACACATGCTTCTCCAGGTTTTTTTCGTGCTGCTTTTAGACTGGCAACATAGAAGTAACTGTCCTCCGTGGCTAACCATTCATTTTACGTGTTCTTGCTGTGTGAATAGCTAGATAATATATCCAGTTCTGTTTAATCTGAAAAATGGAAGCATTCTGTATGTGAGGTTAATTTCTGAAAACCGGAATGCTTTTACCATGATTAGCACGATTGTTACTATTACCTCCTTTTATTTGTCTTGCTTGCTTTCTGATAGCAAGTTGACTGGTCTTGGTGACAGCATCAATGATAAAGATCTTTCAACCATTGTGAAATGAAGTCAGTATTCTCGGTTGTCTTAGAAATTTTGAGTAAATTCAGATTTGTGGTTCGTCCAGATTTATTCAGTAAGTTCACACGCAACCACATTTCCTTCTGATCTTTCTGTGTAGGACTCTGGATGTGTCACGTTAGCTCACTGATGTTCTGTATTGTCACAGTGTGTTGGATGTTTGTTTTTAGAAGAGCTAAAATTATGCATGAAAATACTACTGTTGGGCTTGTCGTATGAAAGAAAAACAGTCAAAATGCCTTTAGTTGAAAGCTATAACTTGTTTAACTTGCTTTTTACATGTATGTTCATCTGTTGAGAAAATAGCAGGGGTGTTGTAGTGTCAACTCTGACATTGATTGGTGGTGCTTTGTCTTCTGCTTCTTATTTTCTATTCTTATTGGCTGCTGTCGCTCATGGTCAGATGCCAACCAGTCACTGTTTTGCATGGCAGTGGGCCTCTGTTGCTGTAAGTATGACCCATCGTAACTACCGCAGAAAAGCCTTTCGTTGCCCTGACTTTTCTGTGCATAGTTACTGCTGCAGTCACATCACTTCACTCGGACACAAAAGGTGGCTTTGCGTGGAGCACAGAACTGGAGGAGACTGCTTCTGCTGGTCTGGCAGTTGCAATGTCATCCCTTGTACAAACTTGTTGCATTGGTAAAGGCTTTTTGTTGGATCTGTTCTGTTCTTTCTGCCCTCTACATTTCCATCACAACACTCTTCCAGAATCTCCCAGCTCTGTGATTAGAACTGTTTTCTAATTTCCAGCCTAAACTTATTTATGTGTAACTTTATCCCCATGTGTTCTTGTTCACTGTTGTCTGCTAGCTTCAAACTGGTGTTTATGTCCCTGATGCCTGTGCAGACAGCAGTCGTGTCCCTGCCTTTAGCTTTGACAGTGTGAAGTAAATAAACACTTCATAGAAGCTGATCAGCTTCTTTTGCCAAGTGTCTGTTCTCCCTTACTGCAGCAAACTAAGATTTTGCACAGCATGAGTTAGCTCTACTAGCATAGTATCAATTTCTTAATCAGATACTTTGTGTGGTAGATTTTATTCTATTTTCATATACATTCACTGGCCAGCAAAGTGGTGTGAGCTTTGAGCATTTCTGGAAGAATTGCATTCTATAATATTGTAAATATACTTTACTTCACTTGAGGATGATTTTGAGCTGGTTTATTTTACGTTCAAAATTAAAACTTGTTTTTTGTCTTCACTAAGCTTGTTGCTGTTTGAGATTTTATCAAATAATAAATTAGATAATTAAAAACCTGAGTTTCTAAAGTGTTCTGTCCTGTGCTGAATATCCACAGCCTTTTTTTGTGCAGTTTACTCTCGACTATTTTGGTAGCAGTAGGCAAAAATATTAGCTTAGTCCCTGGTGATGGAGTTTACAATTAATGAAAATATAAATTCTGTACGTTTACTGGAGAGAGATTAAAATCCGTGTTTGAGCATCCTGGGGTCCAGTTAATGCAATATATCTCGTATCTTTTTTTAATACACATAGAGAGATAGATGAGTGTTTTTCACAGACACCAGCATTTGTCCAGATTATATTTGTTAAGGTGAAGATGCTGCAGTAGTTTGCTGTGCAACAAGATTGTTCATCTGAAGTGTTGTGCGTGCTGTGGGGTCGAAGCATGTTCTCAGTTTCGGAAATCCTTATGTTGAGTGACATCCATACGCACTGACTGCACAGCCAGCACTGTGTGGCTGTTGGTGAGGTGCGTTGGTCATGCTGGGTTCTGTTGTGAATGGCAATGCTGGAACGTGCTGCCATTCACAGTGGAGTCAAGTCAGAATTCCTTATGAGTTGCTGATACAACCTTTATAGTGCCCTCCATTTCAGATGAGGGTGTTGAGTGGTGCAGGGACAATTCCTGGTTTTTCAAATGGAACTAGCATTTTTTTAATGAAAAGATGCACTATGTGCTTTGAGAACTGAAAGGCACTCTTTTTTCAGACGTCACATAGATGAAAATGCCTTAATCCAGACTGTAACTATGACAAAATAGTGTGTGTTGCCTTTGGAAAATAAAAATTCCCGACCCTCTCATGTATTCAGTTTTACTTGTGATCTTTTTTTCCTCTCAGAACAGCTGAAATAGCTCTAAATTTTTATTATTTCTTCTACACGTTTCATTTGTATAGTTTGTGTTATCCAGAGCTTTTCTTATGTCCACCTGCAGCTCACTAAAATATTTATTAAGTAAACTTTACAGATGTAATAGTGATAGCATATGCATATTTAATGGGGAATTTTTAAGCAGAAGTCCATGCAACTGTACTTGAGTGAATTGAGTGTACTTTTTAACTCCTTCATGAGTCATAGATAATGTAAACAATAATGCTTCATAAGTTGTTTAGTTGCAACTTCTACATATAGTTCCTTGCTGACTATAACTGCTTTTTCCTCCTGTCAGAGTCTTACGTTTAAAGAGAAAATGACAAGCCTTAAATTTAAAGAAAAGCCTACTGACTTGGAAACCAAAAGCTACAAGTTCCTGCTCTTATCCTTGGTAAAACTGATCCATGCTGATCCAAAGCTTTTGCTGTGTGTAAGTATGTTGAATATTTCATTCAAATAGTAGAATTTCATTTTGAAGTTCCTAAATGAATAAAAATTAGAAATATACCCATGACATCTAGGATACTTCCCTGCTCATTCTTTTCATCTGAACTGTCAAAACAAAAAGATAACAAGAAAAATGAAGCATCTTACAGAACCAGAGGGGAACACAATGAAAGGGAACATACAGCTGTGTAACTGAAGGGAGAAAGAAGGGATTACAGTCCTTGTTTCAGTGACCAGAAAAATGGATGCTTTCTTAGTTCCTTACAGCTTTCAGTTACTGTTGTCCGTGGTGTTGAGTAAAAGGAGGATTAGGGCAAGCATTCTTTAAAATAGATACGTAAAATTGCTAAAGATTCACTCTGATGTGAAAGAGAACCGTAACTTAATAAGCCTTATGTTTGAAAGTGCTTTCTTGTGAATTCATGTCAGAATGAATGTTCTGTTCTTTATAGTATTACTCTGTGACTGAATCTTGTACATCAAATCTGAAATATCAGAAGTAAACTGAGTATTGATCAAATGTCTGCACGTGGAGGGCGTGGGAATGCAGTGCTGCCAAAAGTAGGGTAGTATGAGCATCTAACCAGTGTGCTAAACATTTTCCTTCTGTCTGGTCTGTTTGTTGTTTAATTTAAATAGATTTCTATTATGTCAGAGATATAATATGGGGTGTCATGGCTGCTGCGCTATTAAAGATGTGGAAATCCTCTAGTTTAGTTACAGAAATTACTGTTTATCAGTCAGTAGCATGGTCAGTCATTGACAAGCTTTGCTTCTTAAACTTGCTTTCATTTTTGCTATTTAGAATCCAAGGAAGCAAGGGCCTGAGACACAAGGCAGCACTGCTGAATTAATTACAGGCCTTGTACAACTCGTTCCACAGTCCAGTATGCCAGATATAGCACAAGAAGCCATGGAGGTAAGAGGTGAATGTTCTCAGTGCCAGATGGTTCGTACAGGCTGTGCTGGACAAACTGGGGCTTTTCTAGAAGCCCTGGTAGGTATTGATCAGCTATGCAGTTGTTTTAGAGATGTCTCTATTGGTCTTTTGCTAAATGTCTCCTGCATTAAAAGTTTTACAGGAGAGACCTAGAGGGAAAGTTTTAAAACACAGCCATTCAGGTTGCCAGTTGGTGGCTGCCCTACACCTCCTAAGGCATTTTGTTCTGCCCTGGCATTGATGGAACAGAGTTTGACAGTTCCTCTGCTCCTCTGTTGCGCTCTGCACAGCCCCATTGGGCTCGTAGGTGCTTGTCTCAGTTTTGGTGATTGTTCACAAATAAGCACTTAGCAATAGATTCTGACCATTGTCTATCAAAGCCTTTGGTTGTGCAGGGAATGGTTACAAAGAGGAAAGTATTTTCCTGGCCTTGGAGAAGAGCTTTAACTAAAGAAATCTTGTAGTCACCATTAGAGGCTTATGTACGTAGGACTGCTTGAACAAATGCCTGCAGTAAATGTTAAAACACAAACTTATCTGAAGTGAGATGCTGTTTTGTTTTGAATTTAGGCCTTGCTAGTTCTTCACCAGTTAGACAGCATTGACTTATGGAATCCTGATGCACCTATAGAAACATTCTGGGAAATTAGGTAAGTTAACTTTTGTAAGTAAGAGGAATGGGTTTTGATTTCTCTTCTTTTTTGCAATAGCTGTGAGTAGTTCAGAAAGCTGTGTAACAGCAGCATGAATTGGCACTCTGTTAAAGCATTTTTTCTCATGACAAAGCTGCCTTATGCAATTTGTATTCTAACAAAAATATCTACAAGTGTTTTGCAGGCTTTCTTAACAGTTCTCTTCAGTGTGCTGTTGAGGAGTAGCAATGATTGTTGATAGAAAAAGTTAAAGGCTTTATCCCTGCATACAAGTGTTTGTTGTTTGAATTCTGTTGTATTTGTGTTGACTGAGGGAGGATAATGCTAAGCAATTCTAGAAGTGTGCATTTACTGATCTTGACTTTGAAACCCTCACCTAAAGAAGGTAGTAGCTGACCCTGACCTGTGGTTTCCATTTGTCTTTCTTGTGTGTTTAAAGAATTTTTATTGGTAAATTGTCTTGCTTTTTATAACTTCACAGCAGCTGTTGCAGTTATTTATTGGAGAATACTAAGCTAAACAAAGTTCCAAAAAAGTCAGTTAAAAAAGAGCTGAACCAAAAACTAAGGAGCCTGTAAACTCAGAATTCTAAGAACTGCGTGAGCTGGCCAACTCAGCTCATTCTCTTCTCAGAAGAGAATTTGGTGATCTCTTCCAGTTTGGTACAGGAGGTTGTTTTGGAAGAAAGCCTGAAGTCTAGGTGGTACACTTTCACTAGCATCAACAAATGGGCCTGCATGACTGCTAGAGGTGGCTCTAAGGGCTTATTATGGGATAGTTCTGGGGCTGAGTCCTACCTAGCTGGGCGATAACAAACTCATTACTGTAATTTAGTAGTAGAAATGAATCTGTGGTCTGTTCGGGCTGGGGGAGAAACCCTTTAAAATTGACACTAATTTGGACCCTTTGGCAGTTTTAACAGAGAGTGTGAGGCCTGAATGGATATGAAGGAGGAACATCCCTAGATGTGTTCCTTCCAGAACAGAGTTGAGACACGTTATCAGAGCAGTGTAGGTAAACTTGTACTGCCACTGTCTGTGCTGCATCTGTTCTGTGGATAAATGGAGGACTTCTGAATCGACGGCCCTGGAGTGTGGACTTCTAGCAAGTACCCAGATTGCTTAACTTCCTCTAGGGAACTGCTGAGGCCATTTGGGCGGTGGGAAGGGTCAGAGGGGATTGTGTCATTTGAAGTACACACCTATATCATATCTATTATACAAGTTAAAAGAAGGTGTTAGCACATCTGTAGGATATTCATGCCAGTCATCTATTTCTATGTAAAATGTAGCAATAACTTTTTCAAATATTTTGTTGTTAGATGATAAAGTTAATGCTTCATTTCATTTTGCTGCAGTTCACAAATGCTTTTTTATATCTGCAAGAAATTAACCAGTCATCAGATGCTCAGCAGTACAGAAATCCTCAAGTGGCTGCGAGAGATTCTCATCTGTAGGAATAAATTTCTTCTAAAAAATAAAGTACGTAAATATCGTTTTGTCACTCCCTTTGTTAGGTTATTTTTATGATTGAAGGAGTGTTAGTGGCTACGCTTGCACTTTCTGTTTTCTGATTTCCACCAAGAGAAAAATGCTTTGTCTTCTGTCATCTGTGAGACAATGCTGTGAGGCATCTGTGATTAGAACCCTTAGCTGAAGTTAGGGTGAGGATTCAGCTACATGGGTTGTTTTACTTTCCCTGAAAATGGTTTTCCAAAACCTCAGTTATTTCTGAGAAGGTGATGCATTGCACTTATTTCCCTAATATAGGGGAAATGGTTTGCAAGAGGAGAGAGAGGGGAGGATGGTTATGAGAAAATTCATTTCGTTGAGCTTGTGTTCAGCCTTGTCCTAGAACTCACTTGCTTCTTTCAAATACTAAGAGACTTCTTCCGAGCTGGACACACTTTGAACTCTGTACCTGCTAGAATTAAAACCAGACTTTTTTAATTGAAGGCCTACTACTGAAAATAAAGAGTTTTTTTTTTTTCTGTCTGGCTTGCAAGTAGATGTATTAACTTGAGAAGATGTCATGTGTGATAGGTGACATGCTTAAATGTCCATTGTACCAAGAGCATTTTTATCTTTAAATGATCTTCTTTCTCTTTTCAACATTGGTAGCTGTTACTGATGGAGGCTTTGAGTTTGTTTTGATGCTGAGTGGTAGGCTTTTTTCTTTATCTTCAACATAGTGTACATTTGTAAAATATCTCATGCTGCAGCTCAGGACTACGGGCATTCTGGCTTTTTATGAATTTGGGAAGACGTTCGTATTTTGCCTTGAAGTAGGAATCAGCTGTCCTTGAGACACAGAGTTGCTTAAGATTGTAATCCTGCTTTCAGTAGAGAAGAACTTACTTGTTAGAAATCTCTTCCTTCGTAATGCTCAGAGGATGATTATTAATATCAGGATAAGAAGAAGATAATAATTGTTTCCAGAGCTCTGCTTCATGCTCTTGGTTTTTACTTTTTATGTTAAAATATCAAGTGTATAGAGAATTATAGTGCTGCTGAGCTTGGCTTCTTTAGACTGAATTACATTTAAACTATAATTATGTTGGTATGTGTTCTGTGTAGTAAAACCAAGAAACCTATTGGGATTTCAAGGGCAGGCCCAAGGAAGGGAGGAGAAGGCATAATGTGCTTGCTTCAAGGTGATGCATTTTGAAGCTGGTTCTCAAAATACTTCGTTTTCTTAAGGGAAAGCATCATTCTAAGATACTGTTCATGTGGGTGTATTTATGAGGCCCTCTTAGAGCACCAGTGTGAAAGATACATTGTAAATTCTGAGGAGCTTTTCCCCTTGATAAGGTAGAGCCATGTCCTGAATCATATTGTTTTAAAAGATAAGGTGGTTTATTATTTTTCTTTCTTTTCTTCATAGCAATCAGACAGAACTTCCTGTCACTTCCTCTTCCTGTATGATGTCTCTGGAGGTGGAACCAGTCAGATGTCTCTTGACCATGAAGAGATGATGCGCTGTGCTCCTGGAGCCACCCTCAGGAAAGGGAAAGGAAATTCTTCCATGGTGAGTAACAGAAACCTGAAATCTCACCCTTTGAAGTATTGCGTGCAGTTGGAATGTACTGCAAAAAATCAAAATATCAAACATTTCAGTAAGGTATGCCATGGGACAGACAAGGTTTTCTGATCTACTCTTTAGCTGCAGGAAAAAGTGAAATGATATTTTGAATATCTTCTATGAGCAAAAAAAATTGTTTATTGGCACACAATTTTCTAGCATCAGTGGGACTTCCATAAGTATGTGAAGGTAGTCATGAAGGTAGTTTCTTGCCACTTTGTTTATGCAGTGTCATGTACAATAGTGTTCTGATCTCGTTTAGGACTGTTTATTCTCCTGGAATAAAAGCAAATTTGAGAAGAATCTTGGATAAAGTTAAATTATAGGAAAACTGTCATATTCCTAAGCAATATTACCAAATTTGGAATTTTGTTTCCCAAGGAAAGTACAGCAGGATGCAGTGGAACACCTATTTGTCGCCAGGCCCAAACAAAATTGGAAGTCGCCTTATACATGTTTTTGTGGAGTCCGGATATTGAGGCAGTCCTTGTTGCAATGTCCTGTTTCCGTCACCTCTGTGAGGAAGCAGATATCAGATGTGGAGTAGATGAAGTTTCAGTTCATAATTTTTTGCCAAACTACAACACTTTCATGGAGTTTGCATCTGTTAGCAATATGATGTCAACAGGTAGGAATGGTGAATCTGAAAAATATCTTTGCCCCTGGGTAATAAGACTGTTGGGATTGAAATTCTTTGAATAAGATTCTTGATTCAAGTGTAACTCTTGCTTTCATTGAAATAGCTGGAACAAAATGGTAATTTGGGTGTCTGTGATGATGTGAAAGTGTAACAGGGAGAACCTTTTTTGAAACACTTTAAGGGGTTATGTTCCTCTTGCTAATTTAAAAATTACTTTCAAAGATCTCATATTTGATGCAGGTCGCTTTTCAGAAACCTGTTTGATAAATATTCTGTTCTTTGTAGGGAGAGCAGCTCTTCAGAAAAGAGTGATGGCTTTATTAAGACGTATTGAACATCCAACTGCAGGGAACACAGAGGTAAACTTTATTATAAACTTATATACATATCTGTTGGTTTTGTGTTTTTTTGTTGTTGTTGGTTGATATGGTTTGGTTTTTTTGAACACAGAAAAGACTGTTGTTTCAAGTAATTTTGAAGTTAAATCTTGATATGTCTTATTTTAGGCTTGGGAGGATACACATGCAAAATGGGAACAAGCTACAAAACTAATCCTTAACTATCCGAAGACCAAAATGGAAGATGGGCAGGTGACTATGATTTTTCCATAGGTTCAACACTTAGAAATTCAAAGTAAATATTTAAATTTATGTATTTTAAGGAATTGCAGCTAGTTCTCTAGGAGGATGTAAGTTCCACGACAGTATTCCAGAAATCAGTCCTCTGTGCCCACTGATGAGAGAAATAATTTTACTTAAATTGTAAGACAGATGGAGTCTAAACTTATAAAGTGAAAAGAATACTCTGGAATACTACCAGAGAAATCGTGCAGTCCTTTCCACTGAAAGGTTGTGTTGTTTTTTTTTAAGGGAAACAAAAAGCTGCTGGCAGTCATCACTTAAATGTGCTCTATCCTGGTATTCAGCAGGGAGTTACAACCCGCTTTGGGCCACTTTTAGCCTTGTTTTTTCAACTTCTTCAAAAATAGTTCCCCTGGATAGATTTCTTTTACGGCCAAAATAAACTGCAAAAGGCAAATCTTAAAAAATTGTTGAGACTGGAATTTTAAATGGCAGGATTTGATATGGAATGCTTTCAAATTCTGATCTCTCTGTTATTTTTGCTTAATTGAAGACACTTCATCTCGAGTTGTTCTTTTTCAGGTTACTGAGAGTCTTCATAAGACAATTGTGAAGAGGCGAATGTCGCATGTTAGTGGGGGAGGCTCCATAGACTTGTCTGACACAGATTCTCTTCAGGAATGGATCAACATGACGGGATTCCTCTGTGCCCTCGGAGGAGTGTGCCTGCAGCATCGTAGCAATGCAGGATTAGCAACCTACAGTCCACCCATGGGCCCAGTCAATGAGCGTAAGGGCTCCATGATATCTATGGTATCCACTGAGGGAAATGCAGAGACTCCCGTTAGCAAATTCATAGATCGATTATTGACTCTGATGGTCTGTAACCATGAGAAGGTGGGACTGCAAATACGGACTAATATTAAAGATCTGGTGGGTTTGGAGTTGAGTCCAGCACTTTATCCAATGCTATTTAACAAATTGAAGAATACCATCAGCAAGTTTTTTGATTCTCAAGGACAGGTAAAGTGTTTCCTTCACATTTGTATCTTAATAAAAAGCATCAGTCTTGTCTTTCACATTGGTAATTGAAATGAGGTGTCAGTTCGTGGTTTGTACAAAAGATCTGCTAATGTGACTGTTTGAGAGCATGCTTCTGTGATTTTTGTATTTGATTCCAAGTTGTATTTAGCATAAAGTTATTAAAATATTTTTGAGTTCTTAGTAAACTCTTAAACAACAGAACCTGTGAGAATGTTCTCAGAATCTCTAAGATTGGTTAGTGTTAACCTGTTTTAATAATGACATACAGTAACGTTCTTTTGCTCAAGTGATAATTGAAAAATGCTTGTCTGTTAGATTTTGAAATTATGCAGTGTATTTGATAAACAGCTGCCCCCCTTTTTTTTTTCTGTCCTTAATTAAGACCAGAAACTTTCTTCCTGTAGGTTTTGTTAACTGAGACCAACACACAATTTGTAGAACAAACCATTGCTATAATGAAGAACTTGCTTGACAATCATACAGAAGGGAGCTCAGAACATCTTGGACAAGCTAGTATTGAGACAATGATGCTAAACCTGGTTAGGTAAGAAACCTTCTTGCCTTTCCCATACAAAGTAATGTGTTTACAGAGGAAAATTAGACTCTTTTAGTTCATACCTTTGCTTGCATCCATCAAGGAAGTTGACTGCGGTCCCCTTTCTTAGGGTCCTAAAAGGTTCACTAATCATGGAGACTGGTTATACCGTAGTGTTAAGTGAACTGATGGAAGGTGACTTTTTTGTTTATCAGAACCAACCATTTTATAGCTCACCTCCTTTCCTGGAAGTATTCCTTCATTCTTTTATATGCAGTTGTGTCGGTGGTTGGCAGTCAGCTGATGGGCAGGTTTCTGTTCAGTTTTGTACTGATAGGAAACTTTTTTGCCCAGAAGAAATTTGATACCCATCTTTAGCTGATGTATAAAGGTTGTTTTCCTCACTTGGTAAAAAGATTGGCCCAAACACTTGCTGATCTTTTATGCAGGTCCATTGCATGTAGGTTTTGAGATGAAGCTGAAAAGATGTATGAGATGCGTGGGTCATTTTTTTTGCACCATGAAGTATCTGCTTCACCTTTTTGCTATTTGTCCCCAGGTATGTGCGTGTGCTTGGGAACTTGGTACATGCGATTCAAATAAAAACCAAGCTCTGTCAGTTGGTGGAAGTAATGATGGAGCGGAGAGATGACCTTTCATTCTGCCAAGAAATGAAATTCAGGTGAGTAAAGTATTTAGGAAAGAGTAAACATGTTCAAGTGTAATTCTGTTCCGCTGCGTGTGTGTTTGTTTAAAAAAACCAACACTTTTTCATAACAGTCCATGTCCTAAATTTCATAATTTAGAATCTGGTGCTGCGTTAAGTTTTTGTTTTGATTTTGGGGATGCTAAATGTATGTTTGAAAAAACAAAAGAAATCTGCACGTGATGCTGGATGGGATATTTGTTGGTCCACTAAAATGTCGCTGTGTGATGATTCAAATAGGAATTTGTAATAATTCAGAGGAGGTAAACAGTAGTGAGTGTGCTTGAGGAAATAGATTGTTGTTTAAAAACCAAAAGCTAGCAATTTTGTATGTGTATATCTTACAGGAACAAAATGGTGGAGTATTTGACAGACTGGGTTATGGGAACATCTAATCAAGCAACAGATGAAGATGTGAAGTGTTTGACAAGGTATGGAAGGATGCTGTTTTGCTGTTTCTGAAATGCTGATGGTGTTTTTGGTGACATTTGATATACGTGGATCAGCTGGACTGTGTGGAATTTCTTTAGTGGTTGTAATTTTAAGGAAAATGCCAAAACTGAAACTTAATTTTTTGATGGGCAGCAACAGGATAATATTTAATGCATAGCATTCACTGGCATGGCTCCTGAGGGCTCTTTCAAAGTGTTCCAATTTCTATTCAATTCTCCTTAATACAATTTCTGATTTAGCATTAGGATTGTTAGTTTTAATTTATGAAGTTAGTTTGTCCTATGATACATTATAAAGTCATAAAAAATTAGTGTTAAATGTTTTTAGTGACATTCTTGCTTTTCAGTTGTTGTCCTTTAATAATGTGTTGCTTGAACCTGTTCTGCATTATGTGGTTGCATTTTCCTGCTGGACAGAATGCAGACCTTATTCTGGTAGACTTTTCAGCTACAATTAGGTGCATAAGTGGAAGACTTGGTGCATGAAGAGAAATCTTCAGGTGGGAGCAGAGGCCAATCCTGCTGAAGTCTGAAATGATTCACAGCTCTTTTTTTTTTTTTTTTTTTTTTTCTTTCCCAGAGATTTGGACCAAGCAAGTATGGAAGCAGTGGTCTCTCTTCTCGCTGGGCTTCCATTACAGCCTGAAGAAGGAGATGGTGTTGAGTTGATGGAAGCCAAATCTCAGTTATTTCTTAAGTAAATAGTGACTTCTAACTATTTTTATTATACAGTGGCTCCAAGTACATGCACCATATAATTTTTTTTACTACAAACAATGTTTTTTTTCTTCTAGCTGAATAAATTTAATTGTCCAAAGTTACCTCATACATTCACCATTTTACCCATCTGTCTCCTATGTTAATGGAAACATATTTGTTTAGAAAACAATTATTAGGTTTGGTTTTGTTTCCCCTTAACGTAGATATATCTTTAACTCATGGGAGAGGGATTAACTGGGTTTGAAATTGCATTTGGTTGTGAAGGTGCACCTGTGAAATTCAGTTTCTTGATCTGAGGAATTTGTGTACGTGTTTCTTGGGCATTGCCTTCCTGTTGTTCCAACATATTCTTAGACAATTCAGACAGTACTACAAAAAAAGATTATTTGGGGCATGCATGGGATTCTTTTTTGAAGGCTTATGGTTTATTTGTTTTTGTGTGCAAATCTTCATGGTGTTGCCTTCATATAATCTTTCAATGATCCAAATCGTTCTCTTTTCCTTTAGGTATTTCACACTGTTTATGAACCTTCTGAATGACTGTAGTGAAGTTGAAGATGAAAGTGCTCAAACAGGTGGCAGGAAACGTGGGATGTCCCGAAGACTGGCTTCGCTCCGGCACTGCACTGTTCTTGCCATGTCAAACTTACTCAATGCAAATGTGGACAGTGGCCTTATGCATTCAATAGGTAATGTAATTGGAGAAAACCCTGTGGTTATGTATTCCATTTATTTTTACATGATTTTTAGTCACTTTATTGGATTATTATTATTATTATTTTTTTTTTTTTAAATGAGGCTTGGGCTATCATAAAGACCTCCAGACAAGAGCTACGTTTATGGAAGTCCTCACCAAAATTCTACAGCAGGGAACAGAATTTGATACGTTAGCAGAAACAGTGCTGGCAGATCGGTTTGAGAGGCTGGTGGAGTTGGTTACAATGATGGGTGATCAGGGAGAGCTTCCTATTGCTATGGCTTTAGCAAATGTGGTGCCTTGTTCTCAGTGGGTGAGTTGATTCATGTATTTTATTTCCTATATTTTTTGAAAATAGCAAGACTTGAAATAATTAGTGCAAACACTTTTGAAGTGTAACAGGGCCCACCAAAGTGAGATCAGACCTCTGTTTTGTAATAGTTAGCTTTTCTGAGTATATTCTGAAAAAATGTATTCAGTTTTAAGAGATCTTAATTACAAACGAGTTTTATTTTGAATTTTAGTTGATGTCTAAGTAGTTTTGTATGCAGTTATTATGTATTTGTTTTCATTGATGTTACTTGTTACAGGTTGTGTGCTGTAATGCAGAAGAACAAAACTCTACTTGCTCCTCTGTGGAGATTTCAGCGAGATTAATTGGTCCTTGTTATACAGCTTATCTATCTGGACCTTCTGAAATTGCATGAGGAGTTACAGTGGAAGAGATTTTTACACAGTAGCATAGGGAAGATTAAAGAAAGGGTTGTCTGTGCTTAACTGGATATTTCTATGCAAATAGCAAATTTAAAGCATTCGTACAAGCTGTAACTGGGTGCTCAGATGAATGTTGCCTTGATTCTTTCAGGATGAGCTAGCTCGTGTTCTGGTCACACTCTTTGATTCCCGGCACTTGCTCTACCAGCTACTTTGGAACATGTTTTCAAAGGAGGTTGAGCTTGCAGATTCCATGCAGACACTCTTCCGAGGAAACAGCTTAGCTAGTAAAATAATGACTTTTTGTTTTAAGGTATGTTGTCTAACCTTTCTTTCTGCTGCAAATCACGTCAACAACAGGAACGGTTTAGTAATACAAAAATACAAAGCTAACCACCTACAGTGTCAAGCATTTGAGAAAATGGATTTTATGGAAATACTACGAAGTTGAGATTTAAGCTCAGTTTAAATTAGTTGTACATCTTACTGGCATCTCTTGAAAATTTAGGGAGTTTTGTGTTTAATGCTTGATGAAATAATTTTTGTTGATAGAAGTAATTTTGTAGATAAAAAATACCAATCCTTCAGGAACTAACCTTTTACCAGGACTGTTTGGCTCAACTGGTTGGACTTAAGTCTGCAGTTAGTCCCTTTGAAAGTTTCCAAAGTAAAAAATGCTTCATTTTTCTTGGTCTGTGTGCTCTGTATTGTGGAAAAATCTGACTGATTGTTTAATAAAAACATATGTAAGATTTGTAGGCTTGAAGACACACATTACTAGATATTTAGAAGATCTGACTTGGTAAAAATAGCTAAATACTTGTACAGAATTCAGTTATTTTGAAGTCCTGACCTACATAATCTTCAGTTGTAAGTCTCTTAAAACTTATGTCCACCTCAGTAATATGATGACCTTTTACTTAATGGGCAATTTAAAGATGGTGAGATGAATTCGAGGCTCTTGTTTGTGCTTTCACTTCAGTATAAAATTTGATGTACTGTACAGAGTACTGTGTTGAGTCACTGTGCTTCAAGAAAGATTCTCATCTATTTATTATAGTTATTGAAGTGAGCTATGATTTTCTCCAAGTAGTTAAAATACTTGCAGAAGTTGACCACAACTGTGTTTTAGGAGTCTGTCTAATGCCAAAACAAATCAAGTGTTTTCAGGTTGTCATAATTCACACAGTTTTGTACTGTTCCTGTGGACTGCTATCTTAACCTGCCCACATAGGCTGTTTTGGTTTTTTTTTTTTCAACAGGTATATGGTGCTACTTATTTGCAGAAGCTTTTGGAACCTTTATTAAGAACAGTGATCACATCCTCTGAATGGCAGCATGTCAGCTTTGAGGTGGATCCTACCAGGTTTGAGATTCAAGGGGGGGAACAAATGTATTTATTTATGTACTTGTCTCCCAGTCATCGTGATTCCCTTTTCATTGTTGCAGATATTTTTCTCACACTTCCATGCTTTCTGTTCCTCATTCCTCTAGGTACATTCATTATATCTACATTTCTTAGACCCAGGGAGAGTTTACAGAGCTGTCCAGTGCAGTGAGATGAGTTCTGCTGCATGTCCTCTGAGCCCTGAGGGCTTAGAGCCCTTACAAACCTCATCTGCTTGCTATTTCATACTACTTCATACTTCTGTGTAGGCATAATGTGGCGTTTTCCAGCAGTACCAGAAGGCATCTGGTTTAGTTCATTGAATTAGTTACAGAAGCAAGATGGAATGCATGTGTGTTGTGTGCAGTTTTTTTGTTTTAATTTCTCATGTCACTTCAGGACTTGGATTTAGTAACTCTTGTCAGTTGTTTTGACTTTAATTCTTAGAAAACTTTCATCATTCTTCTCTTAAAAAGCTTACCAAACAGTAGGCCGCCTTCTTAATAGTTTAGTTCTCAAACATCTGTCTCTTAATTCAGGAACTGCTTTCAGAGAAACCATCAAACTGATAGTGCAGACCTCTGGAAGTGATGAATGCTTGTCTTTGTATGGAAGAGGGAGTCCAGCTTAGCTGTCTATTACTGAGTTTTAAATGACCTTCTACTTGCGCAATGTAAAATATTGGTGGTGAAAGACTGCAAATGTTCCTATAAAAATTTCTGTTTACCTTGTGGAAGAAGGTTACTGCTCAAAGTACAAGTACAGCTAGTGTGATTTGTTTGATTTTCAGTCTTACGTTTATGGATCTGTTTCAGGCTGGAGCCTACAGAAAGCCTTGAAGAGAACCAGCGGAGTCTCTTGCAAATGACAGAAAAATTTTTTCATGCAATCATTAATTCTTCTTCGGAATTCCCTCCACAACTTCGCAGTGTGTGCCATTGTTTGTACCAGGTATGCCTGCAATGGGTGCCTGCCCCTGAACTTTGGGGTTTGTTTTTTCAATTCTGACAGCTTGGTCTGATAACGGGTGCGCAGTGGTATTACTGAAAGACTTCTGTCAGAGGTTTGGTGAATAGCAGGGATCTGAGCTTGAAGACGAGATGCTGCTTTAGGACTTGAGCTGGCAGTGAGGAGGTGACTAAAGTATTTTCTTTTTTTAAGGAGTTGTGTCACAGCTAAGAACTCAGTCCTAATAATCTCAGTGTTTTAGCATCTCAAGTGGGAGATTAAGATTAGATTAAATTAAAGATTAACTAACTATGGAGGTAATGGTTATATTCGCTTCCATCAGTTTGTCATACAGCTCCCTTTCTAGGGAAGGCAGAAATAGGGAACAAAAAAAAATCACTGCTACTTGGCAGCAGAATGCAAAACTACATTTTGAATATAAAAGCATTGTACTTGTTCACTTTTTATTTCTGATTTAATTGGTCTTGTTTAAATTTAATTTATTAACTTCATACCTTTGATCAGCTTCATAAGTATAATAGCTACTTGTGCAGTTATTAATCTTAAGTTCTCTGCATAAAAATAGTAGCAAATTCTTCAAGGGTATTTCACCCCTGCAGTAAATTTTTCCAGAACTGTCTATTAAATATCTTATCTAGATCACTGCTCTGGGAATAATATTTACAGGTGGACACAACCTCACATTTTACACCTTTGATAGAAGAGCAGGCTAAAAAGATCGTAAAATACTTGTGAGTAAATAAATTTTAAAAACAACAACAACAAAAAGCAACAAAGTTGTATGGGCTCCAGTGAGACAAAACTAGCTGAAGTCCTGAATTCTAGAAAGCATGACTAGTAGCTGATTATAGTGGAAGAGAATAAATGTCTAAAATGTTTTGGCTGTGTTTGGTAGAGTTGTAGTTATGTGTGGTTCCTTCAATAAGCTCTTCTGCAGGTGAAATCAAGACATTACAGTATACAAACTTTATTCTGATCTCACTGTATCATGTCTCTTGATTAAGATCTGAAAGCAGGAGTCTCTAGTCTGCTGTGGACAACTGTAAGCAAAGCCATTCACTTTTACTGGGAAGGCTGTCCACTTGCATATGATTTGGTAAATAACATTAACCTAGTAACTGGAATGCTGCAGATGCTTTGTACTTTGAGGATGATTAGGCAGAGGGAAATTGTTATATTTAAAATGTAGAATGATAACTGGAGAACATTTTAGTCGATAAAGTAAAATACCTTCCTACTGATACGGGCAGCGTGTTCTCCTGGAGTTACCGTAGGGTTGCCTGCCAGATGTGCTTTGCTTAAAGGGGTGACCAGATGTTTTCACGTGCACAGTATTGATAAATAAAGAAGCAAATAGGAGGAAGAGAACCTGGAAGAGACAAAGATAAATAAATTGGTGGAGTTCTCTTCATGATGTGAATTACAAAGATTGAGTTTGTGACTTGTGGTTGCTTTGTGCTGTTGTGTCAACTTTGCAAAAGAAAATTACCAAACTGGGACTGTTCCTTTGCGTGTTCCTGGTTCCAGTTATAAACGGTGCTTGAACATAGGAAACCTGTGGAATGCTCTTGCTGCCTGTGGGACCTGTAGGGAATATAGTCTCCAGTCCTGGAGGAGAATGCTGCCACAGAAGAGCTGTGTGCAGCAGGTTGTGAGCTGTGAGCCCTGAGGTGTTCTAGAGGAGCAGGTGTAAAGTGCAACAAGGAAAACGGATTTTCTGAGCCTTGTCTGGAAGGAAGGCATGCAAAGGAGTTATCAGCCCTTGTTGCATGTGGGGGATAGTTGTGGAAAGTGGAAGCAGACACAGGAGAAAAAACCTTGAACTAATTATGAACGGTCAGAAAAAATTCTGTGCAGTAGGTACTACCTGTTTTTTGTAAGTGAATGCTGTATTTGCATTGTTTCAATAGAAATAATTTGTTTCTGAAACCAGATGATTGCTGGTCTTCTCCAAATCAATCAAACAAACAAGTGAAAAAAACAGCTTAGCAGTGATACTCATCAGGTATTCTTACTCTGTGAGAGGTCTGTAGCTAATTTTAATTAGTGTGGCAACATTATAGAAACAGAGATGCTGTATTCATTGGATATTGCAGACTGCACTGGCAGGTGCTGCTTTTACCAGAGCAAATTCCTAGTAAGCATTTTCACCTGGACACACACAGCTCACTGCTGGTTCTGCAGTAACTGCATTGCATTCACACTTGCTCGTTTTCAGGTGATGTATGTTCTGGAATGTTATGTGGTCAAGAATGAACTGGATTATAGTCTCTTGTACAAAGAAATGGTGCTGACTATCTCCTAAAAACATAGAAACATATGGAATTAAGCACACAAACAACATGATTTTTCTTAATAAAGAGAGACGGAAATTTTAGTTCCTTTGAATGAAGCAACATGATGAGTAGAGATGGATAAGACTATTTTTGAAATTAGCTGTTTCCTTCTGGAAATTACACAAGCTCAGAAATGGTAAATGCACCATTGGTTAAATATTAAAAGGTCTTGAATAATTTTGAACTTATCAGTTGGTTAGTTTCACTCATTTGCTTTTACTCTGTCACATTTTTAAGCTACAGGAATTCTCTTCCAGTTCTTTTCTCCTCTGATACTCTAAAGATGTTTGGACTCTTGGTGTGTGCTTGATCTCAAACCACCAAACACTGTAAGCTTTTCTATTGATAGAGCTCCAACCATCTGGTGATGCTAGTTTACTGTGACAGTCTTTATGGAAGATGGAGGGTTGAGCTCCAAGAGCAGGATGTTCCTCTTTGGAGGGCAGCAGTAGAAGGCTGATGTGCTGTAGCTTTGCTCAGATCCTGATGTAAAATACGGGAGAATGTGATGCTTTGTGGTGGGTCCATTTGCCTTGAAATTAACGTAATCGAAACGAATATCTAGACTGTCATGTAGACCTGCTTTTTTTTTTTTTTTTTCCTCCATTTTTCACAGAAATGTGTTTATTGTTAGTGTTATCAAAGTCATAATAACCGTGATGAATCACAGATTAACCAAATTGAAGGACACACAGAGAAACGTTGGGAAGATTTTAAACTCTAAATTTATTTTAAAAGTTAATGCGCATTTCGAAGGTATAACGCTTTGTTATTTGTACTATTAAAATTATTTGGGAATGGTGAATTGCATCTGAAAGCTGAATATACAACTTAATGCCCTATATTGTATATCATGAACACTTTAATGTGGTTTGACTTTTAATCTAGCCAGAAATAGTAGAAATGATTGAAACGCAACATTTGCTTGTTTTATATTTAGTGCTTTGTAAACAAGATTTAATTAAAAAAAAGTGGAATAAAACCTCCATCATCAGTCTTTAGTTTATATATTTCATTTTCTGTTGGTTATGTTTGTTACATTTTACTGTGCAATTTACGTACAAGTCAACATTGGTTTTTTGTTGCTGTATGTAGTTGGTGCTGTGACTTGTTTGTGCTCATCTCTGTTCTGTAGGCAACTTGCCACTCTCTACTGAATAAAGCTACCGTAAAAGAAAAAAAGGAAAACAAAAAATCAGTAAGTTTGGAGACCTTTTTACTAGCCATTTCTTTCAACCCACAACAGAAATCTTTTGCTGTTTGTTCAAAACATCTTCACTTTAGTCTGTTTGAACTCACTGTGAAATCATTCTACTAATTCTGGCACAAAATAGCTTTCATTTCAATTAACACTGGAATTAAGTTATATTTAAAATATTCTCTGTGTGCCTATCTGAGTAAACAAAAAGACATTTTTAACATTACTTCTTAGTATGTAATATTCTGATTCCTCTACCTTTGCCATCTTCAAATTAAAAAAAAAAAATAGAGAAGGAAAGTGTTTTCTTTGGTTTCGGGGAAAATCTGAGTCTGTTTAGTTGTTGTAATGCTTTAGTAGGTAACGACTTCAGCTTGCATCCTGCCGGAAGAACAGTTAACTGATGAATTGCTGGAGAACAAAAAGCTCCCATGACTTATTTCGGATATTTTTGTTTGTTTGCCTTGTGAGTAAGCAATAAAATTTAGCATTTGTATTTACTTAGAGAAGACAAGCAGATTTCCCATTGCAACTGACTTACTGGAAATTGTGATGAAGTGGTGTCATTGAGAGCTGAGGCTTACCCTTTTCTTTAACAGTGACTTCAAAACGTAATATAAGAATAAAACTGAGTAGAATGAAAATTTGGGCTTTTATTTGGGCTTTTATTAAATACTCCCTTACATTTTGCAGTAGCTGGGCAGAACAGTAAAGTGTGGAAATAGAAAATCTCTCTGCAAACTAATATTTTACAAGAACGTATTATCAATAACTGATTCGCAAGATAACTATGAATGAAGTTGCTACTGAACCATAGTGATTCTTGATATGTTATGTATGTGCTAATGGCTTTAACTGTTTTAAGAAGCATGATTTGAGATTGCTCTGGTTTTTGTTTGAAGTATGGGAAACTGGGGAGTGTTTGTGTTCTGTGCAAACAATTTAACTTTGCGTATGAAACTGCTGATTTTGTTACGTGGAAACATAGAATCAGATTTATTATTATTAGCTGTTAGTTTTACAAAAATGTGTATAAATATTGAATTTTTTTATGACATTGCCCACTCAGCTTTGGACCATTCTGTGTTTCCTTCTTTGACAAATCTGATGAGATACGATGGAGATGGAGAGTATTTCAACAAATATCTCCTTCCCTCAAATTCAGGTTATTCCTGAAACTTTGTTTCCTATTGATGGAGAGGACCTTGAAAATAGAAGTGAAAAGACCTAAGAATCTGAAAAGAATTGTCTGTGTTTCTTTGGAATACTGCATGCTTGAATACAAACATAAGGCATTTGTCTACTTGTCATTGGCTTAAGTAGTCAGTAACTTGGAATTTTGTGTTCAGAAATTGACCCCAGCGAGGAAGTTTGTGTGAAAGCTGAAGTAAACTTAGCCTGTGTCTGCACAGCCATCTCTCCCTTTCTCTGCCTTCCTTCTCTTTCTTGATTGTCGTGCAATGCAAGACCTATCAAGGCAAGAGAATCCTACTCAGACTTGTTGAGCTTGGCTACTGTGGAAAGAATACATAATGTGGGACTGCCATGCGAGACTTTTCTGCAGTTGCTTTCCCTTTAATGCAAATACATTGTTTATAATGCTTTGTAGGTTGTTAGTCAGCGATTTCCTCAGAACAGCATTGGGGCGGTTGGAAGCGCCATGTTCCTGCGGTTCATCAACCCTGCCATCGTCTCCCCGTACGAGGCAGGGATTTTAGATAAAAAGCCTCCGCCCAGAATTGAGAGGGGACTGAAACTGATGTCAAAGGTGAATCAGCTTCTCTCTTTATTTGACCGTATTTCATATTCTACCTGAAATAATTCTCTTCTTTGGTGGAGTGATGTGAGGAACGTTTAGTTAAACTTATTTTAGAGCGGCGGAATCATATTTGAACTGCAGCTTGCTGCTTTTACACGTCATAACCTTATTTGAAAACAACATTATTTCCAGAGTACAGAGAATATGCTGATATTGATAAAGTTCATACAAGTCCTAAAGAAGTGACCTTTTTTTTTTCCCCTGTCTTGAATCTCAAGATTGGTAGTTTAATGGTTCTGTACTTCTGTGACCTGCGTGTGTTTTTAATGTTGAGAAATGGTGATTTTCTTTAAATAAGCATATATTGCCTTTATGCCTGTCTGAGTGAAGTCTTATCCTAATATTTATAATAATGTAAAAGAAGATACTTCAACTTAGTTGTCTTGTGTGGCTTTTTTTTTTGTTTTGAGGTTTCACAGCAACTTAAGATAGGTATTTCTGGTAGTGAAGTTATGCTGGCTATCGTAGCGGTTTTGACATTAAGCCTTTCTGCGCCCTTACCTGTTCTTTATTGCTGTTTAGATACTTCAGAGTATTGCCAACCATGTCCTGTTTACAAAAGAAGAACATATGAGGCCTTTTAACGACTTTGTAAAAAGCAATTTTGATGCAGCTCGAAGGTAGGTCCTTTGGGAACTTCTGCAAAGGATCTTTATTGTGTAAACTGTAAGCAGAGATGCATTCTTATGGCCTTTTAACTCGTGCCTACGTGGCAGATTTCCCTAACATGTTTATGGCAATCACTGGTTTTGATCTCTAGGTTTTTCCTTGATATTGCGTCCGATTGCCCAGCGAGTGACACCGTCAATCACAGCCTGTCCTTCATCAGCGATGGCAATGTTCTTGCTTTGCACCGGTTGTTGTGGAACAATCAGGAGAAAATTGGCCAGTACCTTTCCAGTAATAGGTAAGGCTTAGGAATGCTATGAAAGGAACTGCTAATTGGGAATGAACATTTGGAATTTGGAATCAGATGTTTTTGTGGTTAATATTGAGAAGGATTTCATTGATGCAAGTCTCACCTTTGGGAACTTCTTTTTTTAGTTTTTTCTTTCCTTACTTACAGCCCATTAGTGGGAAAGGGTCTGAAGTGTTTGGCTTCTTTACTGCCAGCTTTCTGTGTACTTACATAGTTATATCTCAGTGTCTGTCATGTGGTTTGTAGAAATAACATGTAATGCATTTTTCTCATTATTCCTCTTAGAAAAAAAATAATAAATTCAAACTCTAAAAAAGAAAATATAGCTTCTTCAAGATAAGGGAGGATATTGGGCAAAACACTACAAGAGTTACTGAGTAAAGAAAGATCTATCTTTAAGAAATTTGCTGTTTCTAGGGACCACAAAGCTGTTGGAAGACGACCTTTTGACAAAATGGCTACTCTTCTTGCCTATCTGGGTCCACCTGAGCACAAACCTGTGGCAGATACACATTGGTCCAGTTTAAATCTCACCAGTTCAAAATTTGAAGAATTTATGACAAGGTAATGAGATTATTATGGGCTTTTAGTCTTCAGCATGTTGAGTAACATATGTAGTTATTAAGCCTGCAGCTTTCATTCTGAAGGAGTGTTCAAAAAGTTGGCTTCACACGCACCTGCTGTGGTTGTAAGTAGATTTTAATAAATGAGAAACCTTGGTAGCTTTTGTGATTTAACGAAGGTTCAAGATTTTATGAACTTAATACTTCTGTTTAAAGATGCAAATAGAGGGTTTGGGTTTTGCTAGTTTGTTTTTTGTAAGGCAGTTGTGAAAAGTTGATGTCATGTTCTACTTCTTAGGCATCAGGTGCATGAAAAAGAAGAGTTCAAAGCATTGAAAACGTTAAATATTTTCTACCAGGCTGGGACATCTAAAGCTGGCAATCCTGTTTTCTACTACATTGCTCGGCGGTAAGGAATCTTTCCCCTACCCTGTCTAAAATAGACATGCAAAGTCAAAAGTATCAAGTGTGTATGTGAAGTGACACAACCAGGACTCTGAAAGTAGCTTATCTGCTAAATTTTGGAGACCATATTTTTGAACTGTGATTTGGAATTAAATTAGAACTGTTGTAGCTCTTACACCCTGGGCTGTGTGGGTGCCTGTAGGAATATACCTGAAACTTTAAATGAATTTTATTTATTTTTTCACTGTTTGAAATAAATCACATTACTATTTACCCTTCAACCACATTACTGTTAAGCCTTTATCAGTGATTATAACATCTTCACATTATGAAGTATGATGAATAACAAGTTAAATGTGAGATAGGGTTTCTCAAAAAAATCCACGTATCCCATTTGAAAGAGTAATACAAGTACTTAGAAGGTTTGTATGCAGTGAACACCATAGTGTTGCTTCAGTTATTCATAACAAGTAGCATGCTGCAATACTGAATTTAGGAAGAATATCGCAAGGTTAATATTAGTCAGTTTATGATCAAACAAGTAGTAATTCTCTCTGTTTAGATCTGTGTTTAATTCAAATGAAATAAGGCTGCAAAGGTGCTACTACAGAAAGAATGTGAATGAAACTTGGTATTTTAATTCAGTTATTAAATAATGACCTTTTAAGATCTGTGGATCTGTGAGGACAGCGTGTTCAAAGCAGTATCCATAGAAACTGAGAATGATTTTAAGTACTGAGCACAGACTTGTTAACGAAAGGAGTCGTCGTGCTCACAGCCATGCGAGAGGCTGTGTCACTGAGCTCGCTGCTGGTGCCTTTTTCCTCTGGGCAGCGTTGGTGGTGCCTTTGCTGTACCCCAGTGCTGCTGCTGGGACCTCGTGTCCACGTGGCACCACCCATGCTGTCTTGTGGATGCTGCTGTGGTCGGATTGTTGCCTTGCCTTTTGGTGCCCCTAGGGTTCATGGTTGTGCTTCTGCTGCTATTGCAATGTGATTTTTGCTGGTGCTGGTGGGTACAGAGCCATGCCAACATAGCTGCCCAGCACTGCTCCTGACACACTGTTTGCTGCTTCTGCTGCTGCTGGGATGTTTGTGTGCTGGCAGTGGGGTGCTTGCTTGCTGTACCATGTTAGCAGGTGCGCAGTCAGAGCGATGGTGCTCCTGTTTGTTGATGTGAGGCTGAGCAGCTTTTGTGGTGCCCAAGCTGGTGGCTGTGGCCTGCTGCTCTCTGTGAGGCCTCTTCCAGGTAATGGTGTTGTGAACTGTCAGCAGAGCCTCTGAGTGCACGTGGCGAGCTGAGGAAGGCATTTCTTGGTGGCATATTCTGTTTGTATTAAACAATTTATGTGAATGCTCGTTTGGGTAAGGTGATCATAAGGTGGAGAAAAAAGGAAGTCTGACATAGCTCATCTGTGTGGAAGTAGACCGTGGATTGAGAGCAAAGTGCCCAAGTTTCTTGTATACTTAATGAATATGTAAGCCTATGCCAATCAAAGGAATATTAAACGTAAAGAAGCAGTCACTACATAAATTTTGTTTTCTTTCCCACTTCTCTCTGCACTGTTTTTCAACGATTTATTGTTCTGAATTAGAAACTATATAAGAAAATGTAAGTAAGCCTTTCATTTTCCTTTATTTTTACTTGGGGAAATCAAACCTGATGTTTGAGCACTGCGTCTATGCTGGGCGGTAGAGAAAACATGAATGATGCCTGAGAGGTTGAGCTGTGATACAGAGTTGACAGTAAAATGAGTGTATCCAGTGCCAGGACTGAAACTAAGTTCTTTTTTTTTCCCTGGAGGCTCCTGCAACTAAGTTCACACATAGTTACAAAAGTTCAGCTAAGGACCCATTTTTAATTGCTCCATCATGTAGGTGACTAGCCTGTTGTGAACGCTTAGGATAACCCAAAGATAAGCGATTTTGAAGTTTGTTTCTGCATAAGCTTCAAAAAGGGTGTGGTGTTCTTGGGACAGCATGGTTCAGCTCAAATAAATTTGTTTTTTAAAGCCTGCAGGTTGTTTAAGACAACGTCACTAACCTGAATGTCAGTAGAATTTTAAGGACTATAGGATGTATTATGTTCAGACCCCTTCTAAACTAGTTGTGCTGCTCTCATTAGAAAAAAAAAAAAAAACCAAAAACCTGACATTGGAAATACAGGAATAAAAATGGATGTTTGGAAACTCTGGTTTTTCTCCCAGTTGTTGTGTTTGTTCACTGCTGTAATTGAATAAGCTTGAAAAGTTGTCATCCGTCTGCGGCAAGTTAGAAGGGTCAGCTGGGTCATTTCAGACCTCAACTCCTACCTGCATTTATTGCTCCTTCCTTCAGTTCTGTCAAAGGCATTTTGGAAACTGCTTCTCTGAGACTCGTGCATGTATCCATTGTGAGAAAAAGCAGTCTCTTTAGGATGGAAAAAAGCAGAATGTATACTTTCAGAAATACTTCAGGTTTTCAAGATAACCAATCCTTTTGTTGAGGAAAATGGGTTGGAACTTGTTCTCTCTGCCCTCCTCCATATCTTACGGAAGTTATATTGACTGTATGACAACAAAAATAAAAATACGCCTCCATTATATTTGAATAAATATGATTTCTGTTGAAATATATTTAAAATTGCTGTTGTACCCTGGCATAGTTAATTTTGGTGTGAGTGAGCCTGTTGAAATAAGACTTTTTCTACCTTTTTTCAAGTGAGATGCGTAGTGAACACCAATAGATAAGTGAAGCAAACCCTGAATACTTGGAATTTATTCAGCTTCTGCTTGCTTTATCTGAGAAAACGTATGATCTTTAGTGTCATTAAATGCTGATTGTGATTTGGATGTCTGATGCTCCTTGATTAAGGGGCCAGCTCTGTGTGTCAATGTTGTATACAGGGGTTTGGGAGAAATCTGTCCAGGTTTGGGCATATTGGTAATGGGCCAGAATAAAGCAGAATGTGGATTATGAGGCTGGATGGCAGCTATTTGTCATGCCAGTTACTATTTATTGCCTTTATCACCCTTTTTATTACTACTTCTCTTGGGCTTGTAAGCCTGTGGTTTCTTTCCACGAGGCTGCTGTTCAAACCTAGCAGGTGGGACCTCTTCTCTGTGCTGTCTCTACAAACGGGGACATGGCTGGGAGGTGTTCCTCTGGGGTTCTGAGCCAGATGTCATGTTCTGAGGTGTGAAATGTGGAAAGGCTGTTCAGATCTGAGCTGCCAGTACATCTGAGGGCTTGCAGCAGGCAGGTTTTCTTTTTTAGCTTAAAGCCTTGTTGCTAGGGCATTGTTGAGTCATTTCTCTGACATATCTGGATCAGTTGATATCCTCTTGTGCTGTGAAATTTAATCTCTTCTGCCTTTTTTTGTTCCCTGGGTAACAACCAGACTTCCAAAGCCAGTGCTCTCTGTCTTTAATCCTTGCTCTGTTACTACAGTGATCAATACCTCAGTATGTATTGATCCTGAAGTACTGCCATTAAGTTTTAAAGCTGCTATCTCAGACTAATTAATAGGAATCATAGGAACAGAAACCTCAGATTTGATTCACACTGCAGCTGCCCGTGCAGCAATTTTAGCCTTCTGAAAGCAAACGTGTTTCTGCATCAAGGCGTGCTGGATCACGTCTGGAGCAGCCAACAGATAAAGACAGCAGCATTTTCAAAAAGATATTGAATGTTATATTGAAGTGTTAGTTATTTTGAAACTAAGAATTTCCTGAGGATGGATTATGGTATTTATATTTATCGTGGACTGAGTGCCCTGCCTGTTAGAAGCACAGCAAGCTGTTCTGCAGCGCTCACATCCATGCGTGTTGATTTTATTTCAATCTGACTGTGCTGTTGCCAAGCAACAGGTGCCTGCCTCCCACACTGCCTGCCTACTTGTGCTCTGTTATCAACTCATTTGTATTCCAGAAAAATACAAGGGAATCCAAATTTAAGCTGCCTATTGAAGGCAGTCTGACTGAGAAGCCCTCTTTGCTTGCATCTACCAAGGGCAAGTTTTGGATATAGAGCATGGCCCTGGAGTTCGAAGGGAGTGCCATCTCGCTTCCATCACATCTGTGATTTCCCCCCTCTCTCTCTCTCTCTATATATATATTTTTTTTTTTAAGATGAGAAAAGGAGTGCTTTCTCTGGTGGGTAGACATTGGTCTGAGGGGTTTGCAAGTTCTAAATGGTAAGAAGCAGAAGGGCAGGCTATTATTATTTCAGCAGCTTATTAATAAACAGTGTTAGGGAAATTTGAGTAACCAAATAGTACTATTTGATCATACCATAGTTTTTCTCCGTAAGACATAAAGACTGAGCCAAATGCCCGCTTGGAATAGATCTGTGTAATAAAATAGCATCTGTTCTGTACAGTTACCTGTCTGCAAGATAATAGTGAAAAGAAGCACTGTCACTAGTTCATTTCAATACAAACATAGCTTTATTTTTACTTTAGTGCCAATGAAATAACTGTACAAATTCATTGTGCAACATTTACAGTACTGTTAGAAATTAAAACACATTTCTGATTATAGAAATACAGTTCACAATTGGAAAGTTGTGATTTTTCTGATACCAGTGGTTATAAATCATCTACAGCCTTGAGTGATACCTAGGAGAAATAGGTAAAGGACTGCAGTCTTGGTGTTGAGGTTTTCTAGATTTTGTGGCACCTTTGTGCTACAATAACTGGAAATTAAATGGCCTGAAATGCTTGGAAAATATTGAATAAAGATTTGCAATATTAAGTGAATAATACTCTTACAGTTAACTTGTTCTTCAGTTTTCATTTCATGCTGTTTGCAAAACTTCATCAGTAGTATATCAAGTACCTTTGCCACGTAATTTTCCTGGAGTGGCCAGAACCATGCGTGCATCTACTACTTGCTGATGGCGCGGATGTCAAGGAGAGCAGCATTCGTGCTCATCGTTGGAAGGCCTTGGGCATGTTCATTGCCATGGCTTGAATTAAATCTTAAGTCACAAGATTCAGGAATTGTTTAAATGAGAGCTTTAAACTGCTCCATTGATGTATTACATAACTTGCATTTGAAACTGGCCAATATTTTATTTTATTTTGATCAAAAAGTAGTTTGAAGAATTCTGGACAAATTTTGTTGAAGTATTGCAGATGTTTGATTGTAAGTTAAGCTGTTTGGTTTTGTTAATGTATGTAGATTAAAGCCCGTGTTATTGGAGAGTGTCATGGCATTGAACGTGTCGCGTTTTCCTCTACTTCTATCTTTTTTTGTTTTCTATTATGGAGAGCAAGGAATAACTTGCCTACAATTCTAAGTCAAGGCAGAGCAAAAAGAGAGATCAGCCCCTACCACTCTTCCCATGCTGAAGCTGGACCATGTTAGCTTCTCAGTTAAGCCCCTCTTAGTAGATGGACATGGTGGCATTGTCATATTTAATTCCTAAATTCAGAATGGTTGTTCTTTGTATTTAAAATATCCTAGTACATATGAAGCAAACATAGATATACATGCTAGCGATTTTTCTCAAGAATTACTTCTGATTAGCGAAACAGCTAAGTTTAGTTTCTTTACATTTTCCCTTCCTTATGCATGGCATCATAACTTACAAAGAATCTCTGCTGCTATAGTACAAGAATTTCTCACCAGCAAATCAAGCAAGACAATGCAGATATGATACAGGACTTCTGTTTTTTTCCAGTTGTTTAGTGACAAAATAATACAATCAGTACTTAAAATTCTGTGCAAGTAAAATTAAAAATTTAAATACAAAATAAGCACATTTTAAAAAACAAGAGCATAGGTTAATTTTACTCAATTAAGACATATTAAAATAAGTAGCAGCTTAGTATCGAGACATTAGTCTGCACTTCTTTAGGAACTGTTATTTTCTTTAGATCAGTCAGAACTTCAGACTTCTCGTGTTTTGATTTGCTGTTTGACCTGGATGCCTCCCCCCCAGCTACGTGTCACAGGAGTAACCTCAGAGCTCCTACCAATAAGCACTGCCACGGCATTAAGCATTACAGCATAAAACAAGCACATCTCGCAGGCGCTCGCTTTGGAGGGCACGTCAGTGTTCAGAACGCTGGTAGTGGCTTCCTCTCTCCTTAAGGTAGCGGTTGTGCTTTGAGGCATTCTGGAGTAGTTTGTTGGCATTCCACTGGTAATGCTAAGAGTCATTGGAGTGGTGGAGGATCCCGTTGAATGAGTCAGGCTTGAGTTCACATCGGTTGAATCTTTAATGTGGATGCTGTGTGTGGCAGCCGCTTCGTAAGCGCTGACCTTCCTGGTCGTCAGCTCTTCGGGGTAGAGGAGCACGGGCCTCTCTGTGTTCGTGAACAGTACTGTCTGGCTTAACGAAGCCAAGGTAGTAACTTCCTTTGCTTTAAATAGTTTATGCATTTTTGTCATGTGGGTCGGTTCAGCTGCCGCTGGAGAGGCAGCAATGTCTGCTGCCTTCATTCCTTTAATCATGAAGCTGGCATCTGGCGCGGCGGCGGAGGTCGGCGTGATGTTGGCCCACAGCGTGGACTGGTCGGTGCAGGGAGCCCCTCGCACCCTGGCAGTGGTGCCCTGCACCCATTTAAGCAAATAAGAGATATTTTGTCCATCGCTGCAGGACCACGGGTTGTTGTATAGTGTTACTACCTGCAGCTGAAAGAGCTGATCAAAAGCTTTGTCAGGAATGTATGTGAACTTGTTGTTGTGTAGGTAGAGACTTGTGAGGTGCTGTAATCTCACCAGCGTTCCTGGAAGTATCTGAGACAAGAAGTTATTGGATAGATCCACTGTCTCTATGTTGTAGGGCATGTTGGTTGGAACTGTCCAAAGTTTGTTGCTGCTGAGGTTGAGAAACTTGAGACTGCTCAGTGTGTTGTTGATCAAAACAGCTCTTTCCACCATATTCCTGGAAACATCCAGCACTTTAAGGTTCCACTGGTAAGCTGTGTCAAGTTTCTGGAGGACCTTAATGTTGTTATTTATGGCATACAATTCCCACAAGGACTTGGGCAGATGAGCAGGAACATTCTTGAGCCAATTATTTGAAATATCAAGAGTCCTTAAATTGCTGAATCTCGTCAGCTGATGATCGAGATCTACGAACTGGTTAAATGACAGATTTAAATATGTAATGTTGTCTTGGAGTCCGTATGGCAATACTGTTAAGTTTCTGCCTGAGCAGTCCACGTTCCTGTTGTTTCCTGAGCATGTACAGATAGAAGGACAGATACCCAGAACAGTGGGTATGAAAAATAGAAAGACCAGCAGGCAGGTAGATGCTTTCAGTATCTGGTGTTCCATTGCTGCCTAAAAATAAATATACAAAAATGACACCCTTGAAATCCATGTAATGTATTTTATTTATTTGTAAGGGCTGTCTTTGCAGTGATTAGTTGCAGCAGAAATTAAGTAAAAATATCAATAAACCCCTTTGTGGCACGGTCCTTTTTGTAATTGTTCAAGAGAGACTTCACAAAGCATCCCTTCAGAGCCTGTCATGTTGTCTGGCAGAACGAGACTTGTTTTTTCATCTGCCTTTCCCCCTCAAGCTCAAATGAGGGCTTTCTTCCGAAAATGCAAGTCTCTTCCAAACGTTATACAATGTCTGCTTCTTGTTTTTAGTGATTTCAAGCCTATATTATGTTTGGAATAATGTGTTCTTTTATACAGGATGAAAAAATGGCTGTCAACTGGATCTGCTTTACAAATCTCTGCAGTAATGTAGCAGAACCCCCCATCCAGGCATGCTATTTGCTTAAGTAGAATTGCTTAAAATACATCTTAAATTGGTTAGGAATTTGGTTGGAAACCCAAATTCTGCATTCATAGTAACATGCACATTAGTACTTTTCCTTATTATCGTGTCAGTTACATTCCCAAAGCTAACACATGTTTGAAAGCTGAATTAATGTTAGTAAGAAATCTCTGACACTGCAGCAAATTCCTGGTGCAAGCATCTCTCATCAACTAATAATTTCGTTCTTATTTCTGTCTCTACTTTTGTAGTAGGTTTTGTGATTAAAAACAGAAAACACAAACTTACCGTAATGTCTTCTGCAATATCAGCACATTATTTCTGTGAAAGATTTAAGCTTAGAGGTCGTCTTGTTCTAGAGAGTAGCTACAGTTGCTGTCTGTGGATTGTGCTTGCCTCTTCAGCTGCATCGTATTGCTGCTAGCTGGGGCTCTGCAACCACCTGATCTGCACTACATTGGAGGACTGCAGAGCTGTCGCTGGTGCTGACTCAAATTTATTGCAAAGCATACATATTCAATAAAATAGTTGGGTTTTCTAATTTGAATCAGTTAACTTCTTTATGTATTTGTAGCCGCGATACTGCATCAAAACATTACATATAAAATTTTCTTAGCTTAGTGTATGAACCCATTTAAATGTTTCTATTTTAGAAGTCCTGTGAATTGTGCTCTTTTCTGCTTTCATTTAGTCTCTGTTCCAGTAAGAAGGGTTAGTGTTAATTTAGGTTTCCTTTCTCGAGCTTACTTAAGCTACCCTGCCAGAATATCTTTTCCTAATTTAAAAATCCTTGGTTTTGTGCTGCTTGGATCAGGTTGTCTCTGTGTTGTTGGGTTTATACCCAGCAGCACATACTGCAGGAATTTACCACTTTCTAAGGAAATCTTTATCTGCTTTGCTCCAAACAATATGGCAAGGGTATGCATAGTTTGTAATGCACACATTTGTCACATATAAAATATATGCATATATTTTAACATGGTGCAATGCATAAAGCCTCAAAGTCTTTGAGCAACCAGAATGCGGTTGGAATGGAATGTCCATTGTAACAGGTATGAACAGGTGGCCTATGTGACATCCAAACATGTTCCCTCCCCCAGCAAACTCAAAGCTGCAAGTTCTTTGTCATTTTGCAGAGATGTCATGGAAACCTAGCATTAGGATCTAGCAGCTTCTCTCTACAAATCTTATCTTTCTACAAATCTAGGCATTAAATGCCAGTAAAATATGCATGCTTGTAATTTACCTCTGAGAATTCCCTTCAATTTTCCATCAAATAGTTAAAATAAAAATGCATGGTTCTGGACAGGGTAGTGAACTTATCTCGTACTTGAGGCCCAGAAAGGATGGGCCAACCTGGGCACCTGGAATTAAAGGAACCTGCAATCCAGACAACCTTAAACCAATTTTTAAAGATTGATTACATTGAATCCATTCTGAAAATCCTGCTTGAGAGGAACAAAAGGAAGAAATTGGTAAACATGTGCAGCTAATTCTGATAGTTGTCTGTCTGGATGTTCTGTGAACTGTTTGTTTCATCCACCAAAACCAGCGTCTGGGTAAAACACCACCTTTTTGTTTTTCATGTGTTTGGAGTCATATCCTCTTTTTCACAGCCACTATACTATCAAAAATACGCTACTATACTACTGAAAAATAAAACAAAATAATGAGAGTTTTTACAGTATGCATTTCATCGGTCTTTGATCTGGACTGCTGGCTGCTGAAGGATTTGCTTTAAATACCTGTCATCCTCTGTTCCCAAGTGGCTCCTCCATCTGACGCAGAAAACAGACCTCTGTATGAGGCAGTCTGTATGTATGCATGCCAGAGCATTTAGACTGTTTTGAATTAGAAGCTTTGTATCTAAGCAAATAACTCTGTTATGCTTTAAGCAACCAAAACATCTTCGAATTAGAAAGCTTTATTAAAATTAACTTGAATTCATTGCGTTCATTTACGTAGTCTAATAGAACAAACCTTTGCAAGAAGCTCTGAGCCCCTCTAAAGTTTCACTGTGCACATCCATCTGTGTGTTGCATGTGCTGAACACAGGGGTACACGCAGTTTTCTGCAGTCTCCAAAATCGGGAATCATTTGTTATCTGCACAGTGGAGTCACTATTAGGCCATGCAGTGGCACCAGGCGTGCTGTATTCTGCCAAGATTTGTTGCAGGCAGAAAGGGATTCTTCCCTTTTGTGAAAGCTGAAGTTGAGAAATGCCGGGGAGCTGTTGCTCTTGCTGTGGTTTCGCTGTTCTTGCCTGTGTCAACTTCTCCATTACTCAGTTATTTGAAGAGTGCTTCGTTTAAGAAAAATGAGAAGCGTTTTGGAAAGTTATTTTGGCAGTCTACTGAGGCTGTTCTGGAGGTGGCGGAGGTTCACAGATCTCTTCAGTAATTAGCTGGAGCGGTGGGGGATACGGTTCCTTCACTTCCGAGTGAAGTTCCTCTTGCTGGCCAGGATCGGCGGCGTGCTGCTCGGCCGGCTCAGTGAGCTCAGTGAGCCACGCAGGGGGAGGCGGCAGCTCGAGGCCCTCGGCAGGCTGTGGGTGCAGCACCTGCTCTGGGCTCGCTGCTTCTGGGCCGGGAGCCGCTGCTGCAGCAGGGTCGGTGGCGGAGCAGCTGTGTTCTGCTGCGGGCTGCTGCCTGCAGGTGTTGCTGGCCGTGCCGTTGGGTGGTTTCTCCGATGCAGGAGGGTCGTGCTGTACGGATGCTTCTTCTCTTAATTTCCAAGGCAACATAAATAAAACTGACAAACGCTTGGTAGCCTGGCCGGAGTCCACAAAGGTATCTGGAGTGTCTCCGTCTGCAAACGGAGACTGACCTGCCCAGTTTGAATCAGCTAGCAATGGCTTCTTGCAGCGTTTCCATATAACAATCATACTAATAGCAATTACCATACCAACCAAAACAATGCCCATTATCATTGCTGCCACCCAGCTCCCGTTAGTGGGCTCTATGTATGGTTCGGGCAGCTGTGGCAGTGTTGTTGCAGCAGTCAGCGCTCCTGCAGGCTTCTGCATGCTGGGGCCGGTTGTTTGCAGTTGGTTTGTGGTAGATCTGTCTTCTGCCGTGCTGCTGGTGCTGGTATGCACGATGCTTTCACTTGTGGAAACATTTGAAGGTATTTCAGTGGAAAGTGATTTCCAAATTTCTCCACAGAAGAGAAGCAATATTACTGTGTTGCTGACCATTTTCCTGCAGTCTGTTTAAGTACGTCTCCTCCTACATCAAGAATAAAGTAAAACACATTAAATTGAACCTGAAGTGACACTACTGATACCAGACAATTTTATATTTAGAGTCTAAAACAAATAGGCCAAATTAAACTTGCATGCTTATTGTCATTTGTATGGTTGACAGCTTTGTCTCTGATATCAATATCGTTGTGGGTTTTTTTGTTTTCCACCTTCTCTGAAAAAGGTGTTTGGTGAGAAGTGCTAAGTGTGTTTCAAAATAGCTTTTATCTTTCACAGAAATGATTATGGATGTGAAATGAAATACGAAACACAGCAGTACTGACAAACAAGAGTAAAGAAAATTGCCCTACTTTATACCTGAAGGACTGAGAGAGAAGCTAGAGATAAGCTGAGACCTGGGTGAAAGGTTCTTTAAGGTCTATTTCCTGTTCTTCCCTCACTTGCGCAGTTAAGGCTAGAGTGCAATAATTCTGCAAAAGTTTCCAAATATTGCAACTATAATGGTACAGAACTCCAATATGTAACTGTCTTTGTAAAAAAAACTCCTGCACCAGGGAAGGTTCTGTAACGAAGGAGGTTGTGTTAACGTTAGGAAGTTGGGATGGAGCAGACTTTTTTTCCTGTACTGCTCGGAGTTCAGGTTTCTGAATTTCTGTGTGATGCAAATCATTAAAATACAGACACCTATTGTGATTTTACCTGAAGTTACTTTGTGTGTTTTGAGATAATTTGTGATCATGCTGCTCTTGTGAAGCTGCGCCTGGAACCTCAGTATGTGTAACTATGAAAGTCAATTTCAGATGCAACGATGCAAACATGTATGAGCAGCAGATTAATGCTTCTAGAGATCACTATCTAAACGTAAGATTTAAAACAGATAAAAAGGACCCCATTTTATTTTCTTCTGCTCAAAAATATATTCTGTTTTAAAATATATTGAAATGGTGCGTATGTGTAGAGTTCATGATAGTTCACAGTAGCAACACCTTAGGAACTGGATGGAATGTCTGCATCTTCCAAATACTACAGGAACTTTGAATTAGCTTAGGAAGTGCTGTACAAAGTGCAGTTCATTTAAAAATAAATAATGCAAATATTAAGTCTTTACATTTTGAATTTGATTCTTACCTTTGTCTTCTGTCAGGCAAGCATTCTCTTATTTTTTGTTTGAAGCCTTAAGAGGACAGGCCGTGCTAGGAGTCGAGCAGCTCTGAAATGGCTTGTCTCACGTTGAAACAAGTTTCTGCAGCTAAAGAGGAAGTTTACCAACACTTGCTGCAGGAAGTGTCAAGAGTAGGAGGATTACTAAGAAGCTTAGCTCAAGGTTTGCATGATTTAAAAGCAAACTTTTCAGTTCAATTCTGTTTGTAAAACTCAAATATTTAGGTGGCCTTTGTTGGGTATGTGTTATGTAGGAATTCGTGAATGCTTGTTTTCCAGTCCTTGCTGAAAATAGTTGTGCTTACAAATTTTTTTGAATGACACAGAAGTAAGTTTGGATTGGATTTCATTTTTACTAATAAAAATTCAGTGGTGGTTTTGATGAGCTATCATTGTTATTAATGGAAATGCAACTGTAGGCTCGCTACAGTGAGTCATAGAGCACTTCTGATCACGAGGTGCTGGCTTGCACATCTTCCTTCAGGTAGCTGTGTTACAGGCAGCTGCAGATCTCACCCTTCCTCTGCCTCCCCTTCCCCACTTTGCTTTTCTGTCTGGACAGTGTTGGTGCCTGTTGCCACCATTAAAGGAGGACTGCGTGCTCTAAGCAGTTGTTTTTCTGCTGTCTCTTTGTCCGTATCATAACCCAAACTACTTTTTTGTCTCCTTGAGTGTTTTGGCCTGCCAAAGAAACGTTTATGTCTATCCTCACAGCATTTTGCAAGTGCATTCTTGTGCCTTCCACTATAGCTATTCCATGTCCCATGCCTGCTGCTGTGCTCTGCTGGGCTGTGCTGGCTATTTTCCAGTCTGTTGCCAACTCCTGCTGCACATGCAAATCCTGATATTATGGCACACACTTTCTTGAGTCTTACCTCATTCAAGTTCCCCGCAATCCTCACAGTTTCCACCTGTTTTTGGCTGCAGATCCCACCCTCGTTACTGTTTCTTTTCCTTCTTTCCACTGATAGGATCGTGATTCTCTACTTTTTTCCTGCTTTTCCATGATACTGTGGTTTTACCCCTCGTGACTTGGAGAAAAAACAGAATGTAAACTTTATTTAAAATTAATTTAACATTTTACTGATGTTTCTAGTTTATTGATTATTACAAAAAGGAGTTCTTATATTTTAACATACAGTACAAACTTCATATATTTATAGCTAAAATCAAAGCAAAAAGCATGATTGCTCTCAGTCTGGTTCAAAAGACATTAAGCTGATCTAAGAAGTTTTGATAGAATAAACGTGAAAGGCATTTTAACAGAATAGTTCCTGATTCAGTAATGGCATCAAAGTCGTGACTGAATTATGGTTTTCTTAAAATAGCCAGTGCCTGTGTAGCACTTTAGTCTGCATAAATATAGCATTTTCTAACTGTCCTTTCCTTTTTTTGTCCCCCAGTGATCTTTGAAAATGGCAAAGTTCTGTCCTGCTTTATCCTGTTTGGTTCATGGTACAACCATGATTGCTGGTTAAAGGAGTTAAAACAGCCCTGGTGCTACTTCTAAAAATCTCTTTAATGCAGTCCTACTCCCTTCTTGATGTACAGGTTTTCACAGCATACCCACTACCTTTAAAAATGAGAAACCTGAAGGTTTAGCTTTCCCATGTTACAGTGTGTGTTGCTTCTTGAAAGCTAAGTTTCTGTCTCATGTTAATCCAGTATAAAATGTAAAAGCTGAAGGTGTTTTTAGTTGACTAAATCTCAGCTACAAAATTGGTAAAAATGCTTTTGTGTGACATTGTTTCTTTGTTTTCATGTTTATTATCTGTGTCTTTAACGTGACTCTCAGTGGATTCATCTTGGGTTCTCAATTGGATTGCAGCATCTCTCTCTGATAGCAAGTCCTGCATTACCACATCAGTTCCAGTTGTCTCCTTAGGTATCCTCTGCCACGTTCCTGCTGCAGTTGGCCAGAAGCTGTTGGTAGCCAGAATATCGCCATTGCTCCTGGGCCGACGTTTTCCTTGTTGAGCTTTTTTGACATAGGACAGTTTATTTGCTATTACAACAGTTGACAGAAACAGGAAGGTGCAGATGAGTACAAGGGCTGCTATTATAATGAAGCAAATCAGTGTAAGAAACTTATTGTCTTCACATGTTTCTTTTGTCATGGGGATCTTGGGTGTGCTGGTATTCTTAGGTCCTCCAGTGTCAGGAGCACTTTGGGCAGAGGAAGATGAGGAGTTTGGGCCCATTGTTGAAGATAAAGACTGGGGGGTGGCTGTCGGCATTTCAGCAGTGGGTGTTGGTTTGTCGTTAAAATCAATGCCTGCAGGAGATTTTGTGTTGGCTTCTGTTGTGTTCTGACTGCAAGTTAGGTTTTGGCAGTTTGGGTACCAGATTTCATTGGTAACCATGGGATAGTCAGTATGGTTTGCACTTAATTGCAAACACAATGAAAAGATTATCCCAAGAGGGAAAGCAGAATGTGGTTTGCCATGTCTCTTTGTCTTCATCTTCCTCTTCAGTCACCTACAAAAATAGAAATTCTGGTGTTAGGAAGTCGCAATGCTAGTTCTTAGAGGTTTGAATCAGCTTGTCGGGTTTAGCAGCCAGCAGCTTTTCTGATCAGCAGTGTGTTGTAACTTGGCCTCGTGCTTGCCATGTGTGGAAGGGAGCACTCAGCTGCTTGGAATCCTGACTGAATTGGTGGTCTTGGACTTCAGTTCTTACAGCTCTGAATTCCAGTGTTTGGAGGTTTATGTGTGGTGTGTATGAAGATGAAAAAAGAACATGAAGCAAAGAGAGGAAAGTGTTTTCTGCTGAGTGCTCCGTGATTTGTGGGTGTCGATTCAGACTGCTGTAGTTCCTCCTCTTTAGAGCTAACCATCTTTAAGTTCATCACTTCTGCTTTTAAATGGGGAAGGGAGGCACCCGTGTAAAACCTACAGAGTACCGCTTTCTGCTTCACCGTGTTTCCCCAAATATGGGAGAAGTAACTGTGCTTGTACAGATGGCCAAGCAGAGACCTTAACTGAAAACATTCCTGTAAATGGCAGCAGTAACTTGTTCCAATCGTTTTATTTCTTATCACGGATGTCTGGAGTATTTCATAAATCCCTAGGAAGATCTTTGTTCTCTAATATCTGGTTTGTTGTACAAGAGACTGTTTGTCACAAACACACTTCAGTTTTGATATTTCCTTTAAAACCTCTGAAATTGTGCAGATTACCATTAGTATTATGCTCTGCTCTACATTAGGGTAATATTCAGATTCGCACCATGAATCAGAGACAAACAGGACAACCTCAGAGTGATGCTGATGAGAGAGGGAAGTTACTGCATCGTGCCTGTGCCGAGTCTTCTCAGGTTTACGTGTGTGAGACAGGCTCAGGTCTTATGGCTGGTTGTTGTGCTCCCTGTCTCTGTTAACAGAATGAAATGTTTCCTCCAAGTGCTGTAGTTTACATCTTGTTCGTGTATAAATGCTATCAAGGATGACTGACATTAATGGTGTGTTTGTAGAAATTTCTTCTTGCAGCTTTTACTTTAAAGGTAACAAAGCACATCTGTATGTTTCTAGGTTTTGGTAACTTGGAAATGTACCAGAAATAAATTTGCTTTTGCCATAGTTGAAAGTTAGCTTATCTACCAGAGAACTTAATGTGTTTACACTCAAAAATCAGAGAGCTAAGCTTGCCTGTCTTTTCAGTATCCAAATGACATCTATCATACTCCTGGAGCCCCCCAGGGAAGAGAAGGGCGTGATAGCAGGATGATCACTGGGATGGGAGCAGGGTGAGATGGTGGGTGGCTGCTGATGAGGCAGAGGAGAGGAGAATATATTTGTATCTTTCTTTGCAACTCACACTACAAACTAAACTGCTCTGAGTCCTTATTGTTAAGTTTGAATTAGAAACCATCTTAGTAATCAGCTACAGCCTGGGTACAATGTTTATCTTCCCGAGGTAACAGTTACTGGGGAACGCCTTGTTGCAGTCTTCAAAAAGGAGGAAAAGCAGCAACAGCACAACCTTTTTGGGGGTGGAGGGAAGCAGGGCATTTCACAAAGTTTCTACATGACGTGCAGAAATGAGGTGCATTTTCCAGTGCAGATGCACTCCAATCCTTACTGCCCGAGAACTGCAGCTGTACGAATGTTTATTTGGACCAATATGCTTTTCTTAAAAATAAAGAAACTAGTACTGTAAAGGCTTCAGTTATAATCACGTTAGCAAAGGGACTGATCATTACATAGCTTTTTCTGTTTTTCTTTAACTCAGCAATTTGTGCCCAGGTATTGATAGGGTCCTCTGTCAGTGCAGAGTAACAGTGTCAGTCCGCAGTAACAGGAACTACAGAGCAGTGTAGACTGCTGTTATTTCTTTAGTCTGATTGTGAACAACTTCTAGCATCACTGAAAGCAATTGTTTATCAGATTCCTTAAATCAGGCAGAGATTGATCGTTAACTGTTGTTACTGGTGGAGTTGTATTTAAACAAAAAAAGTCAAACTTACTTTCATGTATAATTTCCTACAAAATCTAGGAAACTTTCAAGTGGAACTGAAAGTAGAAGGAAAACGTGCACTTACCTTTCCGTGGTGCAGTCAAAAGAAAGTTGGTGTTTAGATATTTAGTCCGTTAACAGTAAGATTTCTCTGTGTGTGTATTTGCTCTTGGGATGCAAACGTCCATGAACATGAAGCAAGTAGACTTGGACAGTGCTGGGTTTTGTTGTGTTTTTTTTTTTTTTTAAGCAAATCTGTAACTGAAATTACATGTCCTGTATTCTAAGTGGAGAACTAAAACCACAGTGATGACCCACTTCCTTCTTTTTTTCTTCTTTTTGTTTTCTTCTAAACGACTATGCCATGACATCTTAGAGGGGGAAAAACACCAACTTGCCCAAATTAGCTTTCTGAGTAACAGGAAGTAACACAGGAAAAAAAGTCTCTCGGGCAGACAGATAAATACTTTACATTTGTGATGGGTATCTCCTGTTATCCTGTGCTCAGGTGGTTTACCTCAGATGTTACCAGGAGCAGTGTCCCTCTGAGATCAAAATGACTTGTGCTTGCAGTGCTTAGCAGATGTTTCCGTAGCTTGTTGTCTTGCTTTGAAAGAGTTGAGTTGATGCTAGCTCAAAACAAGCTCAAATCTTTAAAAGTTCAAAAACTACTGCAAAGTTTGCTTTTTAATTCTTTCTAGTAGAATTTTATCTGCTGTACTGACTCTGAAAACGGTTCAGACAGATGCTCTGTTCGATCTCATAACATTCAGCAAAGCACTAAATGACAGCAAAGGGTTCTTAATATTTTTATGGTTCCTGCATGCTTTTCAGGTAAGAATTATTTCACAGATGTGTCCTCTGTACTACTCAAAGGACCAACCGTTCTTAGAAACCATCCACCAAGCATTAGAGTGCATTGCTGTGCTTGCTGCAGTATTTAGCAGACAAAATGAGCTGAAAAAAATGGTATGTAGGTGTTCAATTAGTCTTAACCAAGACAATTTAAATAATTTATTTCTACTTGTAAAAGTAGGTATAATATGAACCTGTTGAAATGTGTTTAAAATATAAAAAATAATAAAAATAGAGTTTGGGGTGATACTTCATGCCTTTTTTCAAAGAAACCCTTAACTTGCATCAGCTTTGAGCCAATCGATGCACTCTTCCTCAGCAGTGTGGATTTTACTTTTCCTTTGGTTGGAGGTGCTGGATGAGCCTCCTGGCTGTCCAGAGACTTCATGGCTGTGGGAGGTGGTGTGGCACTTCAAAATGAATGAATCCAAACCAAGCTGTAGCATACTGGGCTGAACTCGGTTGGAATATGAGTCGTGACAGAATTTAGGCTATGGATGCCAGTCCAGTGTCGTTGCTTTGAGTCTGACATTTTTGGGGCTGTGTAAATGTCAATCTGTTTTAGTGTAGCAGTGTGTGTGGCGCACCACTGAAATGTTTTATTATGGGTCTAGAAGGCAAAGCCAACAGTGTCTGTCATGTTTTCTTACAGTTTCAAGACTGGCCAGATCAATGGAGATTTACTGATATACCACGTCCTGCTAACTCTGAAGCCATACTACGCAAAGCCATATGAAATTGTGGTGGACCTCACACATGCTGGCCCCAGTAATCGCTTTAAAACTGACTTTCTTTCTAAATGGTTTGTAGTTTTTCCAGGCTTTGCTTATGAAAATGTCTCAGCAGTTTTTATTTATAACTGTAATTCTTGGGTCAGAGAATACACCAAATACCACGAAAGACTCTTGACAGGTTTGAAAGGAAGCAAAAGGCTGATTTTCATAGACTCTCCAGGAAAGCTGGCGGAGCACATTGAACATGACCAGCAGAAACTTCCAGCAGCTACTTTAGCTTTGGAAGAGGACTTGAAAGTATTTCACAATGCCCTCAAGTTGGCTCACAAAGACACCAAAGTGTCTATTAAAGTAAGTATTTTCATGCTTTATTAGTGAATTGTTCTATTTTGATAAGATTTTAAATGCGTTTCTGCTGTCTTTTAATTTTCTTCTCTGTCTCACAACACAGTATTATTTCATCCAATTTCATACATGTATCTTGGTCAGATAGAAATGTCACACTTGTCTCTTTGTGTCATTAACAGCAGGTGCTCAACCATTTTTTGATTCTGTTTCTAAGGTTGGATCAACAGCTGTGCAGGTGACATCAGCAGAACGAACGAGAGTCCTGGGACAGACAGTGTTTTTAAATGACATATACTACGCCTCTGAGATTGAGGAAATATGTCTTGTTGATGAGAATCAGTTTACACTGACGATTGCCAACCAGGGAACACCGCTCACCTTCATGCATCAGGAGTGTGAAGCTATTGTGAGGTCCATTATTCACATACGGACACGGTGGGAGCTGTCACAACCAGACTCCATCCCACAGCACACTAAAATTCGCCCTAAGGATGTTCCTGGAACGCTGCTGAACATAGCATTGCTCAACTTGGGAAGCTCAGACCCCAGTTTGCGGTACTGATCTTTTAAATTAATTTCCCTTTGTAAGGAAAAGTTTGGTTTGCAATATGTATTTATTGGGTACATTTGATTGGCTTGGTGCTGAACTTCTTGCTTAAAGCTGTCCCTTGCAGAGCAAATTTTTGGGTCTCATCAAAGAGGGCTGCCTCCAAAAATGAGTCCTTGCTCACTGGCAGACTGTGGCCCTCGGCTCCTGCCTCTCAGCCACTCAGGTGCATTTGGAAATATCTCACATTTCCTGGAACTGGATGCTCTTCTGAGAAGTCTAGTACCAAATTCTTCCAGCATGCTCTGTAACTTCATCAGAAACAGCTTAAAACAAAGGAGTAATTTAATTCATTTGTCCAAGGCAAATGTTGTCTCTGAACCTTAACTGATGCAGAAAAGCAGCTCAGGGTTTAAATATAGTACATTATATAACAATATTGATTTGGTTTTGGAAATGTGACTGCCATTGCTGTGATGTCTCAGTGTAATGTGTGTATTTCAAAACAGACAGGACGACTATTACAAATCACATTGCTTGCTTTGTTTACAGGTCTGCTGCCTATAATCTTCTGTGTGCCTTAACCTGTACCTTTAATTTAAAGATTGAGGGCCAGTTACTGGAAACTTCAGGTCTATGTATTCCTGCCAACAACACGCTCTTTATTGTGTCAATTAGTAAGACTCTTGCAGCTAATGAGCCACACCTTACCTTAGAGTTCTTGGAAGAGTGTATTTCGGGATTTAGCAAATCGAGTAAGTAACGCTGGTGTTCCTCAGTACTGACCATGAACATGAAACGATTTAGGCTGTCAAGTTTAACAAACTTCCTCATGTTACTGAATCACAGCAACTTTAAGTTACTAATGCTTCCTAGAACTGATTTGGATGTTTTTAAGATGACCCGTTTATATTTGTTTCTTAACAATCAAGTTTAATCTGATAATTCTGTGTTTCTGTGAAGCTGTGTCATCCTCAAAAGCCAATGTTGTGACCTGGGGGGGCATCTGTTGGAGCAGAAACTCCAGCAGTACTTTGATTTACACTCTTGAATGTACCCTTTTCTTTCTGCATGGAAAAAAAGGAAGCAGATATTATAAAAAGAAATAAAGCAGCCTGAGCCCAGTCTTTCTAGCTTTCACCAGCCATCTCATTTATCTGAACAATTACTCAGTGTGATCACAGCACAAATTATTTGTTTTGTACCCCTGACAGTTTTGTACAGGGAGTAATCTGGTGATCAGATCTCTATCACACTGTTTTTGATTCACCAGAATTAAGAATGTAGAGAACAAGAAAAAAAGATCTTGGTGAAGTTTTGAGTTCTAGCAGATACCTGAAGAAAACAGTTTGTGTCTTTCAAATTTAAGCCTTTCAGATTGATGATATCTCCTGTCTGGTTCTACCATTCTGCTTTTGTTATCCCTGTTTTGCAGACATAAAACAGCTCTGATTTTACTGCTGGAAGCAGATTGGAATACATTCTTAAGATTAAAGAGAAATTTTCTTTAGTCCCACTTCATACTAAGCGTACACATCTTTGTCACATGTCTTAAGATACTAAAATGTCAAAATCTCCTTGCTAGATTCTTACAGATGCTTATTGGATGTTATTATTAACAGTGTGCTCCTTATGAAAGCTGTATTCTAGGGTATTATTTGCTCAGATCTGATAGTCGTTACTTTAGCAGGAAAATGAAAGGGTAGTGCTTGCAAATAATTATTTACCTGTTCAGAGACACCAACAGCAATCTTTTGTTACAAAGTGAGTTTTTATTTCAGGTATTGAACTGAAACATCTCTGTCTGGAGTACATGACTCCCTGGCTGTCCAATCTGGTTCGGTTCTGCAAACACAACGACGACGCGAAGCGCCAGCGCGTCACTGCTATTCTTGATAAGCTTATAACAATGACAATAAATGAAAAACAGATGTACCCTTCTATTCAGGCTAAAATATGGGGAAGTCTTGGACAGGTATAAATTATGCACAATTTCTTGTAATTTGTTCCTAAGCAGATTATAGTGTTTTCAGTCACTTACATGAGGATAAAGTTTTTGACAGATAAGACCTTGCTTGTTTCCCAGAAATGTTTTTTGGGGTTTTTTTCCACCTCAAATCCAGTTTCTTCTCAGTAAGTGCAAAGTGCAGCATTTTATGCATAGCTGTGCTTTGAAGCAGAGAGCAGAATAAAAACGATACTGTATCATAGTTCTTCTGCAGTTGTGAAGCATTTTGATCTGATGCGGTTCATTTTGCAATTCTAATATTTCAATGGGCTTTTTCCAGAAAGATGACAGATCACGAGGACTGTTGCTTACACTTATGATAGCTGTGCACCTTAACTGAAAAAATGTAATGATTACTCATTCAGAAGATTGTTTACTGTAGAAAAATTATGTTAACCAAACAGTAAGAAAGGCTTTTTTTTCTCTACCAGATTACAGATCTTCTTGACGTAGTGCTGGACAGTTTCATCAAAACTAGTGCCACAGGGGGCTTAGGATCCATTAAAGCTGAGGTTATGGCAGACACAGCCGTAGCGCTTGCTTCTGGAAATGTAAAATTGGTTTCAAGCAAAGTGAGTTCCCTCCTTGCCTCTTGAACAGTAATTTCACCTTTAGATAACAGCGTAGCACTGAGGTGCTTTCTGATGACTCAACAATAATGAAAAAAACCCAGAAGAATAACTCTGATGTTGATTTGTAACTGCTTCTACTGAAATTTTGAGCTCTGCTCTTTGTTTCATAAAAGCAAGATGGTTGCTCTCTTTTCAGGTGATTGGAAGGATGTGCAAAATAATTGACAAGACTTGTCTGTCTCCAACTCCTACGCTGGAACAGCACCTGATGTGGGATGATATTGCCATTCTAGCACGCTACATGCTGATGCTGTCCTTCAACAATTCTCTGGATGTGGCTGCACATCTCCCCTACCTCTTTCATGTGGTTACTTTGTTGGTGGCCACAGGACCCCTTTCTCTCAGAGCTTCCACTCATGGTCTTGTCATCAACATCATTCATTCTCTGTGCACTTGCTCACAGCTTCATTTTAGTGGTAAGTTCTTAACAGGTTTTCAATTGGTTGCTTTTTAGTTTCAGAAATACCAGAGTTATCTTTCTCTCTTTCAACAATTCTGAGCTTGAAAATACTGTCTTGCTGTTGAACTTGTGTAGAAACCAGAATAAGGCTATGAGCCAGAATAACTATGAAGGGGGAGTTAAAATACGACTGGTTTCAAGCAGGTGTGTAGTATGAATTGTGTAACGGGTCTTTGAAAAAGGGAAGAAAGTAAGTACCAGTAAGTTCCTGTAATGCAGATTAAGGATAAAATGCATCTGTGCTAAAACTGGCTGATGTGCATCTTTTGAATAGTTGCATAATGTGGTAACAAATATCAGTTACATAAGGAAATTTTGAAACTGCATGGTTAAAGCAGGAATGTTGCATACAGCTGTATTTTAGCAATCCTAAAATATTTGAGATAGCAAAGGGGCAGCAGTCACAGAAGTACAGTATAAAATCAGGCTGGATTTTGTGAAAAAAAATCAAGAAGTTTATGTAATCTTGTTTTTTTAAGTATCTAAAAGCTCCTTTTATGATATCTAAGTGTATTGACAGAGTGTGTGCATAGACACAGACACTTGTATTTAAGGAAAAGCCTTGCTGTGATGCACAGAGAGAAAGGCAAGCCTTCCTGTTTAAAAAATGGGTTTGAAGTACACAGTACTGGAACAAAGTTCAGAATTGTAAGAATATGCAGTGCCAGTACTAGGGCCTTCATTTTCTTCTGATCTGAGGGACTTAATTGCAATGGGAGCCCAAACCAGAATTTAACTGCAGTTTGAACTGACAGTAATGTTGGCCTTCCAATGCAGGAGCGCTCCGTGTTTCCATTCTCTTAACAAATATGAGAAAAAGTCTCAGAAAATCACATCTGTAGACAAATTTCTTTGTATCTATTTCCAGACTGCCTCTCTCTCATGACTGCTTTCAATGATCTGTGCAATAGGCCACAGTTGTTCTGGCACGTTCTGAGACAAGTAGCAAAGAAAACAGTATAGAAACATGCAGAGGTTTATCACCTGCTTGTGTATTTGTGGGAGAGTGAGCTTAAGTGTGTTTAAAATATGAATTGTGTGTCAGTGTTTTAAGTCTAATGTGTAAAAATTTGTTCAACAGAGGAGACCAAGCAAGTTTTAAGACTGAGCTTGACTGAATTTTCTCTGCCTAAATTTTATTTGCTGTTTGGAATCAGCAAAGTGAAATCAGCTGCAGTCATAGCATTCCGCTCCAGCTATCGAGACAGGTCATTTTCACCTGGCTCCTACGAGAGGGAGACTTTTGCACTGACCTCCTTGGAAACGGTTACTGAAGCTTTGCTGGAGATCATGGAGGTACGTGTTTCAAAACAAAGTTACAGTGCTGCTTGTTCTACAGCAAGCAGTTTAACGGGCAGCGCCTCCAGTGACGTGATAAGGAGCACTTCTGACAACTAGAATAACTGAGCACTCTGAATTAAAATAATTCATTTTCTTTATGCTGTATGTGTTCAAACAATGTCATTCTTTTTAGGCTTGTATGAGAGATATTCCAACATGCAAGTGGCTGGACCAGTGGACTGAACTAGCTCAAAAGTATGTTATAGATCTCAAAACATGACCCCTAACTGCCTGTAGTACACCTGGAATTTTCAGTTTTCCACTGTACAGCTTGTCTGTTGTATGTTCATTTAATGCAGTGTACTCTGTTTCTCCACAGGTTTGCATTCCAGTATAATCCATCCCTGCAGCCAAGAGCACTTGTTGTCTTTGGCTGTATAAGTAAGCGTGTCTCTCATGGACAAATAAAACAAATAATCCGAATTCTTAGCAAGGTATAAGGGTCTGTGTTTGTCTTCCTCTCTGACACATAAAACAACTAATTTTTATTAGTATTCCTATTGAATATAAAGTGCTGCATAATTTCACAGTAAATACATTCTTCAAGCATATTCTTCTACAGAGAAACCTGATAGGAAATTGTCTTTATTTCAAATTAGTTTGGTGGCAATAAATTTATCAGTGCAGCTACTTGTAGAGTAACATTAGTTCTCAATATTGAGTTTAAAATTTGCGACACTGAATTTGGATCTGGAAGAGTCAGTATTACAATAAATGAGCAATTTTCTGGTAATGCAGCTACCTGTATGTGTTACTCTTTTTTTTTTTTTTTTTTTTTTTTAAGGACATTAACAACTAAATACAATAAAAAGCAGAATGTTTATATAAGAAAACTTTGCAACATATTACCTAGCTTGGTAATTATGTCCGTATTTTCTAAAGGAGGTTGTGTTCTATAGCAGCTGAACAGTGCTGAATTTCTTCAAGTATTTTACTAACGTTATGTGGACATAAAATTTAACTGTGCAGTGTCTGAACTGCAGAAGCCCTTCTGTGGCTCTTGCACCCTTTTTTAATACACATTGCATGATTGTTTACAGCAATAAATAAATGCTTGCGTAGATCTTCATTTCTGAAACTCCTTTCAAATTGGTTTAAAGGGAACTCAGCCTTTGTAAACTAATTGAGAACTACATTATAGTTTAGAGCTTTCATCTTTTCATAAAGCAAAATCTAATTATGGGTTCTGTTTTCTTATTATTCTTTTTTTCTACAAAAAGGGACTTGAGAGCTGTTTAAAAGGCCCTGATAATTACAATAGCCAAGTTCTAATAGAAGCAACAGTTATAGCACTCACCAAACTGCAGCCTCTTCTTAACAAGGTAAGCAACTGGATTTCTGGAGGAAACAGAATATATTTTGTAGGTTATAATTACGAGTATAAGCTTAAAAATGTATGTAAGTCTTGTGGTATCTGATGTTCACACATCGCTGCTCTGACTCACGCTTGAAAGTACTGCATATGGGAAGTATGTCACAGATGTTTGTATGTGCAGAAGCTTTAAAAAGCCTTCAGAATGTACAGTTCTGCTTCATCACTGGGCCGTACGCAAAGGCTGCACCACAGTTTGCATTCATTCTCACCAAAAGATTTTCCATCTCGGCTTTTGAATTTGCAGTTGTTCATACATCTTTCTGATCATGCCTTGTAATAAATTTTGATTATGTCTTACTTGAGGTTAATTTAGCCATTTTATGTTACTTCAATGAATTGATCAGCATATCAGTAGGTGCACCATTAATGAATCACTTCAGAATTTACCTGTGGAGTGGCATTGTCATGCACACATAAAAGAACACATTTCTGTGGCGGGGTTTCTGGAGAGCATGGATGCATTTGCAACTCCTTCTTTGTTAATGCCTTAAAAATATGCTAAAAAAAGAAACAAAACACCTTGTTTTTTGTGTCAGGTGTGTTTGAAGGGCTGCTTTAATGTGCATATTTGACTTTCATTCACACAGCTAAAGATTAAAAAAAAAAATCTATATTAACTTCAGTTTGTTTCACTGTTTACTTGGTAGCTTTGCACTGTGTTATGTGAAAGTAGAATCGTGGTCTCTTCGTTTCCCTTCTACTTCTAGGACTCTCCTATGCACAAGGCCCTCTTCTGGGTAGCCATGGCAGTACTGCAGTTGGATGAAGTCAACCTGTACTCAGCAGGTACAGCACTGCTTGAACAGAATCTGCATACCTTGGATAGCCTTCGAGTGTTCAATGATAAGGTAAGCAAGCCCTCTGCTAGTAATCAGCTGTGATTAACCCTTAGTTCATGCAAGCAGTTAGTACTAATCAAAAGAAAATATACATATATTCCTTACCCTAGTGATCAATAATTAAGCAATTAAAACTTAAAATTTGCGTTACAAGCTGTTTACTTGTGTAATATCAGCAGTACACTGTGATGTAGAGATGACGGCCTAACTAGGTTAGTCCCAAACAACAGAGAAATACACAGATGTATTCAAGTCAGGAGTGCAGTCAATAGGTTCCTGTTCTTTCTTAAATTACTATGTTTTGTCACTGTTTTAATTGATTATGATGAGTAACCTCCAATCAAATAGGCTGTTCTGAAGAAATTCATAATGGGGGCAGTGAGGCCCTGGCACAGGCTGCCCAGAGCAGCTGTGGGTGCCCCATACCCAGAGATGCTCAAGGCCTGGCTGGGCCCTGGGCAGCCTGAGCTGGTGGGAGGTGTCCCTGCCCATGGCAGGAGATGTGCGCTGAGGTCCCAGCCAAAACCACTCTATGCTTGTATGAAATATTCTTATGTCTTATTTTCTGTGAGTCAGAGCCCAGAGGAGGTGTTCATGGAGATCAGGAGACCACTTGAATGGCACTGCAAACAGATGGATCATTTTGTTGGGCTAAATTTCAACTCCAATTTCAACTTTGCACTAGTGGGGCACCTCTTGAAAGGTAAGAGTGCATGTTGCTCGTGTGTGAAAATGAATGTGTGGTTTCATTTGCTGCAGTACATTACTTCTTTCTCCCAGAATACTTTCTTTCTCTGTGCTTGCCTGTATCTCCTCACTGAAGATTGATTTGTGAGATATGGATGCAATATATGCACAGACATTTGTAATTATGTGATTTTGGACAGAGGGACTGAATTAATAGTCCTGAATGTGCAATTTCTGTTAGCGCTGTACTTCATTACTCTACATATGAAGTGTCCTGAGAACATGCTGGGAAGTACTTATAAATGCTTTTAAAAAATATTTGTGCTTCATAAATATGTATTCAAAAATTAAATACAGGATTTGGTGTTTAAACCTAATTTTGCAGGGTACAGGCATCCTTCACCTACCACTGTGGCAAGAACAGTCAGGATTCTACATACACTACTAGCTCTGGTTAACAAACACAGGAACTGTGACAAGTTTGAGGTGAACACCCAGAGCGTGGCTTACCTAGCAGGTGAAATTAAACATTCTTTTGAACTTGCATTAACTGGAAAGGAGTGGGTTGTTGTGGGAATGTCTTCTGGTGTTAGGCCAATGACTCTGTTATCAGTATGAAGGAAACTTGTAACTGGAGTTGGTCAGGAGTCTGGGTTAGGCTGCTGTGCGTCACTGACGCAGTGTGGTCTGAAGGCTTGTCAGCTCAGGACCTACTGTGCAACTTCCAAAATGCTTCAGGGAGACTGGAGGTGTTTGGTTTTAAGTTCTAAAGTGTGTTGCTCCTTGCAGAATTTACATTTCTAGTGGTCTGGAAACAGAAAACATGGCTGTATGAGGGCAAATGTTTAGATCATGGAATTTTAGCTAGTTGGGGAATACAATTATTTTTTAATGACCAACTTTTAATCTGTACATTTCAGTAAGGTGTAATTACATCTGAGGTCTTTTTTGTACTAAGAAAAAATGTAAATAGATGCTTACATTCTTCAGTGTATTCCTGACATAGAAAATTTGCACCCACTTTGTTTTTTTTTTAATTTAGCTTTGCTGACAGTGTCTGAGGAAGTTCGAAGTCGCTGCAGCCTAAAACATAGGAAGTCTCTCTTGTTGACAGACGTCGCAATGGAAAACGTTCCTATGGATACATACCCCATACATCACAGTGACACTAGCTATAGGTTGGTTGTCTTTCTTTTCGATAATAAAAGTTACCCAAATTTCAATCTCTGTTTTCTTTACTAAGTTATCTAAAGGTAAGGTATGATATAGAGAAAACTAAACCCCCTGTTCGTTAAAGCTAAGTTAATGTTCACCTGCACATCAGTGCTTCCTGACCAACATGCTGCTGTGACCGAGAATCATAGGGAAATTTGTTCATGATTTTGATTTCTCTGAATATGATTTTGAGATCTCTGAAGCAATTTCAGACTTCAGTTAATGGCTTTGGAGATTCTTAATCTTTTTTGATAACCCTTTTCTGTGAGACCTAATCTCACCTCATTCTTCATTTGCATTTTAGAATAAAATTGTCTTTTTAAGAAGTAAGGAGATGCTAAGTAATTGCTTGATTCCTGTTATTGGGAAACTTTGACATCTTATCCATTGTCTATATGCAACCACAGAAGTAAGCTGGGAAGTCAACCCTGAAGTGCCATGCAGAGTCAGATTTTCTCAGTGCGGAGCACTTTACTCAGTGCCTCTCCTTTTAGTACCCAGTACGGAGCAGCAGATGTTTAATGTCTTACATTTTGCCTTATGAGCAGATTTGCTTATGGTTTATTGCTTTATTTTCAGCTCTTCAGCATTAGGTTCATACCAGATTGTTAGTTTTTACTAGCTCAGACATTGTTCTAGCCAAATAAATACTTTTTATTAAAACATTTTTCTTGGAGATTAACCTGCTAGAAAATATGGGTTTAATATAGGATACTTTGGCTAGCTGGAAAATTAATGTCTGAATAAGCCAAAGTTTTAAAGATTTTCTTAATTTCTCTGCACTTTCAGGACACTAAAGGAAAATCAACCGTGGTCGTCACCAAAGGGCTCAGACAGACATCTGGCTGCCAGTTACCCAACAGTGGGACAGATAAGCCCTCGAACGCGAAAGTCCATGAGTTTGGATATGGGGCAGCCTTCGCAAGCGAACACTAAAAAGCTTCTAGGTTATTAAGATGCCTGATTTACTCATTTGTCTACAGGATACTCCATGAAATGTTACTGGAGAAAAATTATACTTGTATTTGTTTTGACTTTTAGTACTTACTCCTAATTCAGAGCAATGCACATGGTTTCTACAAAATGGAAAGAGAGGACACTACAGTTGAAGAGGAATAATTTGGTTTGCTTTGATCAGGAATATGGGAAATGTTACTCAGATGTGCATGCTGAAGTGATTTAAAAAAAAAAAAGATAATTGAGATACTTAAGGTTCAGATGCCAGTTCAGTTTTCTGGGGAGCAGAGTCTTTGGCAGGGTCTGTTGTGTCAGACCAAGGAGCAATGGTTTCAAACTACAAGAGGGGAGATGTGGTTTGGATATAAGGAGGAAGTTCTTTACAGTAAGGATGGTGAGGCGCTGGAACAGGTTGCCCTGATAAGTGGTGGTGCCCCATCCTTGGAGACAGTCCAGATCAGGCTGGACCAGGCTGTGAGCACCTGGTGGAGCTGTGGATGTCTCTGTTCATTGCGGGGGTGGGACAAGATGGCCTGTAAAGGGCCCTTCCAACTGAAAGCATGCGATGATTCTGTGAAACAAGATGAGTTCTCCACATAACTTTACGTGAGTGCACGTGGAAGAAGAGAGGCATTTCTTTCATTACAACCCCGTTACTGCTTCCTTTTCAGTAATCACATTTTGGCATGTTTATTCAATGTGATGCGTTGAGCAGGAAACCATAGCATGCCCACAGCTTACATACTTGAATAAACTGCATGCTATTCTCATATGCATTGTGAAGCATTTTGGAAACTGTGATGGAGAGCGGCATGGTGTACCCGTAGTTTCTCTACCACCTCTGAAAATGTCCCCAGATTCCTATTGATATGTTGCAGACAGGATAGTAGGTTGGCCAGACAATCAGAAATATTGAAGTGTGGATTTAGGTTTAATGTTTTTAATTTCCTGATAAATTGTTTTTAGGTACAAGGAAAAGTTTTGACCATTTGATATCGGACACAAAGGCTCCTAAAAGGCAAGACATGGAATCTGGAATCACAACGCCTCCCAAAATGAGGAGAGTAGCCGAAAATGATTATGAAATGGGTGAGAAACAGGACTAACATTTCAGAATAACGCTAATGATAAATGCTTTGTATTTATATACAAAGGATTATTTCCAAATTCAATGTTTATTTGCTTAGGTTACTGCAAGGTAAGGGAGAAATATCTTAATGGCTTCTGGAGAGTGTAGTCTTCCATATCTCTGACAATTGAGGTTTGAGTTAGAGTTGCTCAGTTTGTAGATGCAGGATAAGGGGCAGCCATAAAGTACCATATGCAGGAGTGAAATAAGTAAAATTTGGCTTTTTATGGCTTACTGAGCCCTAGCTGCATATTTTGCAAGTGGAATCTGATGTGATGCCTAGAATGCCTCTCTTCATCTTCTCCCACATCTGCTTCCTGTGACCCCATCCCCAATTGCAATGCAAGACCAGGGTTCTTCTGTTATCTGATGTCAGTCTGCTGCCTGACCCTGAGAACATTACTTACCACCCCTGGGCCTGTATTTCACTGAATAGGAAATTGGGGTTATTGTTTGCCATTTGATAATACATCCCATGTGACAATCTAGCTCTGCTAGTATTACAGCATAATTGTTGCTTTTTTATACCTTGTGGAAATTCTGGTGAACTCTGAAGTTTGCATATAATTGAACTTGTTATGCAAAATATAATTCTGTTTTGGCTCGGGTTTATTTTGCTTTTGATTAGTTGGTCTTTTTTATTTGGCAGAAACCCAGAGAATATCACCTCAGCAGCACCCCCATCTCCGAAAAGTTTCTGTTTCTGAGTCAAATGTTCTCCTGGATGAAGAAGTTCTGACTGATCCAAAAATTCAAGCACTGCTGCTTACAGTTCTTGTAAGCCTTCTTTCTGTGTATTATTGTGTGTTACTTTCTGATGTTCTTTCACTGTCCAAAGAAACGCTCCCTGTGGTGCTTCATGAATTCACGTGGATCAAACTTAGAATGCATTGTGCCACTCTATTCTTTAGCTGCCTTTCTTCACACTTCCTAGGAATCACTCTTATGGATCCATTAAAAACAATGGGAGCGGAAAATTTGGAATTTCCATGATTCTATATTATAGTTCAGAACATGTCTAACAATTGATTCTTTTTCCTGACAGAATTTTACTACAAACTGATTTTATATAACAAGAAGCTATTTTTACGTATTACGTGTTTTAAAAGAAGAGAAAATTGCTAGAATACCAGCACAATTCAATTTAAACCCTGACTAAATTGTAATACAGCAACCAGTGCGTTAGTGCTTTCACCAGGTACACCAATACACCTTGCAGCCCTGTTACAATGCAGAAAGACTCAGTTGCACAGTTCTGTCAAAAACTGATTAGCTAATTTTGGACCAAAATAGAAGCTATTACCCAACTGTTCTTATTGTTTCTCATGACATAAAACAACTTAATTCCATGTCTTCAAATTAATCTTCTGTAATGCTGCTGCTTCTGGAATCCTGGAATCTTAAAAACCTTAAAATACAATAACAAGCAAAAAAGCCTGTAACTACTCAGCCTCCCTCAGAACCATGCTGATTTATTCCTTTGCATTATCACAGGCAACGTTAGTGAAGTACACTACTGATGAATTTGACCAGCGGATTCTGTATGAGTATTTAGCAGAAGCCAGTGTTGTCTTCCCAAAGGTCTTTCCTGTTGTGTAAGTATCTGAAGCTGTTTGTGATGATTCTGTACTTGGCATTCCTATAAGATGTCTCTGGACCAGGGCAAGCGCGTGTGAGGTGCTTTATCATTTGTACTGTGTGAGCAGCAGTCTGTCCTTTGCTTGAGACAAATGTCCATCACAGTTTGAGAGCATTACATTTACTTAACGTAGCGGAAGAAGGAGTGCTCTTAGGGGAATGGGAATCCTCACACAGCACTGCTACAGACGGCCCTCTGGCACACGTCTGGGGTCTGGGCAGGTTGGCGGAGCAGCCAGGGAGCAGCCAGGAGCCTGTCTGTGCAGCCATCCATTCCTCCCTAAAGCTTTCAGTGTCGCTGCTGCCATTACAGTAGCCTGGTGACTTTGCGTGGCTTTGGCATTTATTTGGTACTGTGGAAAATCAAATTACTTTTTACATGGTCATACAGTTTTCTACATAAGTCAACATGTACAGTTTTATATATTTTTGTCCCAGATAGACTCACATTTTTTAATCAGTACCCCAAGCACATATCGAAACACACAAAGTGTACCTCGGGATACTCTTTCAATGCAGTTTTTTAGATGTGGGTTAGAAAGGTGCGTATTCATTTTGCGGAAAAAAATAACCCACTGTTCTTTTCTTTAGGCATAATTTATTGGATTCCAAGATCAACACCCTTTTGTCGCTGTGTCAAGATCCAAATTTGTTGAATCCAATTCATGGCATTGTTCAGAGTGTTGTCTACCATGAGGAGTCTCCACCCCAATACCAAACTTCTTATCTACAAAGTAATTTTTTTTAATTACTGAATTCAAAGTTAGATATCCTAATGAAAATGCCTTCGCAGAAGAGCTGATCAGTGTTGTTTGGATTCTCTCTGACCTCATAAATCCTTCATAACATTCAGTTTGTTGTTGTAGGTTTTGGATTTAATGGGTTGTGGAGGTTTGCTGGCCCATTTTCCAAGGTAAGAGATAAATTCATCAATTTTTACCTTTGTTCTCTTTATGAAGCACACTGATGCTCCAGGTATGATGTAGAGAAGTGATAAATGACAAAACTGACACGAGCAAGTCAGTAACATAAGGGTCGCTTTTATGGCTAGAAGTTTTTTAGCCTGCAGCAGCTATTTTGATGAACTCATGGTAAACTTACTGAGGCTGGATGAAAGCAGTCAGGTGGTAAATACAGCTTTTCAGCACCCTGAAGTTTGCAGACTCCAAAGACATGGAATATTATTCAGAAACTCTGGTTTGTTATCCTTATCTTACTGTTTAAGAGTTTAATCGTTAAGAATGATAATTCCATAAGGACAAATTCTATGTTACAACAGAAGAAATAAAACCATTGACCATCTGTGCTTCCATTTGTTGCTTCTAGTCATTGCTACAAGAACTGAACGAGCAGAGTAGCAGTGTTAAGTTCGGTTGCTTTGAACGTTATGAATGGAACAGCCCCCTCCTCTGGCTTTGCGGTTCTTAGATGAACTGAAATTACATCTGCGAGTGCTCTGTAGTATTGCATTTAGATTAATCTGGGAAGGATCACAGATGGATTTTCACACATAGCTGCCTCCAGATGCTTTTTATAAATTTCAGGCAAAAGCACTGGAAACCTACAGTGAGTTAGGGGTGAAATTCATTGACAGAAAAGTGGGAGGAAGTGAACCAACCTTTTTTTTTTCCCCCCATCACTCACAGCAAACACAAATTCCAGACTACGCTGAGCTCATAGTGAAGTTTCTCGATGCCTTGATTGACACGTATTTGCCTGGGATTGATGAGGAAACCAGTGAAGAATCTCTCCTGACACCCACATCTCCGTATCCTCCCGCAGTGCAGAGCCAGCTTAGCATTACTGCTAACCTTAACCTTTCCAATTCCATGACCTCGCTCGCAACTTCCCAGCACTCCCCAGGTCAGTAGCAGTTGCGGTGCTTGATAGGTAAGGAAATGTACTGAATTTATACAGCCAAGTATTCCATCTTGTTATTTTTTAAATCTGTTTACACATCAAACATGATTGCATTCTTGCAATTGCATTGAATGTTTTGTCTGTCATCTCTCCCCACCCCTTGTCACAGACATTACTCACGTTTTTTCTTTCATTCTGTGTTTGTAAAGCTTCTCTGCCTTGCTCTAAATCTGCAGTTTTCATGCAGCTTCCTCATCAAGGTACTCTCTACTTCCATCATATTTGCACGAGATGCTGCTTGATCTGCTTTAGGGTTGGGCTTGTGGCATGAGAAGTGGTTTACTAATCCTGGACACAGGAATGGCTTCAGTGTAAGTGCTAAGCTGTTGCATTTCTCGTGTGATGCTAGTAATATTTAATGGAATAGCAGCAAAAATCACTCACATCTTCAAGAGTAAGATACATTTGGTAATAGAGAAGTGGAAGCTTGGTACGTGAAATTATTCTGCTGCACGTATTAAGCTAAAATGTAAAACTATTTCACGAGCTCTTTAGTTTCACAGGAGGTCAGCTTCAGCATCATTTGCACACTGCCAGGAAGCAGACACAAATTCTTTGGACTAAATTGCAGCAGACAGAGGGTTCAATAAAATGAATTCTCACAGCACCATTTGATTTCTGCTTCTGTGTGGAGAAATAAATAAATAAGACTGCAAAAGACTTTTTTTACTCACCTTGCAGGTTGCTTCCTGTTCTCATCATAGCTTGTGACTTCATGAGCTCACACACACAGGGAGCAGGACAGCAGACCACAGACAGCTTCTGAGTGTAGTTTTGATTTTCACTGTAACTGTGTGAAACAGTGGAGTGTAATCACTATTCTTGCTTGTGCCAATGAGAATCAATTTCTTAGAGGGATGAGACATAGAAGTGTGGGAGATACTGTTTGTAGTGATAGGATTTTGCTCCAACCTTTTCATTTGCTGTCAGACATCCTAATTTTTGCTGCTGGTTATACTTTGAGTCTCTCCCATTAAAATACCTTTCCTACTACTCATTCCAATGCTGCACATGTACTGTAAGTGCTTAGTGTTGTTAGACGTGCCTCAAGCATACTCATTTTGTAGCAGAAGTAAAGTGACAGCTGCGCGAAGGTGCTGCCACACGAGTGATTAACTCAAAGTAGGGTTAGCATAAAAGTAATGACTGATTGAAAGCGTGTCTGCACTAAGACATTTATGTCTTCAAATGACAGACTGTATCCCAGAGATGTAGAGCAGTGGTTCATAGCCAATCATGTGCTGTCATGTCAGCCTGAAGTTACACTGGAGGGGTTTGTTTAGGTTGGCTGTTTGATGTGATTCCTTTAGCACAACACAGTAGAATTCATCTAAAGCTTCTAGGAGAGTACGTGCACTGGGGTAGAAATCCAGGCTGGTTTCATCCTCGCCTTCTACCTCCTGCCTTTGTCTGGGAGAGCAGCACTTTTGCAATAGCAGTCATGAAAATTTCCAGACTCACGTCTTGTCAGCGATTGTGCAGTTATGTCCAAGCTTTGGCCCTAGAGTTTCTTTATTCTTGATTTGGGAGGACGTCTTTTGAGGGTATGGATGGAGCATTTTCTTTTCAAGTACCCTTGTTCATTCTGCCCACAAATACATCAGAGCACGTGCTCCTGCAAACGAGCAGCCTTGTGCACAGGCAGCTCTGACACTGCTGTCAGCTGCAGGGTGTTGAGGCAACTCCAGAGCACAGCACTCTGCCCTCCCTCCTGAACTGGACCTGAGTCTCACTGCCCTGTTTGTTACTAGTGGTATTTCAGGAGTATTTGCAGTGACTTTTCTTGTCCTTACGAAGGTTAGCACAGGGAAGTGTTGGATCTGGTCAGGGGCTGTACTTTCTGAGCTCAGAGTTGTACATTTGATCTGAAAAAACTATTCTTCATATTGCAGTACTGCAATAAAACAGCTGCATCAGTTCTCTCATTTGCGAGTCATTGTCACCAGTAAGGCTGTGTTACTTCCTGCTAAGAGAGTTACGAGATACTTTAAATGTTTTGTTAGTTGGATGTCTGAAGTGCTTTCCCAGCTATAGGGCAGCACTGCTGGCCGCTTGTGTTCCCAGAGGCTGTCACCGCCGCCACCTGTTCGCATGGCAGACCTGGGTTGTATCCTGAGCACAGTCACCGGGTGCCACCTGTGTCGCCGTTGCCTGGCGCCGCATCGCCCAGCAGGGTGCCTTGATTCTGGCATCGAGGGTGTCACAGTATTTTGTACCGTGAAGGCACTTCCATGCTAACCTGTTCATTTGCAGAAACGTCTGTGGTTATGGTGCTGACGGCAGGGTGGCAAAGCAGCGAGGCTAACTCGTTGGTCTGTGTGTGTTCCCAGGGATCGACAAGGAGAACGTGGAGCTCTCGCCCACCGCTGGCCACACCAACAGCGGGAGGATGCGCCACGGCTCTGCCAGCCAGGTGCAAAAGCAGCGAAGTGCTGGCAGCTTGAAACGTCACAGCATTAAGAAGATTGTGTGAAACTTGGGGTTGTTTTTTTTGTTTGATCGTTTTTTTGGGTTTTTTTTTGGAAACTGACTGACGTACGTGGGCCTCTTGCAAAGGGCCCCCCACCAGTTGTGATGCTGCACTTAATTTTTCAAGTTCCCATCCTGTCAGCCATGTTGCCAGATGATCAACTCCTGAAACATTGCCTCAATTTTAATGCCTTCTTACTTTTTTTCTGCTTTTTTTTTTTATTTAAGCCAGTGTTTCAGAACCACTTGTAGACCCTGAAGGACTTCGTAAGCAAAGGAGATGTGAGTTCTTCAACACTGCAGAACATACCTTGTCCAAATATGAAAGCCATTTCCCATAGACGGTTCTACCTTGCTTCTGTGATTCGCCTTGTTTGTTTCTTCTATAAAGGAAAGTGTTAATACTTAATCCTGTTTGCACACTTCTCAAGGTAGTGGCTTTATGAGCCAGGGGAAGTTACTATCATCCTGGTTTTGATTCAAACCTGTAGGATTTTTAGCTGTGGACTTTTTTTTACCGTGCTTAAAAGGAAGTTAACAATAGCTGCAGTACAATGAGCTTAGCCAGAATTGGTTGATTAGATTAAATTCCTAGTAATCAGCAATAAATTGAGAGGACAAGGAGGCTTCATGAGTCTCTTCATTCCCCAGACCATAGCTTCAAACACTTGGACTGTATATGGACCAGACTGGATAAACTGTCTTTTTTCCAAAGGAGTTTTTTTTTTTTTTGCTGTACTTTAACTAGACTATAAAAGGTTGTACAGTGGAAAGACAAGGGACTTAGTAGATGAGGGAAAAGCTGTTGATGTAGTCTACCTAGACTTCAGCAAAGCTTTTGACACGGTCTCTCACAGGCTTCTTCTGGGGAAACTGGCTGCCCGTGGCCTGGACAGGTCTGCTCTTCTTTGGGTGAGGAACTGGCTGAGGGCTGTGCCCCATGAGTAATGAATGGTCAATGGAGTTCAGTCCAGCTGGAGACCATTTCAAGTGGTGTCGTCCCAGAGTTGGTACTGTGGTACTGGGGCCCATCTTGTTTAATATCTTTACTGATGACCTAGATGAGGGGATCCTCAGTAGTTTTGCAGATTACACCGAGTTGGGAGGTGGTGTCAATCTGCCTGAGGGTAGGGAGGCCCTTCAGAGGGATCTGGATAAGCTGGATTGCTGGGCTGAGGTGAATGGGATGAGGTTCAACAAAGCCAAGTGCTGGGTCCTGCATTTTGGCCACAACAACCCCATGCAGTGCTATAGGCTTTGGGGCTGAGTGGCTGTGAGTGTGAAGAGGAAGGGACCTGTGAGTGTTGGTTGGTGCTCGGCTGAACATGAGCCAGCAGTGTGCCCAGGTGGCCAAGAAGGCCAGCAGCATCCTGGCCTGCATTAGAAATAGTGTGGCTAGGAGGAGCAGGGAGGTGAGCATCCTCTGTACTCTGCTCTGGTGAGGCTGCACCTTGAGTACTGAGTTCAGTTTTGGGTCCCTCACTACAAAAAAGACATTGAGGCCCTGGAATGTGTTCAGAGAAGGGCAACAAAGCTGGTGAGGGGTCTGGAGCACAAGTCTTATGAGGAGCAGCTGAGGGAGCTGGAGTTGTTCAGTCTGGAGAAGAGGAGGCTCAGGGGAGACCTCACTGCACCCTGCAACTTCCTGAAGGGAGGCTGTGGTGAGGAGGGTTTGGCCTCTTCTCCCAGGAAACAAACAGGACCCAAGGAAATGGCCGCAAGTTGTACCAGAGGAGGTTTAGGTTGGACATAAAGAACTTTTTCTCTCACAGAGTGGTCAGGCAGTGCAATGGCTGCACAGGGAGGTGGTGCAGTCGCCGTCCCTGGCAGCGTTCAAGAGGCGTCTGGGCGAGGAGCTGCGAGATGTGGTTTAGTGCTTGTGGTAGCAGTGGTGATGGGAGGATGGCTGGACTGGATGATCTTGCAGGTCATTTCCAACCTTGAGATTCTGTCATTCTAAGAAAACTGTCAAGAACTGACTATTATGGTGTCACTATAGCAGTGTTTAAAATTTATTGCTTCTTTCTTCCATTTAACGTATGCTTTAGTTTTGCCCTTCTAACAATACACACTTTCAAGAAATTCTTGGCAGATAAACTGTTGGGATACAGAGGGGAAAATTTTATTGATTAACTTTCAGCTCTGGGAGGTTGTTTGGCAAAACTGCTTTTGTGCCGTCCAAGCAGTGATATAAAAACAGTAATGTTTGCTCAAGGTACACAAATTTAAAAGTAAGTGACGCTTTGTCAAATCCAGGTTACGTTTGAATGTTTGCAGTGCAATTTCTGCTGTCAGTACAGACATTTGCAATCAAACTTCTCTTGCAGAACTTTCAAGGGGTTTTAGTTTGTAAGGGCTCCTACTTGGGGGTTATATGAAACTGAAATTGCTATCACTGTGAAAGACTTGCCAGCCACGGTAGTGCATTAGCAATGGGGACTGTGATAATATGCTGCTATGTTGCATGACGTGTAAAGATGTAGCACTGTGTGCTACAGACATGACCTGCACGGACTGAAGATGCGCAGAGCGTTGGATCTGAGGTGGGTGGGCATTCTGACAAAGGCCTGACAGCTCGTTGTAGGGCTAAGCAAATCTACTGCTAAACAACAGTTAAACTTCCTAGATTCAGATCTCTGTTGTATGTTAGAAGTTAACAGCTTATAAATGGCTTTAGAAGGGGGGAAGAAAAGTATATCCTCTATATGAAAAAAATAAAATCCTCTAGTGCAATTTTGTTAGTGGCTTTCAGTAAATCAAACTCCACAGCTAAATTATTAGAGAATGGTACAATTATAAGTGTTCAGATTTTATTGATATAGCACATAATTCACGTGTATCCACACAGTAACAATGTAACATTTATGTAAATAAATGCCTTTATTGTATTGATTCATAAAATAACAATTCTTCTAATTTGTTTACAGTCCTGGAAGAACTATGAACACAAGCTTAATATGCAAATAGTTTGCCAAAACAGGATGAAAATGTAGAATTAGCAATCTTGGAATAGAATCGTTGGAAAATATGAAGACTTGTGCAATTAACCACATTTTTTTACTCTTGACTGTGTAGGAGCTGCAGTGGAATCATGATTCCTGAACTGTTAGGTCTGTTGAAGGGTTACAAGGCTAGACTTAAATTAAGGAACAGAGCAGTGACTTGTGCCATGTTTTTCAGCTGCTATGCATTTGTAATTTTGGGAGTCACTGATTTAAAAACCTTTCTCATCTCGTACATCAAATTGCTCATAGCTTCGGTATCGCTGTCGGTTTGCACCTGATTATACTGAACCAAGCTACTTCCAGCCCTTTCTGTTTTGCTGAAGACAATGAATTGTAGAAGCCTTTAGAGTTATTCCCTCCATAGGTGGGAGGAAAAAAGAATCTCTTGTGATTTACTGATACAAAAAGATAACGTTCAGTTGTTTCTCTGTGAGAAAATTTTCTTTAAAAATAATTCCAGATGAACTGCCAGCTCTGCTCTGTTTGGACCGAGTGCATTTGGGAGCAACTCTTCTAATATTTTGCATTGCCTCAATAGGAAATGCATCATGAAATAAGAACTGATGCATTCTTACAGCTGTGAGTATGGTGAAACCAAAATTACCTTTTCAGTGAGAACCAGAACTACTGTAAGCTCTCAGTCCTGACTGAAACAAATGATACATTGATAAAGCAAGTCGGCAAAATTTAATTTGTTCTATTTCTTGGCAAGGAGTCATTGAACGTTTTCACTCTGTAGTTCAGTGAGGTGACCCGAACTTTCAGAGCAGGGGTGTCAAACATTTTAGGAAAAAAGAGCCGAACTTGAGTGTAACTGTAGACACAGAACCGTGGAAAGGTTTGGACAGAAGGGGCCTTAAAGCTCACGTTGCAGCCTCTGCCAGCACCTCCCAGCAGCACAGGCTGCCCAGGGCCCACCAGCCCTGCCTGCAGCACCTCCAGGCACGGAGCACCCCCAGCTGCTCCGGGCAGCCTGTGCCAAGGCCTCACCACCCTCACCGTGAGAAATTTTTTCCTTTTACCTGCTCTAAGTCTGTCCTTTTAGTTTGAAGCTCTCACGCTCCCTGACAGCCCTTTCCTGCAGCCCCCGAGGACCGCAGTGAGGTCTTCCAGAGCCTTCTGCAGGCTGAACAGCCCAACTCCCTCAGCCTGTCTCCATAGGAGAGCTGCTTCAGCCCTCTGAGCATCCTCCTGGCCTCTTCTGGACTTGCTCCAGCAGGTCCGTATCTGCCTTCGGGGAGCCCAGACATGAATGCAGTACTCTAGGTGGCCACAGTCTACAGCAAAGATGTAATTCAGGGCTGTGTTTGCCCCGGTACACAGCAGCACCAGGGTTTAGGACGTTTGTGCTTAGATCAAGGGGGAAAACGCCTTCCTTTCATTCGTAAACTTTGATTAGTATATGGTTGGTCAGTGCCTTACTGTCATCCATCACCATGAAAACCTGCTCCCTGTAATAGCCGTTGCTATTGCTTCACTTTTTTGTTTTCTTTCTCACATCCTTCCTTATTTGCTCCCTTTTCCTGTTTTGCATATTCTGTGTCCTGCTCTGTTTCATTCCTGTGAGCACCGCTCTCCGTTTCTAATCCAGCCTCTGTCCCTCTCCTCATCCTGTCATTCCATTGATGCTAGTGAGCAGCAGTCAGTTGCTGGTGACAGTGCTTCAAGATCAGGCTTGAAACCTGATGTAAGTGGGAGACTCCCAGGTTCAGACCTTCCAGCCACTGTTTCAGGCGGCGCTCAGCACCGCACAGGCTGCCCTCCCCATGGTCTGAGGATCAGCTCTGCAGCCATGCAGTCTGTGTACTTCAGAATGAAAACTTAAATTCAGAAAAATCTGATTGTAACACGTGGACCACGTAGCGACACTATGGGGACTGTATGTTTGACACCCCTGTTTCATTACGTACTAACTACAGCTAAGTACTGTAAAGATGATTAACATTTTGTGTTTGTATTTTCCCTGACTTAAAGATAATTCAGTAGTATTTGAATAGTACATAACCTACCTGTTAATTATGCCAATGTTTCTGCTTTAATGTGCATGAAGTTTCCAGGAATAGGAAACCTTTCAAATAAGTATTGTGGGCCGAGCACTTGGGAGCATTCCAGTGCTCTCTTCCTAAATGGGTTGTAGGTTTTAGGGCTTTTTCTGTTTCATCCTAAGTTTAATTTTTACAAATGTAATGAAGCACGTCTTACTGTTATGCAACAAACTTACCACAGGAAGTCACTTTTAGTGTTGGTCCCACCATTTTTTTTAATGCAGTATATTCACCTGTAAATATTTTTTGTGTAAAATTTGACAGAAAAGTATATTTACTACACTGTAAATACATGTGACAATATATTGTATTATTTTGCTTTTTTTGTAAAGCAGTTAGTTGCTGTATATGTATAACATACAAATTTGACTATTCTAGTGTTAGTAATTGTTAACTACTACTTCTCCTTCCTGCTGTTGCGTTATGTCATTTAAAAACAAAGCTGTGTACTATAAACTTACACTGTGTATGATATCTTACTCTTTCCACTCGGGCCTCACCTTGGAAAATGTTCCCTCGATACAAACAGTCCTGTTCCTGTGGTCAGCAAGTGTGGCAGGGCGGGCAGAGCCCTGCTGACTCAGACACAGCTGGTAAGCTTAGGCAGAAGTGGTAGAAGCCTGGTTTCAGGTAACTGTTGTTCCTCCCATCTGCTCCTCATGTATGTACTTTGCCTTTTTTTGAAGTAAAATGTAAA